TTGTTCTCTTATAACCAAAACCTATATATAGATGAAATCTATATGACGCATCTAACATCCCCGCAAAAACAAAGAATTGTTCCATATTATTAAAACCAATACGGGAAAAATAAACAAAATGGGAGATATTGCATTGGAAAGACATGTATTAAAATGCAACAACACATGAAGACACGTTGTTAGCTAATGGCTTTAAATTCCAATGTTTGATAACCATTATTTTTAATTTAGAAGTAGAATAAGTCTATCTTCGCCTTTATAAACTTATCCTTGGCCTCATTATGCAATAAAAACAATATTTTAGTAGGTGCTGCTACCCAGCGACGAATATAGGTTAAGATTATATGCAAAAGACGGTCATTTGCATTTCTCCCAGAGACACAACAGATTATACACTGAAATTGGACCTGGCTCATATAAATTATACGAATCTACATTTAGCAAAGTCAAAACGTCAAGAAGTAACTGGGCCGGGTAAAAAGCTTCTTGACCGCAGGAACAATTGTGTGGCGAACTGCAAACAAACTATAATCAGTCTAAGTCAAGGCCATGCAAGGGCAAATTAAAGTTGAGTCGCAGAATAAATCTTCTATCCAAAGTCTTTAAACTTTAGAGTACAACCATGCATTTGCTAATGCGAATATAATTAATGCATGTAATTAAGTTTCAGGACCTCGGGAAACAAGCGGTGGATGCACACACATGCATGCATGCATTTTGCCCGAGGGACTGCATGCTTTATACTCTCGAGACTTGATTTCTGAAGGCATATAAAAGTTATTGGATTCTATTTCAAAGAAGAGGTTTTAAACATGAAACTTGCTATCAACCGTTCCCAAACGGAAGCCTGTGAGTATGACTATATATATATAGGCTACAACTGCAAGATAGCTGTTCGGCCACGGCCGTTTTCGAAGTATTTTATGCAATATAAACATAAAAATGGCGCCTAAGATTCTATCTATATGCATCCATATGATGTTGGTAAATTACCATAGCTTGTCCCTTCCCATAATAACTTAAACCTAAATTAAACTACGGATGTCCAACTATGGATGTCAACGGATATACCATGCAGAACATTAAATGCCCTGATAGTGTTAAACCTGAACATATTATCAGCAAATATTCTTAGCTATCCTACCTTCACCTGAGGTTTTGTAGATTCCGCATCAAGTACAAACAATAACTTCCTACCAGAAATGCATCGAAGAAAACGCATTCCTCTTTCCCACTTAAAGAATTGTCCGTGTGGTTTCTGCCGGCGTGCTGACAAAGTGTTTGATCTTACTTTAGTTGCCAACTTATTTTTTGTTTCTCGTTCGCACAATAGTTGAAGCGAATAGATCAGATATGCCCGTATATACTAGGAGCAATCGTTCACCTATTTCTTCAACCGCGGACAGAAACGTTTTGCTCAAACAAAACGCCCACGGATGGGCCAGCAATCAAATGGACGGAAACTCATTATGAATGCAAAAAACATCAATTAATGTTCTTGCTCTACAGTATTTCTTTAGATAATTTTATGCATAACCAGTGGAGCAGTGTAGTCTGACGATTTGGGGACTGTTTACAACTATAAAATGATGCGCTTGAAAGCATGAAAAAAGTTTATGATACCATTTTGTCTTCACGGTGACGGCCGAGATTCTTCAATATATCTGTGAAATTAGCAAAACAGATAGAGAATTAATAAATAAAACAAGTTAAACTGATCTACAAACTTTACATTACTGATAAAAAATTACTACCCCCCGGAAAGTTTACACTATGACTGACTGACTTACTGACTAGTTTGAATTCACACACTTATCGCCCCTATTCGCCACTTATCGCAATACTACAATGCACTAAAAAGTAAGCGGTCAATTTAAAACGGTTTGTGAAATCGACAGTATATAAAATTAGCCGAACTATACGTGGCTTTCGTGGATTTTTTTTTCGCAGTGGTCGGTCGTATATAATTTTCTTACTACAAAGGAAGATTGCATTATAAAAATACGTCAATATTGTAATACATATAGTTTTGCTTACCATTTTCTGTTCTTAAAGATGCGTCGTTTTTTGTCTGTTGAAAAAGCATAGTTGAGAAACCGTTACGGTTTAGTTGAAGTTTGTTCGTATTTTGGACATCGGCTCGCATCTAACTCACGAGTAACTCAAAGTGAGTCAAACTTAGTCAAATAAAACTCCTCAGATTTTATTCAAAACAGTATAGATTTAACAAACGGCGATTTAACAAAATAAAGGCCAAAGATCGATCTCGACATGGTATCGCATCCCGATGCCGCGTAATTCGCTATCCTGGTATGGAAGTTATTGTTAAATTTTGATGCACTAACAGGGCATTCTTGTCGCTTGGTAGGCGGTAATAAAGTTGTAGTACTATAATCTCAAATCCATTTTCAACAGTGACCAAGTAATAGTTTCGTGCGAGCTAGAGCCTAGAATGTGTATACCAATTTTCATCATGACATTAATAAAGTAAAAGAAGTAAGCATGGTAAAATTTTGAGGAATAGATATTTATACCCCTATTTATTAAAGGTCAATCTATCAATGCACAATTGTGCTTGTGAGTAGGACTTGCTATTCTTGGGTTTCATGTGACGTCATAATTCCAGTGGGGTCATCTTTAAATCGAGACACAGTAAATTAGAGTGAGTTAATTGTTCACTATATGTGTTGCCTTTGTGTTTCGTAGCAACTATACGCAATTTAGTATATCATTTGCTCACCCCTGTTCAGCATAAGGGTCGAAGCAATGAAGGTTGACCCCCACGCAAATCACTATGAAAACAATAAGTGAAAACCCACCAACATCGCTATACCAATAATACGGTGTGAGCGAGAATTCGCCAAAGGCACAATGCTACGGATTTTTACGGTAAATTATGCATAATAAGTGTTAATTGGTGAACGCATTACAAATCACAGGTGAAAAACACATTTTAGAATGAGAAAATTGTAATTTTGCTATCACAATTTATCGTGAATGTAGAAAGACTGATAAATTGCATTTCATTTTACATATAAGCAGTCAGTGAATTAGTTTTTTAAGCCCATCACAGGATAGGGTACAGTGTGAATGTATTGATAATGGTCATGCCATGAGGGTGTTCATGAGAATGCTTTTACTGATTTGAGATTTTACTGATTTTTACTGACCGAGTCACGAGATTATCATGCAGCGACTGAAACTGACCCGCGCTTGACACTGTTCCTTATGCCACATTTTAATATCCTCATTGAACAAATTTCTATCGAAAGACATTTCATTTACGTTGCGTTAAGCAGAGAGCATGATTCACACAAATATTAATCGAAAGCTTTGCTGCAGGTGATTATGACTTACTAGCCTTAGATGGTAACCATTTGGAAAATAAATTCTAAGGAATTACTTCAATTCCCAGATTCCGCAATTCCTGGGTTTTCCATTTCTTGGATGTCATTTAGGTAACAACCATAAAAGGACATATTCATTTCATATTTCATATTCATTTTCACATTCGCTCTGTAATTAGGTTGCTCGCACTAAAATGTAGAATTAGTCAGTTTCTTTTCATGTAAAAAGCTCCCCATAAAAGACATTCTTCTTGAATATATGGCGCAAAATCGAAAAAATATATTTTGGAGTTATTTCACCAAAACACTGAGTCCAGAAAATTCACTGGATAGTTTTGTGACTGTCATCCGTAATATTGTGCTTCAATTGCACTGTGATGTTAGCTAGGAAGACACTGTTCACACAAATATTCAGACAAATATTAATCGAAAACTTTTCTGCTGGTGATTATGATTTAGGATGCATATACTTGAAGTGGTAACTTTTTGGAAAATAAATTCCAAAGAATTATATTACTTCAATTCCCAGTTTCCGCAAATCCTGGGTTTTCCATTTTTTGGATCTCATTTAGGTAACATGCAGCCATAAAAGGACATGAACTGCACATCCGGCGTATATTTTTCAAGTATGTCTGTATGGACTGAACTGGAGTGTTATAGTTCATAAAAGAATTAATACGCCTCTCCAGAAGGGCATGATAAACTTTCTGAAAGCTATCTTGAATTTTTCCATTTCGGGATGTAAAAAAAACCCAAACAAGAGGTGCAGTTACGGTAGCACTGAGCAGTGAACCTTTCTTTTACAGCATTAGACAACATGCTGAGTTGCCTAAAGAAGGCGAATTGAAATGTGATTATTGTTTACGTTCGATCGAGTCACGAGATTATCATGCAGCGACTGAAACTGACCCGCGCTTGACACTGTTCCTTATGCCACATTTTAATATCATCATTGAACAAATTTCTATCGAAAGACATTTCATTTACGCAACGTTAAGCAGAGAGCATGATTCACACAAATACTAACCGAAAACTTTGCTGCAGGTGATTATGACTTAGCCTTAGATGGTAACTATTTGGAAAATAAATTCCAAGGAACTACTTCAATTCCCAGATTCCTGGGTTTTCCATTTCTTGGATGTCATTTAGGTAACAACCATAAAAGGACATATTCATTTCATATTCGCTCTGTAATTAGGTTGCTCGCACTAAAATGTAGAATTACTCAGTTTCTTTTTATGTAAAAAGCTCCCCCATAAAAGACATTCTTTTTGAATATATGGCGCAAAATCGAAAAATGTATTTTGGAGTTATATTACCGAAACACTGAGTCCAGAAAATTCACTGGATAGTTCTGTGACTGTCATCCGTAATATTGTGCTTCAATTGCACTGTGATGTTAGGAAGACACTGTTCACACAAATATTCAGACAAATATTAATCGAAAACTTTTCTGCTGGTGATTATGACTTAGGATGCATATACTTGAAGTGGTAACTTTTTGGAAAATAAATTCCGAGGAATTATATTACTTCAATTCCCAGTTTCCGCAATTTCTGGGTATTCCATTTCTTGGATCTCATTTGGGTAACAACCTTAAAAGGACATGAACTGCAAATCCGGCGTATATCAATTTAAAAAGGGCACCCAGCACCATAGTTAACGCAGTCGACGCATTAGCTCTTCGGCTGTTCATATGTTCGTCTTGCGCCGAAATTTAATTAAAGTGACAACGCATGGTCGCCACTGAAATTGAAAGTACATTTAGAAAGGTAAGTCAAAGTTATCTTAATTCTTAAACCCTGGGACTTTATATCTTTGAAACCAGTTTTGTGTCTTTGAGGTTTCATAATCCTCGAAGTATTATGATACCGCCATGCACTGGCAAAACGCATGCGTTTACATTCGTACTGGCTGCGGAAGTTTATAGAACTGAGTTATCCATTTCATGTACAGCTATAAGAGCTATATATAGCCAGAATTCTTTCGATTAACGCGCTGAAATTAAACTTATCCTTCCTCGATCACCTCTGGTAGTCAGACACTGAGGTTTTTGACATACTTCGCAAAGGTATATGTATGGCCTTATTAAAACTTGGATTAAGTAAAACATATTGCTTTATGCATATATACGCATATAAATGCCAGAACGCGTGCATGCAGAAGTTCTCAAACCTTTGGACTAAATTTTCAAGGGACACGCAAGGGTCCTGTCGGCTAAAATGTAAATTCATGCAGCGTCGTATTGCGGTTTGTGATCAGCGAAATTCTTTTCGTTATTCGCTCTTGAAATACGAACTATATATCTTCTATACTGAATGTCATCCTTTATAATTACGGATATAATTAATTGTATTAATGAACTTTCGATTCGAAAGCGCTTGCAAATCGCAGTCAATAAGAAATGGCTTTTGTCATTTCAATCGAACAACAACATCACACTTGCGAAACTAAACGCTTCGCATGCACTGGCCACTCGTGCGCTAAAAGGACCTTTTATATCCAAACTGTATTTTCTCGACAGTTATCATAAATTGTTGTGATATATTTTATATATTCAAACAACTTTCGTTTTGGCTAGAAAATTCGCAAAACACAACTAGCGCTTTTGTATATGACAATTCGAAGTGTATGGGGATTGAAAATCACTAACAGTGCGATTTGTCCGAGTATGCATGAGCACAATTTTAATTTGTTTTTGAATTTTTTCAAAGAGGCAACTTTTTTGGGAAATAAATTCCAAGGAATTACTTCAATTCCCAGATTCCGCAATTCCTGGGTTTTCCATTTCTTGGATCTCATTTAGGTAACAGCCATAAAAGGACACGAACTGCACATCCGCCGTATATTAAACAAGGGCACCCAGCATCATAGTTAACGCAGTCGACGCCTTAGCTCTTCGGCTGTTCATATGTTCGTCTTGCGCTGAAATTTAATTAAAGTGATCAACGACAACGCCGTGGTCGCCACTGAAATTGAAAGTACATTTATAGAAAGGTAAGTCAAAGTTATCTTGATTCTCAAATTCTGGTACTTAATATCTTTGAAACCAGTTTTGTGTCTTTGAGGTTTCATAATCCTCGAAGTATAATGATCGACTATATATATGCTTCTCAGCCGAGCATCGCCATGCACTGGCAAAACGCACGTTTACATTCGTACTGGCTGCTGAAGTTTATAGAACCGAGTTATCCATTTCATGTACAGCTATTAGAGCTATATATAGCCAGTATTCTTTCGATTAACGCGCTGAAATTAAACTGATCCTTCCTCGATCACCTCTGGCAGTCAGACACTGAAGTTTTTGAAAGTATCTTCGGAAAGGTATATATGGCCTTATTAAAAACTTGGATTAAATAAAACATATTGCTTTATGCATATATACGCATATAAATGCCAGAACGCGTGCAGAAGTTCTTAAACCTTTGGACTAAATTTTCGAAGGACACGCGACGGTCTTGTTGCTGCTTGTTCAGGCAAATCCCATCACGGTGGTCCCCATACGTCGGATCTACGCCTACGGTTTTATATTTACTTTCACATTCAGATTCAGACGTGAATATGAAAATAGCCGGGTATCTGACGTACAAAATGTGGAATAATATTTTTCGCTGCAAATCAGTCTTGATCAATGCATTAGGCATTATTTGAAGATATTTTAAATTTATTTGACCCAATTGGATGCAAGCGCGAAGTCCAGAAAACTTACAGAAACTGCATGGCTAAAATGTAAATTTATGCAGCGTCGTATATTGCGGTTTGTGATCAGCGAAATTCTTTTCGTTATTCGCTCTTAACTTAAAATACGAACCATGTATCTTCCATACTGAATGTCATCCTTTATAATTACGGATATAATTAATTGTATTATTGAACTTTTGATTCGAAAGCGCTTGAAAATCACAGTCAATAAGGCTTTTGTCATTTGAATCGAACAACAACAGTACACTTGTGAAACTAAAGCCTCGCATGCACTGGCCACTCGTGCGCTAAGAGGACCTCTCATCCAAAGTCTTTTCTCGACAGTTATGATAAATTGTCGCGATATATTTTATATATTCAAACAACTTTCGTTTTGGCCAGAAAATTCACAACTAGCGCTTTTGCATGACAATTATACAAGTGTATGCATGGGGATTGAATATCACTAACAGTGCGATTTATCCGAGTATGAGCACAATTTTAATTTGTTTCTGAGTTTTCTTGCTTCTTTTGATGCAAAAAGCTCCTCCATAAAAGTAATTCTTCTTGAATATATTATGGCGCATTATTTGACCGAAACACCGAGTCTGGAAAATTCGAAGAAGCTGCATGACCATAATGTAAGTTCATGCAGCGATATTGGTGATCATTGCTGCCGAAGGCAGCTTCCTATTTTTGGCAGGGCAGGCTAACATTTCGCCAGAGTTCAATCGACCCAGTCTTTAGCGCGACGTATGTATTTGTGTATAAACTAGATCGACAACGACTGACTTAAAGATCCCTTTAGTCAAGACTGAGCAGGCTAAATCTAAGATATCTTATAGTGGTGCAAGTCTATTCAATTCTTTACCTTCTGAGTTAAAAATCGTTGAAAATTATTCACCTAACTCTTTTAAAAAAAAGCTTAAAACCTTTTTTCTTCAATTAAACAATGAAGTAGACCATGTTAATGAATTTAGCTGCACTGTATGCAAGCATATCATTCGTTGCCAATGTTTCTCGCGATGAAACCTTTCATATTACCTTTCGAGGGCCATTGGGAAGAATACCTTAAGGTAACAATGTGAACCCCTCATGAAATAAAGTTTTAATAATAATAATAATAATATGTAGTCAAAATCTCGATTTGTAAATGTCTGTCTGTCCGCGTAGATTTATGCGAAATTTATGCAAACGGAAGACAACGTCACATAACTCACATTTCTTCCCATTATTGCTCATTTCTTGCTCATTTATTGTATATTGAACATCACGGAACTCGTATGTATTTGTGTATGTAGTCTCTCCGCGTTTATGCGAAATTATTGCTATTGTATATTGATCATGAACTGACAAGTTCTTTTACGCGTAATGGGCGGCTGGACGAATAGACATGCATTAATCATTATAGTGAGGGAGAATAGATACACTCGGACAAATAACAGAATACCATGTAAGTGGATCGAAATATAGCATAACGTCCATAATATATATTTTAATTAACATTTAAATCAAAATATTTGTCACTTTTGTGTACATTGTAATGCTGTAGTTCTATTTTCATGTGTTCTGTGGCTATACCCTATGCCTGTGAGGCAGCACTTCACTTGCGATAGTAACTTCTAGTATCTTTCTTTCCGGGGGGTTGTAAACCATCTGTTTACGTAATTAACTATCTCATTCTTCTTTCTTTGGATATGACTTCTTCTCTATATACTTGTGCACAATTTATTGTTAACTCCTGGAAAAAAAATCAGAAAAAAATTAAGATTATGCTCATACTCGCCAGACGAATCGCACTTTTAGCGATTCAATTTCAACCCCCATACACTTGTATAATCGTTATGCAAATGCGCTAGTTGTGTTTTGCGAATTTTCGAGCAAAAAAGGAAAGTTGTTTGAATATATAAAATATATCACGACAAGTTATGTTAACTGTGGAGAAAAGACATTCGATGAGATATCCTCTTCGCGCACGAGTGGACAGTGCGAGTGATTTTATTTCGCAAGTGTGATATGAGGCAATGTAGCTTCTGTGCATCCTCTGGCCGGACTTCGTACTTGGATCAAATAAACTCAAAATATCCTCAAATAATGCCTAATGCAAAGAAACGAATGGCCTGCAGAAAAAAATCAATTGCGGGGTTAGATACCCGGCTATTTTCATATATTCACGTTTGAACCTGAATCTGAATGCGAATTTTGAGAATTTTGAGGCCCTATAAGCAAATTTCTCTTTGGGGTCCGAATTCCCCAGCAAAACAAAGGATTCGTCACGAACTTCGATTTTTTTGTTGCTATGAAAAGACTGACATTCTTTAAAACGAAATTTTAACATTTCTTGAGCCATTAATCTTAGATATAAGGACAAATAAAACTTGGAACTAGGGGTTACTATCGCAAGGAAATAGCTGCCTTGGAAAAACAACTATATTACAATAGCTTGAAAAAAACAACTTTATTTACAAGTGATATGAGTGATTAAGTCTGAATAGATAAACTTACAACACTTCAAAACTTACTACTTACACTTATTAGATGAAGTCTGAAATATTTACATCTTAATAGTAACAAGCAATTAATACTGATAATAACTTTTTAATAAGGCATTAATAGTGTGTACTATGTATGCAATACAGTGCCATACAAAAGTGTTTATTAGGAAAAACCATAACATCGGCTGAAGTGCGACTGGCGGCATGAGGGAAACTGGATTGATATTAAGAAATCAACCAGTCAGAAGCCTGATCCTCGACTAAACTGAATTATCATTTCCTTTATTTCATACGATTTCTGCACTTAAAAATCTTAAGAAATTCTATTTCTGTACAGAAACGCTTTTGTTTTACGATCAATTGTAATGATAATTTTATATGTTATTTACCAGATTGGAGGTCCGTATAGGGAAATATTTCCCAAGGTCTCAAAAACAGCCCAAGGCCGAAGGCTGAGGGACGTTTTTGAGACCGAGGGAAATATTTCCCTATACGGACCGACTAAACTGGTAAATAATAGATTTATTTTTCCTCTTGCCGTCCGAATTCATATTTTACCGTTGGCTCTGTGCTTTTTAATCTCGCGCGGTCCGTACAGCCTCATACGGACCGCTCGCATAGCCAATCAGATTGCAGGAAACGCGAAAAAAATAATACTTTTTAATTGTTCTTTGCAGCAAGAATTAGCATGACAACGTCAACGATTTCTGCTGTTGGTCGGCCATTCGGCTTAGGGATGCTTTACGATCGTCGTTCCGACAAGTTGATTCCTGCTAAAACATTGTGGTCTCACAATCACTTGAATGCCGCTGTCGATACTAGGCCCCAACCATTCACTAACTCCAAAGTATTCACAGAAAATACGGTTGAAGATAAGACAAGTGCTCTTGACATAGAAGCCAGCCTAAAGTTAAGTTTTCTTTCCGGGCTAGTAACAGTGGAAGGCGCTGCAAAGTATTTAAATGATACCAAAAAATCAAAGAATCAATGTCGGGTTGTTCTGAAATATGAAACAACTACAGAACTCAAACAACTCACCATGGAACATTTGGGAACAGGGAAAATTCAATTTCCCGAGGTGTTTGATACTGATACTGAGGCAACGGATGTTGTGGTTGGTATACTGTACGGAGCAAAGGCATTCATGGTATTTGACAAGGAAGTCTCTAAGGACGAAACGTTAAAGAAAGTACATGGAAGCATGGACATTTTGGTTAAATCATTGCCAAGCATGTCTGTTGATGGAGATGGGTTTGTCAAAATCGATGAAACACAAAAGAAGAACACCGAAAACATGCGTTGCCAGATGTATGGAGATTTCCGTACCAGCGAAAGTCCAACAAATTACGAAGATGCGGTGAAAATTTACAAACTGTTACCTTCACTGATTGGTGAGAACGGAGAAAAAGCTGTTCCAATTAAAGTATATTTGTCTCCATTGAGTTCAATTGACAGCAAATGCCAAAGAATAGTAAGGGAGATTAGTTTAAATCTAGTTAAAAAATCAGCTGAAATCCAAGAGCACCTCCAGTCTGCGATAACAGAATGCAATGATCTGATAAGAGAAGATATATGCGTTCATTTTCCAAGATTAGGAACACAACTTAGACATTATTCGAAAACGATTGAGTTGTACAAACTCTTTCTACAGAAGAAAATACTGGTAATTCTTCCCCAAATTCGAGGTGGTGGAGTAGACGAAATCGAGCTGGCTCAAATCATTGAAGAAAACGAAGCATCGCCGTTTTCTTTCACGTGTATTGAAGGTTGGCTTAACGGAAAGAAACAAGAAATCGAGAGATTGCAGGCAATGATCCAACCGCTAGGAGAAACTCCTGTCGTCAATCCAGAAAAGGTAAAAAATCATCTGTCAAATCCGGCAATCGAGTTTATAGTTTGTTGTACGTTCCGAATTGCTTGCGAAGAAGACGAACAAATTTTGAAAATGAAGGCTTATCTTAACGACGGCGCTGTATCGAATGAAAGTGTTGAAAGAAAATTTGACGAAAAACCGACTTCGAGAAAAGTGCGTGAAGCATTGAGGAATTTCATGATTTTAAAATCGGTGAATGAAGAAATAAGCTCGATTGAATTTCTGGCAACAGATGAGCCGCTGTCCCATGACTACGATGGTAAAATGGGGGCTTTTCTTTGTTTCTACGCAGAAGGAGATGTTGAGGACGAGGATCTGACTGCACAGCCCACGCCAAAGAACCTGAAATTAGAAGAAGCAGAGGAAAGTACGTTGCAAATTTCCTGGGATGATCAAGCTGGGAACACTGTTACGAGTTACAAGGTTCAATACCAGGATGATGCTGGCGGAGATACGTGGTCAAGTGTTGATGTTAAATCCAGCGGCGAAGTTCGGAATTTTGTCACTCTTACAGATCTTAAACTAGGAACGAAATACTTCATCCGAATCAACGCAGTACGAAAAATCATTGTTAGTGAGTACAGTGAGGTATTTTCTGCCAGTACGAAGCCAGCCAGTCCTCCTGGTAAACCAGAAGTACAAGAAGCTACATCTGAATCACTAACAATTGTTTTCAAAGAACCACAACGTCTCGCAAAGAATGTTCAGATCGTCAACTATAAAGTCGAGTGGAGCCAAGACGACTGGAAAAATCGCAAGATGAAACAGACGGACGATGCAACGCCAAAGTATACTCTAAAAAATCTTCATCCATCAATGTCATTTGTCTTCAGAGTCACAGCAAACTGTGGTGACGCGGGAGAAAGCAAGAACAGTCCTTCTAGCGATTCATTTTCTACCTCTTCCCAAAAACCAACGTTTCAGCCGGACAAAATCCTTGGTTTGTGCAAGCTTGTTAAGCCAGCTGAGGACGGCAAACCTGCTGTCTATGTTCTTCCTTCGACTTTAGTATTCGAAGATCGTGATCTCAAATCACGTAAATATCAGATTAACCTCGAAATCGGAGATAGTGATGCTCAGAGGGCAAGTATACGAAATAAAGTTATCATGATGGTTGGATCAATTGGCTCAGAAAAAACAACTGCAATAAATGCTATGATCAATTATATTCTTGGAGTGAATTGGGAAGATTCTTTCCGACTGAAAATGATCCATGATTCTTCCCAGTCGCCGTTTGTCACTTGCTACACGTTGCCGCATTTGAAAGGTTTTAAGGTAATTTTTCCTCTAATATTAACTCTAATGTTAGTTTCCATCTAGATTTGGGTTGCATATTTTTCGAATTGATAGATGATGAAAACAGATGATAAAACATTTCTTAATGTAGTAGCTATTGCCTGAGACAAACTTAAGAACTGTTGGGACAAACTTAAGAAAGATTTTGGAAATAAGCGTGATTAAAACCATAACTGATATTATTTCAAAATTTAGTTTATTTGAGGAATGGTCTATAGGATACTTGGTAAAAGTTACAAGGCACAACAGTTCTATACAGCAACGTGTCTCTGAACATACAACATGCATATCAGGCAGCTAAATAATTATAGCTAAATAAGTCGTTAATGCATGATTATTTACGCACTGGATTTATATTTGTCTTATGATGAATCTTTTTTCCAGGTGCCGTACAATTTAACTATTGTGGACATCCCCGGGTTTGAAGACATAAGACAGATGAAATACAATCAAAAGATAACTGATCAACTTCGCAAATTTTTCGAAACGAGTGGTGATGGAAGGATTGATCATATTGACGCCATCTGCTTTCTTTCTCAAGCTGGAGTACCAAAGCTCACACCTACCCAACGTTACATATTTGACAAAATTCTGTCCATATTTGGCAAGGATATCCAGAAGAACATAATCGTTCTATTCACCTTTTCCTATGGCGATCCCCAAGCAGTATCCACCCTGCATGAGGCTGAAGCCATTGATCAAGAAGATATACCTTTCCCGTTGAATAACAGCGCACCCTTCGCTGACAATTCCCAAAGTAATATCTTTAGCCCAATGTTTTGGTCAATCCGAATGAACAGTTGTGAGAAGTTTTTTGAATGTGTTAAGGGAATGGAAAGCAAAAGTGTTGTTTTGACAAAAGATATGTCACAGGAAATGGCGCAAGTGGAAGATCGAGTATGTGAATTGCAGGATAAAATGCACTTTGCAATAAACGAACTTTGCCGACGTGAGAAAGAACAGAAAATATTCGAAGAATTTGGCGATCAATTATACTACCGGGATTTTACGTACAGTTTAACAGAAGACGAACGAGTGGAGAAAGTCCCTCTGCAATCTGGAACGTACGTAACGAGATGTATCCCTTGCAATTATACCTGCCACCCCTTTTGTGACATCCTTAGGAATGAGGATAAAAAATACTGCGCAGCTATGAGCAATGGAAGATGCCAGCAATGTCCCAGTCGTTGTGACTGGTCGGTTCATGTAAATGTCCAGTATCGGATGGAGATTGAAAGAGTTGAAAGAGAACACATTGCCAGTAAAGAGAATTATAGCCAGATGAGCGATGTTGAAGATAAAATCAAGAGAATTAGAGAAGAGTACGACGAGATTCAGAAGATCGTTCTTGTGTTTGTAGCAGAAATACAACGTTGTTTACAACGGCTATCAGAAATCACTCAGAAAAAAGATCCTCTTACACATTTGGAATATCTTCGTGCTCTTATTCGTTCAGAAAAATTGCAAGGCGAACCTGGTTTCGAGGACCGTATAAAGACTCTGAAAGAAACACTAAATCGGGCTATAAAGATCAGTCGCAAGGCAAAACCTGGCTTTGATCCATGGGAAGAATACAAAGAAAACGAAGAAATGTGAAGATGACATGATGATGAGGAAAGTACGAAATGTTTTAAACAACGACCGCTAAACGTGTATTAAGTTTTAGTTATCATCATAATAACATATTTCTGAGAGTGAGAGAAGTTCGGGAAAACATAAAACCGAAGTTAAGTGGTATAAGTTACAGTTGTGTCTGATTGAACTTGATTACAACTTTGATTTAACTTGATTTGATTACGTAGTAGGACATAGGGGTTGACGTGTAGCCCCTTATACAGACGAGCTAGTTTTATATATGACATTTATATTTGTACTTTGACAATTTTTTCTATGCAAGTACACTTGTTCAAAATCAAGTATACTGTCATAAAAAAAAATTGTCAAAGTTGGGCGTGCAGAGAACAATTAAAACTTGTCACATAAAAACTTGCTCGTCTGTAAGAGGCTTTAACTTGATTTAGGCTTTAACTTGATTTAGGCTTTAACTTGATTTAAAGCGTGCAGAGAACAATTAAAACTTGTCTTATAAAAACTTGCTCGTCTGTAAGAGGCTTTAACTTGATTTGATTACGTATATAGAAAGACATAGGGGTTGACGTGTAATTTGATTCACAACATTTAAAATATTAGAACAAAGGCCAGCGGAGTGAGTTTTGTGTATTCAATTAAATCAAATGTTGTTTTTGGGCGTAAAGCTAGACTCACACATTAAATGCGTTAAGTTCCTTATTTTTTCAATCAATAACATAATCGATGTATCGTAATCATGCGCAATCATTTTAGAATGTCTTAGAAGTATATACTACAAAAATCTTTATGGTGTTTTACGTTGTTTTGTGCATTGGAATTATTTAAATATTTCACACGCCACTACATATATAGGCCATGCATTATTGCTACATAATATAATGCAGCACAAAGAAAATTGGTAGTTTTTGAATTTGAAGAGCGACTACATGGAAATTCCTGTGCTTAATTGAGTGGCCAATCAGCGTCCAGAATTAAGAAATGCTATATTAACGATGCATGTTTTAGAAAGAATTCCAAGAAAATGAAAAGACATTTCGTTATTTCATCAAAAACAAAAACCCTCCAAAAATTTAAATAAACGACATGCACCGTCTCACCTTCGTCAAGAATGTATTGGGTTTCCACTCGTATCTCTCTTTTTACTAAAAGGATTTGGAGAGCTAAAATTTTTGTCATGGTGATCAGACCGTGATCTCCTGTTTGTGGCAGAAATGCAACGCGGCTTTAACGACTTTCTGAAGTCATTTTGAAGAAAAATCCGCTTCAACAACTCGATTATCTTGATCCTCTTATTCAATCAGAAGAAATGCAAGGCGGACCTGGTTGGACAAGATAACAAAGTTGAACTGCCTATACCTGATTAACAAGGGAGCAGCGTGGCAGCGTCTTCAAACAACTTAGCATCAAATGTGGTATAACAGCTGCTTAAAATAGACAAAATACTTCTCGACGTTTCAACTTGACGACGTTTCATACTTATTATGAAAAAGGCTTTTTCTTATTAGCTATACCTGATTAGTTTCAGATTACTAGAATAACATACGGGGGGGGGGACATAGAATTGCATCGCACTACCTTTGCCGCGTGCTTGCATGGTTGGCTGTCTGAACAACCAATGCCTTTATGATAATTTAACAACAGCGTACATACCATTGTTATGTTTGGAATAACTTCGCTGGTATTAAATTATCATCTAAATTGTATACCATGCGACCAGGTTTCAACATGTGACTATACATGAGGCGTTATGATTGGGTTACATATTTATGAATACTTAATTAAAGAGCATATGCGATGTTAAAATTTTGCCAAACACGAAGAGCACTCCACATACCCTATCCTATGCAAGACAGAAACCCTTTCTGCAGAAAGACTAGAAAAGTGAAGTGTACTCATGTGTCGAATGGAGGAAAGATCTGGTCTACTAAAAGACGAAGTTGCACTTCATGATGGAATACATCAGCAGTTTCCTGTGAATGAACAAGATGGACACTTTCCTGCACAGAATGGAAGTGTACTAGCAGTGGCGCACGAGCTTGCGATGGCCGGCGATGAACTGACAAGAAGATTTTCTGTGAACGAAACAAAACAAGACACGATATGGGATGTATCGATATGGAAAGTAAAACGCTACGCCATAATTGCAACGTTTCGTTTATTATTTGGCCTTGTATAAACTCAAGAACAACATATAGAACTCCAGATATACTTGTATGTAATTTAACTTGTATAGAATGGATAGTCCATAGAATGTTTAACTTATATAGAATATAGTTGTCTGGGGGTTTTGATGGACTCTCCCAGCCACCAGCGTTTTTTCAAAACTGGCTCTCACTTGTGACTTTGCTAAACGTAAACGACGGTCGTCTCGCGTATTTATTTTAGACGAATGACTTAAGATGCATGCAGACGATACAACGTTATTTTGGTTTTTATTTAATGCATGCCTGTTAATGTTGATAAAAAAACAAGACGAGGTTGTATAGGATAGTTTGATGAAGAACCTCACAAGAGTTACAAAACTAACTCACGATATTATACCTAGAGCCAAACACCCATCTCCCATGCATGCATGCATATATACCTCTTGTCCGAAGTGTACAAATAGTTTTCCTTCTACAGATGACATTTTCTATTATATTCTATTCTAATATATTAAATAATATTTTAATCTTGCGATTTCTATCGACATCATTTAAAGTACAGCATCGGACTAAAAAACCATAAAAACCATATATATAGACTATATCGTATTGAATGCGAATGATGTTTCTTGTCAAACAGTCAAAGTATGTATACATGTTACTTCTAAGCAGAATCTCATTATAACATGGAATAAACCATAATTCATTGCCCAGGCAGGCAAAGCGAAAAAGCTTGAATTCATCAGTTAGTGAAGTTTCACTCTTGTAAATATATCTCTTGGATGAATAAAAATTTCAAAACTCATCATATGGCCATGATGTTAATTGTACAATAGCTGATGTGGTCGTATAGAAAGCATCACTGCATGAATATATTTAATGCATTAACACATTCAAACTTGTAAATATCTCGAATGAAGTTTAGACGTAAAGTTTTGTCAGTTTATACTTCGAGGGATGTCCTTTGTTAAACATTTGATGCTATACTGACAAATAAGGACCTATATATACGTGCATGTATTGTTAGTCATCTTTTTAGAAGTTAACCATTACTCAACGTGATTAAAATTCGCAAAACCTTTGGGGGTAACAGAAATGACTGCCATTCTATTGAGCAGAGTTAATATTTTGTAGTTTCCACTGCGTCATACCACTCTAAGTGCATGCAATTACGTATTTATCCTTTGTCGAGTTGTGGCTCGATCGTAGTGCCAAAATTACGTTAACTCCATGTGGTATAAATAGTTACAGTCGTAGTAGAAATTCTAAAGGATCCTTATATAAACGCAGCCTTTATTGTTCCATACCTGGGACAATTATATCAAAACTATTGTCAGTAAAACACCATGGATAAATCATATATAGACATCAAATATTTGTTATATCTTTATCTAACAACCGGCTATTTTAATTCAAGAAACTCTATCGAGGGTATTATTTTATATAGGAATTATTTAATTCATCTTGAAGCGTGCATTTAAAAAGCCACGATCCCATATTGCAATAACTTTGCCATATACTACCATACCATTTATATAAGACTCTCACAGACGTTTAAGTAATAGAAAATTTCATATTGCGACTTGCATGTGTCTTCTATTTATAGGCTATTTTTAAATAGGAAATTACTTCACCGTCTTCTATATCCTATAAATGTGCAATTTCTGCATAGTCAAAAATAAGATCTCTATAGATATAATAATTTCAAAGCTATATATCCTTAACAAGAGTATCTTGTAACTAAAATAGCCTAATCTTTAAGAGAACAGTGTTCAGTGCATGTAATACCACATCTCTGAAAGCGAGTGCAAAGATATCAAGGAAGAGTCAGAGCATGCATGTATGCACACTTTGTATCAAGAAGAAGAAGTATATAAATTTTAGCCTGTCTGCATCAAACCAAAGTGTGATAAGCCCTTTCGGCCTAGATTCTTCATTGTTTAACACAGGTTTCAATACAATCACCTGTAAATATAGTAGTTAAAGCATTCAATGCTTATGAAACACGAAAGATTATATATAGGTAAAAGGAAGCATGACAAGCATTGTTTATGTTCATATAGAATAATCAATACAAGTTTCAATTCAGGTAAAACAGGCATCATGATATACAATCCGATGATCGTACCATAAAATTATACTTTGGTTCAGGCCTAAAAATAAAAGCGAATTATGCAAGCGTATAAATCATGCAAATCAAGCGTTATAGACCTTTACCGGCGAAGTAAGAAACGTGCATGTCATAACGAAATCTGTCTTGGGTGCATGATTGCATGTGTACTTTTAGGCACAGTGGCAAATATACACAGGTTTACAATAATTATAGTCTGCAAGAAACGACTTATATTCAGAAGTTTATACATACACTCTCACTTTACACAAATCACGTGCACAAAATCGCCCGGGTCACAAAATTTTCCCATAATATATATTTGCAGAATTATGCTCTACTATAAAGTCTATATCTAAATCATTTTCTTGATCTAGCTTATATATAGGGGATATATAATATCTTCTTAGTTTATAATAATGTCCATAGATTGTTATGTAGTAAATACCGTCACATTCAGTGTTTATACGAAAGGTCGTTTTTGTTCCTGTGCAAATAGTTTATTTGCCTGCATGTCTAAGTCGTAAAAAGTTCCATATAGTAGATGACACAAGCACTTGTCTACTGGAAAACTGCCGTCTCATATATATTAATCAAGTATATATAATTTATAAAAACTTCAGGCATGTTACTGCTATGTTACAGTTATTGCACTATATATATTGTACTTTGAATCAACATTCAACAGTGCATGCATGCATGCCAACATTTTAAATATAGGACGAAGTGGGCATATTCTTGCAAAATTATATAAATTCAAAGTTTTGGCTATGTACAAAATATATATGTGTGAATTAACATGTATAGCAGGCTAGCAGCAACATATAGTCACTGTTGTAATGCATTGGAGGAAAGATTAAATCAGGTAATATACCAAGAGAAAATGTTATGTACTTTGAAAGAAAGTAATGTATTGCATTGTAATATAACCTATATCGGTATCCGTAAAGTTTGAGTCCAATCCTGTATACCAAAATCAAGTGTCCTTTGACCTTTTTCTTCCATGCAGATCTTTCTCTACGTATAGTTTTAGAGCCGGAAACATGGCACTCTTCAACAGAACATATTATACAACAAAATCATATATTATATTAGTTCAATACATATCGTGCAGTTAGAGTGAATCCTCATTGTTCTCTTATAACCAAAACCTATATACCTAGATGAAATCTATATGACGCATCTAACACCCCCGCGAAAACAAAAAATTGTTCCATATTATTAAAACCAATACGGGAAAAATAAACGAAATGGAAAAAAATAAACCAGATGGGAGATATTGCATTGGAAAGACATGTATTAAAATGAAACAACACATGAAGACACGTTGTTAGCTAATGGCTTTAAATTCCGATGTTTATATAACCATTAATTGTTTTTAGTTTTAGAGGGAGAATATAGGTCTACAATAGCTACGTTCGCCCTTATAAACGTATTCTTGGCCTCATTATGCAATAAAAACAATTATATTTTAGCAGGTGCTACCCAGCGACGAATATAGGTTAAGATTATATGCAAAAGACGGTCATTTGCATTTCTCCCAGAGACACAACAGATCATATACTGAAATTAGACCTGGCTCATTGCTCATATATACGAATCTACATTTAGCAAAGTCAAAACGTCAAGAAGTAACTCGGGCGGGTAAAAAGCTTCTTGATCGCATGCAGGAACAATAGTGTGGTGAACTGCAAACAAACTATAATCAGTCTAAGTCAAGGCCATGCAAGGGCAAATTAAAGTTGAGTCGCAGAATAAATCTTCTATCCAAAGTCTTTAAACTTTAGAGTACAACCATGCATTTACTAATGCGAATATAGTTAATGTAATTAAGTTTCAGGACTTCTGGAAACAAGCGGTGGAACTCTAGCTGTTGATGCACACATATGCATTTTGCCCGAGGGACTGCTTTATACTCTCGTGACTTGGTTTCTGAAGGCATATAAAAGTTATCAGATTCTATTTCAAAGAAGAGGTTTTAAACATGAAACTTGCTATCAACCGTTCCCAAACGGAAGCCTGTGAGTATGACTATATATAGGCTACAACTGCAAGATGGCTGTTGCCACAGCCGTTTTCGAAGTATTTTATGCAATATAAACATAAAAATGGCGCCTAAGATTCTATCTATATGCATCCATATGAAGTTGGTAAATTATCCATAGCTTGTCCCTTCCCATATTAACCTAAACTTAAATTAAACTACACATAGTTATGGATGTCAACGGATATACCATGCAGAACATTAAATGCCCTGACAGTGTTAAACCTGAACATATTATAAGCAAATATTCTTAGCTATCCTACCTTCACCTGAAGTTTTGTAGATTCCGCATCAAGTACAAACAATAACTTCCTACCAGAAACGCATCGAAGTCCGTGTGGACTCTGCCGGCGTGCTGCATGACCAAGTGTTTCATCTTACTTTAGTTGCCAAGATTAAGGGAAATTACGATCGACTAAATACTACCGACTTATTTTTTGTTGAAGCGAATGGATCAGATATGTCTGTATATACTAGGAGCAATCGTTCACCTATTTCTTTAACCGGACAAGAACGTTCAAACAAAACGCCCACGGATGGGCCTGCAATCAAATGGACGGAAACTCATTATGAATGCAAAAAGTAATATATAAATTTTAGCCTGTCTGCATCAAACCAAAGGCCAAGTGTGATAAGCCATTTTGGGCTTGATTTTTCATTGTTTAACAGAGGTTCTAATACAATCACCAGTAAATATAGTAGTCAAAGCATTCAATGCTTTCAAAAATAGTTCAAAGAAGAAATGAAACACGAAAGATTATATAGGTAGCTACATTTTCAAAAAGAAAGCATGAAGACAAGCATTGTTTATGTTCATATAGAATAAGTGATACAAGTTTCATTTCAGGTAAAACAGGCATCATGATATACAATCCGTGTGGACTCTGCCGGCGTGCTGTCCAAGTGTTTGATCTTACTTTAGTTGGCAAGATTAAGGGAAATTACGATCGACTAAATACTACCGACTTATTTTTTGTTGAAGCGAATGGATCAGATATGCCTGTATATACTAGGAGCAATCGTTCACCTATTTCTTCAACCGGACAAGAACGTTCAAACAAAACGCCCACGGATGGGCCTGCAATCAAATGGACGGAAACTCATTATGAATGCAAAATACATCAAAGTTCTTGCTCTGTATGAATGCAAAATACATCAAAGTTCTTGCTCTGTTTCTTTTGATAGTTTTATGCATAACCAGTGGAGCAGTGTAGTCTGACGACTTAGGGACTGTTTACAACTATAAAATGATGCCTTTGAAAGCATGAAAAAAGTTTATGATACAATTTTGTCTTCACGGTCGCGCCGACAAAAACAATAGACTGCCACTGGTCTTTGATCTAAGTTCAAAGATGGCGGCCAAGTATACATAGCCGTCAGTTATTGTCTCCAGAGAATCATTGAGTCATGCAGATAATAGCATGTTTGTTTTTTGTATTTCAATACCTCGAAATCTTCTTACCCCTCGTTGAATCTCATGCAAACAGCCCTAAGTTCCGTTTGGCCGGCGAACATTTTAGTGCTCAAAAATTGTATAGCGGGGATTAACTCGTCTGACTAGTAATCTATACCACCGGCCATAATTCTGTGCAACAATTACGTGATTTAAAGTCACTGAAATAATCACTAAATTAATTCGTGCCCTGGGAATGATATTGGCAGACAAGTCAGTTCAGCAATACACCGGTTGGAATCACAGGGTAAGGACTATAAGGAATATACAGTATACGTTTGTGTCCTTAGACATCGCATTGCGCATTTTCCGGAATTCCCGCAATCACTCTGGTCAGTCAACGACATTTTAAATCACTTTCTTGCCAATCAATTCGTTGGAATTGTTTTGTCACCGTTACTTCGGCAAGTGTATAAGGCCTGGGTCAAAGTCAAACGTCGCACTTCGCATGCACCGAACGCATTAAAAACAATAGATGAGACATTAAAGCTTATTACCTATATTGTTACTTACGCATTCAGCGCATGAAAAGGGCGAGTTTGACTTATGTCTAAAGCCGGTTTTCCACTAGCGATATTTTTCGCGCGAAGCGGCATTTTATTTTGTTTCAGAGCTCTCAACTGCAACCATCTGGAACAAATTGCTCAAATAACAAAGGAATAAAGTCTCTTCGCGCGAAAAATATCGCTAGTGGAAAACCGGCTTAACATAGCAAAAAATACCGTCGCGATATCAGTGTCCTGTTTCAGGAAATGGCAAGGGATGCTCTGCCTAAATTGAGTTCTGAGCCGGGTCAAAAAACATGCCCGCTAGCGTCAACTCTATTGTTACAATGGGACAAGTTATACAAAAATGTTCTAACATGTTAAGATTTCAGTTTAAATTACAACTATAACTTAATGACTATCTCACATTTATACACTACGTCCATTTAGTAGTGTTCTAACTATAATAAATACATACAAAAAAATAACCTTTGTAGGCAGTGGGGGTAAATTATATATAGAAAATTATCAGAATTTTGTGGGCAGGGGGGGGGACGCTGTCCTGGGCCATCTCTTAGTCATGCTAACCTTGATACATCATATATTAAACTAACCTATAGTTACAATTACAAATGCTGATTTCCCTCTAAACATTGGCGGTCTATTTTATCTGTATGAAAGTTTTACCATACAGACGATCAATTGAATTTTTATATACCTTACTTCACTATTAAAAAAATCCAAAATTCGACAGTAAAACCAGGTTTATCCTGCAAAAGATAATGAAATACGTGGATATAAACATACATCACAATGGTTCACAATCAGCAACGGGATTGGTAAACAGGGTATTTCAGTGATTGGCAACAAAAATGATGTTATAGCTAATCAAATGCTGCATGCGTTTACAATCTGCGCATGCTTGTTCACAGGAGCGATGTTACGGGCGAAACGGAAAGTGGTCAATTTTAAAACGTTTTGTGAAATCGACAGTGTAAAATTAGCTGACAGCGGTCGCATGCATATAATGCTACTAACAAAGATTGCTTTATAAAATATGTCTATATTTGTAATACATATAGTTTTGCTTACAAATTTCTGTTCTTGAAGATGCGTCGTTTTTCGTCTGTTGAAAAAACATAGTTGAGAAACATTACGGTTTAGTTGAAGTTGTTCGTCTTTTGGACATCGGCTCGCATCTAACCCACAAGTAACTCAAAGTGAGTCAAACTTAATAAAGTTCCTCATTGCATTTCATTGTTTTAATGCTTTAGACAGTTAAAAGCATTTGACAAACGGCGTCAAAATCATGCCCAAAACTGGACTGTCAAATTAAAGGAGCCAAAGTTCTCGAGATGGTTATCGTATCCCAATGCTGCGTAATTTGCTCTCCTACATTGTCTGAAAGTTATTGTTAAATTTTGATGCACTAACATGGCATTCTTGTCGCTTGGAAGGCGCTAATAAAGTTGCAGTACTATATGATCTCAAATCTATTTTCAACAGTGTCTAATAGTTTGGTGCGAGCTAGGATGTGTATACCAATTTTTATCATGGCATGCATTAATAACGTGAAAGAAGTGAGCAAGGAAATTTTGAGGGATACATAGATAGATATTGATATTAACTACCCCTATTTTAAAAGGTCAATCTTATCAATGCACAATTATGCTTGTGAGTAGGACTTGCTATTTTTGGGTTTCACGTGACGTCATAATTCCAGTGGGGCTCATCTCGAAATCGAGACACAGTAAATAGGAGCGAGTTAATTGTTCACTATATGTGTTGGCTTCGTGCTTCGTAGCAACTATACGCAATTTCGTATCATTTGCTCACTCCTGTTCAGTCAGCATTAGGGTCGAAGCAACGAAGGTTGACCCCCACTCAAACCACTATGAAAAATACGTGAAACCCACCAACATCGCTATACCAATAATAGTGTAAGCGAGAACTCACCAAAGGCACAATGCTACTCGTTTCAGTCATTCCCATTACGTCATCCTGAATATCTTCGCTATTTCCCACGTATGTTGGATTGTTTAAAACTGGCGCTTCTAGTTCGGTTGACGGATGCTAAGAAAGTATTAATAATGAGGAGTAAAATAGCAGGTTAATGCATACTTTGGAGTGAATTCTGATTCCTTAAAGCATTTATGTCCGACTCACGCAGCGACACAGAGCCGTACTACGAAGCCATAGAGGGCTAGGGCAAGAATGAAAACCACCTCAAAAATATACAGAAATTACTCTGGCGAGTTAGGGTTCTTCTTAACTTGTATACTATTACCAGAATTTTTACCGCCGCTCTTGGCTGTTCTTGAAAGAGCGGAAATAGTCTTATTTATACACAAAGAATTCACTTCCAATAATTTGCCGTGGAATAATTCTGAAATTCGATTCAAATTTCTATACCTGCAATATTTGATGTTCATACTCGTCATCACCAGCATGATCATCATCACGAATATCATCATCATCATCATCAATATTATCATCTTCAGTGTAAGCCTCGCTCTGGAGTAGTATGTTTTCGAAATTCTAAGTCAAGAAAAAGACTTTAGTTACAGTAATTCCTAAGAAAGAAAGATCTACTCTGCCGTTGCTTTGCCATGCAGAGACACTTTGAAATTCCAGAACGATGCAGTCAATACGAATTTTGAGAAAAACAAAGTGCCAGCAATAGCACAACTAAATATATACAACCTCACCAACTGTGGCAAGTTGACGAGCTTTGTACCAAAAATGAACTTTGTATACCGAATGACTGTCTATTTGCTAAACTTGTACTTAATTTATGGATTTCGAACATGCAACTGATGCATTTTTACGCCTTAATATCCTTTAATTCTCTTAAAGAAGCGTTCATTCGAACGGAACTATATATTAGTTTGTGCATTGTTAAATGAGAATTATAGGTTACCCTGTTATACTTGACATTGTAGGAATGACGTCGTTTCTTGACGAAGTAGATAACAACAATAATAATAATAGCGGCGACAATTACACCAACAGTGATGCCAATAATTTCAGCAACATTCTTTAAAGAGAAAATAAAATTATTCCAAACACGAAGGCACAAGCACAAATATGACTGGAAATAGTCGTCAATATCCGATGCAGCTTGCTTAATATCTCATGGAATGTATACTAACATTTTTTTCCTCTGTACTGACCCTCACCGAGCTTCCGTCGTGTGTAGGCTAAAAAATATATTTTAGGTTTATTTGACTGCAGCTCCGTTCAATCGTGATTATTATTAGTTATTATTATTATAAATTTCGAGGTGACTATCGATTTTCTAGCATTCTGATTGGTCAAGATTCACTGTCTCTGAAGTGATAGTCACTGGCGGTGACTATAGCCTTTTGTTGTGGTTTTTCAAATAAGAAATTTAAAGTAATTGTATTTTTTTATGAAATTATGTTGATTATTATTTGTAAACACCTCGAAATTTATACTAAAACAATTAGTCCCCTCAGGCTTGGTGATTGCAAGCCTATATTCACTTCGCCTTCGACTCAGTGAGTATTACTTGTAACCACCTCACCTTCGGCGACTAATTGTTAAAGGGAAGTTAAGAAGAGTTGTCTTGCAATCAGTATTCTCATCGCGTGGGAACGATTAGGAAATGTTTTCACAAAAATATTTCTGCTAACACACTCATCATCGCATCAATTTTCGCACTTAACTTACCCTTGTTGCTTTAGACGGAGGAATTGTTCGAGACGGAGGAATTGTTCGAGGTGGAGGATGAGGTGGAAGATGAGGTGGTTTCGTATACTAAAATAAATAAATTTAACAATTTCGTGTAGGTTATGAGATGGGTCTTTCAGTTGTTTACACAGTACACAGAAAAAAATCGGGCTGGAGGAGAGCTGAAGATCGTGTCATACTAACCAGAAGCACATGATCAATAACAACGACGATTCCATTTTTTGCATCGCGATCGTACAGAACATTTGCGATATTGTTCAATCTGATCTTGCCCTTGAAAAACAGAGAATATAATAAACAGAGTTTGGACATGCGCGTTTTATGATGACTTTTATACAGACCAAATATTTGGTTTTGTTTAAACAAGTGTCAGAATTAGCAGATCTGAAAAGTATATAATTCTGCAGTTAACAATAGAGTTGATGTTCGCGGGCATAAAATTAATGTGTTTTTGGCCCGACTCTGAACTCACACCGCAATGCCCGCCAAAGTTAATATAATGTTCAGTTTCTCCGACATTTAGCTAACTATACGTTCTTTGGTTCTTAATTCAGGAGAATTAAGAGCGACGTAATATAATTTGGATTCGGTATTCCCATGTGGTCCCATAGTGGAACAACTAGACTATAGGGAGAACAATTTAGAACTAATAGGTTAAGTTATATATTATAGGTTAAGTATGAAACACTAACTCTCCTGACGAAGGCCCTGAGGTCGAAACGTCGATAAGTGTTTTGTCTATTTTAGGCAGTTGTTATATACCACATTTGATGCTAAGTATGAAACAGCCTGGCACTTACATCTTGTGATACAACAATCGTGATATTATTCCTCGCCAAGTTGGGTACAATTTTTGTCGTTCCAGGTTTAAACGATTGACGACCTTCAACAATATGGTTCTTTAAATCATCTTTTGTCATACGCTAGAGTAACAGAAAATATCACACAATTTTTAATACAGTGCATTCATTTGCTCGTTATATTGCTTCTTCGCGCGCTTATATGCTGAGCATTCACCTGATTTTTCAGAAATCATAGCTAGGAAACAATATTTCCTACATTTCTTGGTTTTCTATTATTTACAGACGTAGAAACTTGCGACAATGTTTCCAGGTTAGTCTCCTTTAAGAAACTAAGAGTAAGAATAATGCTACCCTAGCAGCTTGCGTAATTATAGACGAAAAAAACACGCATGAATCTATAAAATGTTTCTAGCGTCACCATGTTTAAGAAACATGGCTAGCAATAGATAACTTAAACTGTATGGATAGGCGATTAACTTAAATTTAGATTAACTTAAACTGTATGGAAGGCGAACATTTTTTATAATGACGTCAAACGTGCATGGAAAGCCGGATGTTACAAGAAGTTGATTGGCTCGCTAGTTTTACCATACTAGGCAGTCCAGACTTTGACTTGCGCGTGTGATACTCGCGCGCGTGTATGATGTCATTATATACAATACACATTTCATCTGTATACAGTGTCATTACATATAGTAAGCGCGACACGCGAGCAAGTCGAAGTCAAGGCTGCCATATGGTTTTGCGGAGACAATAAAACATCGTGTGACATTCGCATCGCGCGTTTCATGTCATTACGAGAGAGATTAATACAGTGCATACCTTGAGAGTGAAACCATAATTTATCGGCGCAAATACAGTGAAGTCCTTTTCGCTCGACAAATATCGGGTAATATTGTTTCCCTTCACACCTAACTTTTTTATACCCTGTAAAGTTACGAGAAGTGTTTTTGAGCATAGCTACATATATAGTTTCGCCATTTTTCTCATGGCGAACGATATACGACGTATATTAACAAAATTAAATACGGTTATTTCCATTCTTTGTTGAAGACATTTTTCTCTCATGCACCGATAGACAGTGAAAGATTTTTGATTTGATTCACGATTTGCATATTGAGGTATACTTTTACAAGACATCACAAGTTTCCTTAGCACTATTAAACCATTTTAGGGCTGGTATAACTATCGCACTAACTATCAAAGTCTGTGATTATACGAATTTTAAAAGTAATTATAGAATATCACTATCAAATACCTTAGCAAACTCACTCAGATCTTCAGTATCATAAATCACCTGAAAGAAAACATATATGCAATTTAGGTATTTATTATATTCATTTTGAAATCAGTGGTGTTTCTTACAATCTGATTGGTTAAAAATAGTGTGATTAATTCCCAAATCGCACTATTTTTGAGCATTTTAAAATCACATCATTTATTAGCCAATAAGTTTGAAGCTCTGCACCACAATAACCAAACAGATTTTGTATTTCAGTGTAACTATCCAATCAAATTACAGGGGAATATGGAACAAAATTTTATTATTTTGAATTTTTAACTCACAATTTTGAATTATTATTTATTTTGAATTACTCACATTTTACACCGTTTTCGGTTCTTTCAGCCAGTAAATAGTTTTAAATTTGTTTAATTTTTTGTATGATTTCAAAATGAGTATAATAAAGTGGAAATTGCACTTTGTGCCGTGCAATTTTGGTGTGAAATCAAACTTTTGATTACAAACTTTTGATTACAAATCGCACTCTCGATTTTGTAATCACGCGTTTGATTTCAAACCAAATTGCACTCCATTCAGTGCAATTACCATTATATATACTGTACATAAATTCACAGAATACTTCAAATAATTCAAATAAGAAGTGAAGTGAGCTTTATCAGCTCTAAACCTTATCTATACACGTGATATGATTTGTCGTGATTGTCTCGATTTAACAAATCTAATCAATTTTACCTCCTTCGCGGACCCTGAACATGAAATTCCGTTACCGACAAAACCCTTCCGACAACGGCAAACATCGGTACCACTTGTTCCTATTGGCGGATAATTTTATTTCTGATTAATCTGCATCAACATGCATATTCATAACATTGAGTAAAAAAAGCGTATTTGCGATATAAAAGACCGCATTGTCATTCTTAAATGAATGCATGGCCTCGTTTCTAAAGGCTGTTGTGGCGTACCTCACATATGCGACGTGTATATATAAACCGGCGATATACATATACACGTATTATTCCGAACGAGATAGGGTGCTTAATATATAAACATACTTTTGATTGCTGTTACGAGAAAATGGTGTCAATTCAAATGCGGAGCGACTTTAAGAGGATTTTCAAACCATTTTGATTAAATCCCTTCTAATTCAAACAGAAATAGAAATTCTGACCAGACCACTCGGTAATCGAATGGAAGTTACTCTCGACTGCATGACATCTGCAGAGCAGAGCAAGGTAGATTATAATATCTAAGGGTTACTTTAGAACAATTCCACTGGCCTCATACGCTATACGTTTTGCCCCACAGATGCTTCTTTGCCTCACAAAAAAGTATTGTTGGGCGAACGGTTTTTTTTTGTCATGTGCAATATTTATGCAATGCTGATTTCTTCTCGAGGTTCCTAGTATGAAGTCATGTGCAAAGGGTCTATTGCAATTTCATATGGCATGCATATGCACATACCAGTTTCACTGCACGTAGCGTATATACTGCAGATATGTTGGAATATCCAGCATATATGTGATCTAGAGTGCGGTGTACATGTATAACCATTGCCAACATAGCCTGAACGACACTCGCACTGAGCTGTGTTCTATATAGGAAAATAACAAAGTTAGGAATAAAAACATTCTTCCTATATGAAAATCCTTGTGCATGAAAGACAGTGATGCATTTCGTTTAGTGTTACTGCCCAAGAACGGGTTGTATAAAACTCTTTAACTACATTTTGGATAGTTAAATTCTAGTTAGTTTAGAAATACACGACTCTGATTGGCCGATTCGGTCGTTAACTACATGCAGTTGAAAGTTAAGTAGTCTCTTATACAACTGGCCTCTGGTGTTACTACAGAAACACCCCAATTTAAACTGCATGGTGTTACACTAAAAGAAATTTTATTTTTGCCACATAGGTTTAAACTGTTTTCCCTGATAGTCGACAAGACCTTTAAGGAGAAAACTAAATTGATTTGTATTTATACTGGACAGCTTTTCAATTCTGATGGTGATGGTTGAAGTGTGATTTTACTTACTGGTCCTGTGTACTTGCAAATAGCATGTTTATTACATCCTCCATTCTTTGTCTGACATTTATCAATCTCCTGGCAATAATACCCATCTCCTTCATAACCATCAATACACCGACACATCTTTTCCCCTTTTTCATCGCATGTCGCAAATATTGAACATGGATTTCGTCGACTTCTGCAATCTTTTGAGATAATCGTAGCGTCTACAATAAAGAATTGCCCCAGAGAATAAATTATTCACTGAAACATTCTTATCAAGAAACTTTAACTAGGACGATCACCTACATAATAAAATATAGTTTATTCTAGCGAAATTTGAATTCTATAGCAAAAAGGTTTGAATGTTGCTTGTCGTTGCCTGCATGGAAACGTAAGGCTGAACGTTACTAAAAATTATTCATAATAATATTCTAGTATGTTTGCATGCATGGTGACAGTCATGCAATAGTAATTTAGCTTGTAGGTAAACCCCACGTAGGGCTAAGTATTTAATACTGCAAAGGTTTCGGTCCGTTAACCTGGGCATTCGTATTGCACTGATGAAGGTCCGGGTTAACGGACCGAAAGCTTTACAGCATTAAATACTTGAGTGGTGTACCTACAAGCTAAATTCATAAACGAACGTAAATATCGGACAACTCGACCTTTCTATTTGCAACGAGGGAAAGAAGAAATAGAAAAAGTAAGTGTTTATTTCCTAAGTTTCAGGTTGCATGCATGCATGTGCATTTAATTTCTTCAGGCAAAACTTAAGAATTTCAGGTTTTAAACCAAAAAACGTTTTAAAAACATGCATATAAAAAGTATTTTTCCCTTAAAAGAAGAGCAGTTTTATTACTATTAGGAAGGATTAGAACAAAAACTTCATAAATGACAGGGTTATAGGGTTGGCGTGTTACGGAGTCTGTATACATACATACATGAATGCATGAAGTACACAAAAACATAATCATCTAATAGTTGACGAAGGAGTTATTTAAACCACCATGCTTCAAACTTCACTCGCGGTTTCTTCATTAAAATATTTGTTCAGCATTAAAAAACATCATTGGGAATATTATATACAGGCAGCAACCAGTAGCGTAGCCAGCCTGAAGATTTGTCTCGAAGATTTTGCTAATATTTTGGTGTTCACGACTGTGAAAACAATAGATTTCTAAAGAGATGAATAATTATAATAACTGGAATTTACATAACGGGACAAAATCGTCAGGCTGGCTACGCCACTGGCAGCAGCAATACGTTTCTAACGGAATATTAAAGGCTAAACCAAAAAAAAATTAACAAACATACGGCAGTCAACACTGGCTTTGGTCTGCACACAAATCTCGCAATTCGATCCATTGAATGAGCGATCACAACTGCAGCTTCCACTGCCGGATATTCCTTCATCACACGTGCCATGACCACTGCAGGGATTAGATCCACCTGGACACGCTGCAAGAACAATCACATGCACTATCATTCAATAAAGCCTATATATAGTAGTAATATGCATATGTATCGATATGGCTCACGAGCCAATATAGGCTTCTGAAAATTAGTAATATGAATGAAAATAGTTAAGTTCAGTTAAATACCAAAACAATCTGCGCCATAGAAATTCTTGCAGCAATTTCTTGTCATATTGCGTTTGAGACAATGTGTTCGACATCCAGTGTGCGTATCCTTCCCCTGTACCATGGTACACGACGAATTTTTATCAACACTCTATACAAGGCGGAAAAAACCGTTATTCGATCAAACTATCCTCCTTGCTTGCCCCACTGATCCACATTTTTTGTTGGCAAAATAGTTTATTTTGCGGTTTTTGTTACATCAGAATAGAAATAACTTGGTTTGTAGATAACACATACTTTATGGCGCTATACTGAGGCGCTACTCATTTTATTACTTACACAAAAGCCTCTGCGGAGAATGCACTTTTGCAAGTTCATCGTGAAATTTCAGCATTATATATTTGAATTTCGCATAAAAACTTTCTAGTAAAGATGCCGTGATATTTACGACACATGCATGCATGTACAATGAAACAAAGTTAAACTTATATTATATAAAGTGTCCCTGTTATTCTACATATAAACTAATTATATTTGCATGGCACTATAGCTAAGGACATTATTTTAAGACGACGCACATCAGCAGGAATTATATATAATACATGCAAGGAAATTCTTGCACACCCTACCTGTAAAGTTGAACCAGGAGGACACATTCCTTGGTCGCCACATGCTTTGCAATAGCCCTATATATTAATAAAAAATTTGGATGTAGGATCTTCTGGACATAATATTTGACGCTTAATTGGGTGGATGTCCGCAAATTCATTTACACGCCGTAGGAACAGTTTTGCACAGAAATCAGTCGGCATGGTGCATATTCCCCCCAATTAAGCTTCTCCTACGGCCTTTAATATTTATTTATTAATTTATCTATCGTGTTTCCCTTCAAACATCATATACATTAATTGCATTAAAGGCAAATGCATAAAAATAAAAAAAGAAAAGAAGCTGCGAAACCACACTTATAGAAATGAAAATTTAAAGATCGGACAAAAACTTAATTCTCACCCAAGGAAAATAATTTAAACCGACAGGCGAATCACTCCATAAAAGGATTTTTCTTAGGTGTTTTTCAGGCGAGTTGTAGCTATATACGACATTCCTATACAAATTTAGTGCCGAACATTTTGCTAGAATTTGTTGCTCAACATTTTCTTCTCAAAACCTTGAAGGGTCTTGCGACTGACAATAACATTTCGCAACACAATTATTTCTATACAGGGTGTCCAAAAAAAACTCCCTTCTATTGAAATCAAGCCTTTGTTCGAAACTGATTGCCTTAATATTATGATAAACCCAATTGAAAGCAAGTCGCTTTATTTAAATGCCTCAACCTAATAACTATATGCATTCAAATTCCAATAAAAGCTTCACTTCAATAGTGGGGACTTTTTTGGGACACCCTGTATATGGAAGTAAATTATTCTGCCTCCAGCAATAAATTACAGAACAGTGCATGTTAATTTCCGAACTACAACAACCCCCCCCCCCGTATAGCGCTAAATATTATAGGGAAAATGCTATTTTACACTTGCACTCATCTCTAACCTCTATTGAGACATATTTAATCTCGTCACATCGTCCAGCTACGCCAGGAGGGAGCAAAACTTGAGAAACTCCGAAGGCAACGCCCTCCTGAAATTCGATATCACGTTCGACGATTTTGCTTCTGTCGTTGATGTACAAATCACCCTGATATAAAAATGACGTTTAAAGAATTGGAACGCATGGTAATACATACAGACATTGGTACATGAAACAATAACTTGAAACAAAACCTCTAGAATCTACACAAGTTGGTCCGCATGCAGTATTATGAGCAGAACCGATGCGCAAACCCGATGCGCAAACCCAAACCCGATGCGCAAACCTGATGCGCAAACCCGATATTATCTTTGAAGATGGCGGCTATAATATATGACCTTATCTCACAACAGCATCGTAGCAGAACACTCCAGGGCACACACGAATGATGTCGCTAGGCTTAGAATACCTGATGTCCTTTGCATGATATAAAGAGAGAAGATCCTTCACGAGTCCGTCTGTAGAGACCACCAGAGTAACCGAGAATGTCGTGTGTAGTTATCTGAAAAAAAAATAAAAGAAAGAATGAAATGGCCTACCGCCTGAGCGTAAAACAACATGAGATATATATGTACAGATATGTATTTTGATGATTCGCGCGATCAAGAGTTGACACGTCACGATGCCCGTTTTCAAATGCACCATTCGGCTTGTCAGTGGGCAAAAATTTGGCATACGATTTCCTTTTAGTGGGTGCTCTACTAATGTTTAGAGTTAAAAAACATTTATCTACCTTCGTTTTCTGAATTATATGATAATTAATGATATTCCTTGCATATTCCTTGTTTGACAACTGTCTTTTCAGATCATTTTCCAAGCGCGAAAACGCGTCGTCACTCGGCCAGAACATTGTGTATGGTTCCTGATAAGGATTTGCCACGACATCAAGCATATCAGCTCTCTGAATAAAATAAGCAGTGGCCAGTTATATAAAACTCCTTAACTACATTTTGGTAATGGTAATTTGGTAATACACAACTCTGATTACATGGCCAATGTATAGCTGGTATGTATGGGATCATCATTCATTATTGAAGGCACATCGGTTGTTTTAGTCTTTATTCAATACTTGTCTTGAACATGTCTCAAATTTCTGCGTATAACTTGTTTTCGTATATAGACGTAAAGTTGATGGAGCAACTTTTGCTTATACAGCAGTTTGTACGGGCAGAAAATATAGCTACGGCCTTTACATAATCTACGGAATTTACATAATCTTTAAACAAACAAACCAACATTCTTACGGTTAGAAGTTCAACAAATTTTCCATAGCCTCTACTCGTCGCTGCACTTTTTAGCGCCATCTGTATAGTTAAAAAGAAATCCGTTACAGCGAGAAGGATTATTGCGAAGAAAAGGATACAGTAATAGTAAAAATAATATAATTGTATTAACGTGATGATGATGATGATTTTGAGAATAAATTCAGCCTAAAACTAAAGACACTCGTCGTTACGAGGTCTCACGCTCACGATTTTGAATAAAATCGCCAAAATGGCGGCATATTTGTTCGTGATTGACTAGTTAATTGACTAGCTCACTAAATTCGCTAACATTTATATATTTTCTTACGTTTCTAACAGAAGGTTTAGTCGTAGGGACATCAAACAAACTATCGACAACCAAAATAGTGCTTTCCCCCACATTCTTCACAGATAACACCTTCGTTTTGCCATTTAAAATCATGGGAGACGTGATGTTCAACCGCGATCCAGCGACAGTTACAAAACTTGTATCAGTGGTATTGGCGTCACTCTCGCTTAGTGCAACACAGCTTATGATGTAATACTTGAGATCCGAGTCTGATAGTGTTTTAACACTACGACGCTGGAAAACCAAAGTACATGTACACATGATTAAACCTATATTATACAACATTGTGTATCTATACAATACTATATATATATATATATATATATATATATTTATATTTACATTTATATATATATAACCTACAATACTGTATATATCTCGTATTTGCATGAGGGCATTGTCTTATGATATAATACAACTTTTAAGGCGATTATTTGACAAGGTTATATATATACAGAAAACATCCTGCAGGATTTTCAGGAAATACATGCAGTTTGCAAATTTGTTTTTGTTCAGAAGTACCTTTCGCTTTGACGAGGAAAAGGCGTTGTTGTGAGGGGCAATTAGCGAAACATGATTTTCAGGAGAAAGAATCTCTTTGATAGACGATTTCTATAACGTAATGAAAAGCAAAATCCTATTAATATGGTTCGTTGGCTCAAAAAATACTCTATAGTTTAGAGTATACATGTCAGTCGCTTGGTCAGTACGTTTGGTCCTTTGTGGATGTTGCCGTATCAGACAACTCGGATTTTTGTGCGTGTCAATTGTTAGTCATACTCTTGATTGACTGTCTGGTTAAATTCTGTTAGCATAAAATAAATGGAATGCAAGATATTTTTGTAAATTTGCTGGATTAATAAAAATGGTTTTTCTTTTTTGCTTGGTACATAAATTTTACTGGATGCACATAGACTGGATGAACATAGACTGATATGGAAGTGAGTGCAGTGTGGGTGGAATCTTTACGAAGGTTCGATGACAATGGTGGTGGCAGGCTTTCGAAAATTCACTCGCCCGTCCAGCATCTTTTCAAATAGACAGCTCCTAGGTTCTAAACCCGACCATCAGTCCAAGATACTGTTATTTACTTATTCTACTACTAACCTTTATCCGGGAGTAAAATTCCGTCAAATTTTGGTCATTTTGTAACCTCTAAAAGAACAGCATGTTAATCAAGATTTCGCAACAACTATTATACAATTTAATTCACAATTTAACAATTTAAATTGAGCGAGCTATATCTGTTAATTAACCTGTACGGTAGAAACATTGCGCCATAACGTTCTTTGAACTTTTAAAAAGAATGTTCTTAATTGTTACATTAAGAAAAGGATATTTTCCAAAATTTTGTAGCCGATCGAAATGCAGAATTAAATAAATATACGTAAATAATATACATGCACTATATTATTTTTAATCAAATACCTCTAAAACATTTCCAACACAAATCTTCCCATCTCCAAAGTAACCCTCAGTACAGTTACATCTGGTATCGAACTTTTTCTCATCAAATGTACATATAGCATGGAAACTGCATCCACCATTGTCCTACGATGTATAAAGTACACATAAACCTGATGACAATTTAGTATAAAAGGGGACTGAGTGACATTAACGGGGCAGTTTATATAGGTCTGTCAATTTGGCATGCGCATCAACTGTCAGTTTTACATGTTTTTTGCAATCACGTTCACACGTATTTTTCCTGTGTGAGCCAATATAAACTTGATCATTCTTTTTGTCTCCCATGCTGGGTTATGAGGGGAGTTCGTCGTTTTGAGATGTCTTAACTGCTAACGAACGAACATTTTAAAAGTAATGTTTACAACACAAGCGGCCGTGTTGTATTAAATAATTATATAGGGAGTTGGAAAAAAAACGCAACCCTTATAGTAATCCCAAGAGGCCTACGATCTTTTGTTATTGAATAGAAGCAAGCATATATATGAATATTAAGGGTTGCAGTTTTTTTGATACGACTTGTATATATAGTGTTTGTAACTGATTGCATATCTATTCAAACTAATTTGTATGGGACAAGGTGCATGTGACCTTTTTCACAAAATTTGGTTGGGTAGTTATTCATGAATTTCACAACTATAATGAAAAGCCAACAAACTAAATAGTATTTTTATTGCAGTTCAGTTTCTTGTTGGCGTATAGGGCCTAATAAAAATACATTATGTTTTTCTCTTTCAAAAGTTCCCAAATTTGCCGAGATTGATGAAATTAATTTTTACGTTGACACAGAAATTTGGGATCCACTGGCACTGTGTTATTTGCCGACAGAACGATAGAAATGCAAATAAGGTTGTAACCGCGAAAATTGCTGTATTAAAGCATTAAATCGAACATATTTCAGAAAGAGTATGCTACCACTGAGGGTGTGTATTATGCAGTATATCAGTATATATTAGTTGATCATTACATGTAGCTATTTCTAGGGTATATGTGAATGGTCATATTTCTCTCAAGTATAAATGGTATGTATTATTATGACAATCCATGTATACCTGATGGGTAGATGTATACATCTATAAACCAGTAGGATAGAAGCACAAGATGTATATAAAATTGTTTGTTGTAATAAATTTTCTCATGCCTAACTAATCTGTGCTGATCGACAGTGCACACTTTTTTCACTCGTTGACATTGATATATACATAATTATATATAGACTAGTATCCAAAAAGATTATTGATCTAATAAATTAATGTTGTTTTTGGAATACAAGTATGCAGCGCAAGCAAGCCACCCTGCCGGTAGACACACAGACAGGGGCGTAACTAGAGCGAAAATTGGGGGGGTGGGGGGCGTGAATATTCATATATTCAGTTCTGCCCGACGGATTTCTATTGTAAGCCATTGCACTTACAAAAGAAATATATATATTCATATATGAATATTCACCCCCCCCAAAATTATCGTTCTAGTTATGCCACTGGACACAGAATGAAACCAGCTCGAATATACCGGACCGGCTCGTGCATCTTCACGTGCATCAGAACCTCGATTACGAACCTTGTGACAAGGGTTAATCAACACGCACTTCCCCTTTTCCCCGTTTCCTGAATAACCAGGCTTGCAACGGCAAATCATCTGAAATGAGGAATAAAAATATCATAAAATCTCCTTTCAAACATTTCACACAATTTGTTGCACCGAATTATTTTTGTTCTTTTTCGGTGCAATCAATATTAACTTGTGTATAATATCTTTCTTATTCACGCAGGCTGTTTATACTTTTTGAGACTTGATTGAGAGAAAAAAAAAACTTACCCGCGATGAAATAAACAAGCAATCTGCGTTGTTAGAGTCACATTTGTCACACGAGGTATTCATAACTGTCGAAATATTAGACTATAATTTAGGTTATGTAAAATCATTACGAACACTTAAGCCTCCTACGGTTACTATACTCAGCTAGGCTCAGCAGGAGGTTTCATTTTTCTTAAATAAGGTTTATGTACGTTACAAAATGACTGAATGATGACATTATAAGTTTTACAACTGTCACTCTAGGGTTTCAACAATCTAAAAAAATTCTTTGAAAAATCACACCACGGTGAAGGGGGAAAAAATAATGGCGTAAATTGTACACTCGTTTCAAAAGTTATTCGTTTCTCTCTTTTTTTATCCAATCTCTATGTGAGGACAGCCATATGCAAATGAATTAATTGTGGAAACCCTGTGTCACTCTGAAACATCTGGTAAATCTTGTCTATCAAAAACTTTCTAATATATTCGCATTGATACTACAGTTAGAAGAATATCAAGTGAAATGTTATTCAGCAGGCAGTGAAAGGAATAATGTAATATGTCTGTTTAGTTTGCTGTTTTGACTTTAGAGACTCTCCAATTCATGCATATAAATTATACCACTAGCTGGACCCTATACATTAAATTTCAGGCGACGCCGTAGCCATGCACGAACGTATTTGGTAAACTGCATGGTTTTTCCCGATTTTTATCAAAAAAATTTTTTACCAAACATGACGACATGTTATCTCTAGGAATATAAGGGTAATAATACAGTAAAAATAGGGTGTCAAAAGAAGTCGAATCGCTTTAATGTTCGTGGCATGTCTAATGAAAGGCGAGATTCTTTCGTAGAAAAAAACTGACTCGCAAATAGCTACTTACGATTTAAAATTTAGAGATAGTTGCATGCACTCCTTTGCACCAAATATACAGCTATTATGGTATACGTACCTTTACTGCAGTAGTATCCATCGCCAGTAAAACCCTTCTTGCAAGAACAGGATATGTTACGACCATCATACTCACACTGAGCATTGGGTGAGCAGTCGCTATTACCCCTACACAAGTCAGCTATTAAAGATAAAAATGAGATAAAAACTTATCCTAAGGAGGACGGGAGGGGGCAATTCTCCAATATAATACTGTATGTACCATTGAAAACTAGCAGGGGGTGCGTATATCTACTCCGAAAGATAAAAAAAAGCTTGTGCATGCACATAATGCTATTGTCGGAAATTTTTTAGCCGGCGTATCGTTGTTTAGACTAAGCCTTGATACAGTTTTTCAAAATCAATTTAAATTCCGACTCGGCCCTAGTCCTTTCTTCATTGTTATCAACTGGAGAAGAGCAATATCAGAAACCAAACGTCGTATCAAATTATTCTCAGTCTTAGACGTCTTTGAGGGATCTAAATTTGTGAAGAGTTTGCATGGGACTCATCCTAGCTGAACAAGATTGGAACTTACAACGACATTCTGTACCATTTCCAGAGAAACCATGATCACATTTGCACGTTGCCTTTTCCGTCCTATTGTATTGACAGCTGAAAGAGACAAGACCACTGACTGGTAAACAATCTGAATTGACTGCATTTTGCAATCAAACCCGCCTTTTGTTTTAAATAAAAAGAAAAATTAAAACAATAAACAGTGGGACTACTCTGCCTTATTACGTACCAGATCTATATATTTTGTACGCAATCGAATGGCGGGAATATTTGTGCGCTACAATATCGTTAAGACTGTTATCAAAAAATAGTCAAAATGTTTGCAGTCCAGAAGTTAATAGTAGTCAAAAGTTAACAATAGTCCAGACGTTAATGGCAGACATTAGTAGCCAAGAAATTGATATGGTAATCCAGAAGTTGATATTGTAGTCAGAAGTTAATAGTAGTCCAGAAGTTGATTGTAGTCCAGAAGTTAATTGTATTCCAGAAGTTGATAGCAGTCCAGAAGTTGATAGTAGTGCAGACGTTGATAGTAGTCCAGAAGTTGATAGTAGTCCAGAAATAAGTTAATAGTAGCCAGAAGTTAATAGTAGTCCAGAAGTTAATATATAGTAGTCCAGAAGTTAATATATAGTAGTCCAGAAGTTAATATATAGTCCAGAAGTTAATATATAGTAGTCCAGAAGTTAATATATAGTAGTCCAGAAGTTAATATATAGTAGTCCAGAAGTTAATATATAGTAGTCCAGAAGTTAATATATAGTAGTCCAGAAGTTAATATATAGTAGTCCAGAAGTTAACCAGAAGTTAATATATAGTAGTCCAGAAGTTAATATATAGTAGTCCAGAAGTTAATATATAGTAGTCCAGAAGTTAATATATAGTAGTCCAGAAGTTGATATATAGTAGTCCAGAAGTTAATATATAGTAGTCCAGAAGTTAATATATAGTAGTCCAGAAGTTAATATATAGTAGTCCAGAAGTTAATATATAGTAGTCAGAAGTAAGAATATAGTCCAGAAGTTAATATATAGTAGTCCAGAAGTTAATATATAGTATCCCAGAAGTTAATATATAGTAGTCCAGAAATAAGTTAATAGTGGTCAGAAGTTAACAGTATTCCAGACGTTAATTGCTGTCCAGACGTTAATTGTAGTCCAGAAGTTGACAGTAATCAGAAGTTAATAGTAGTCCAGAAGTTAATATATAGTAGTCCACAAGTTAATATATAGTACTCCAGAAGTTAATATATAGTAGCCCAGAAGTTAATAGTATTCCAGACGTTAATAGCAGTCCAGACGTTAATTGTAGTAGAAAAATTGGGTTTCAATGTTAAAAAAATTATGAATATACCTTGCATGCTGGGCGCATTTCACATACGGTCCATTATTACCACATTTTTCGTATAGGGCTAGAATTTCGAAATAAAAACGATCCAGTTTCTACGAATGATACGCGTACTGTGTTCATAGGCATAGCTGTGAAATTGAGAATCCTTTTTTAACACAGTGCGTACCTTTCTGATCGCATCTTAGACCTTTCTTGCTACGTGGGCAGTAACAGAAACCATTTTTTCCATCACATCTCGATCCATTAGCACAATCACACTCTAAATTAAAGTGGAAGTCATGTCCGTATGTAAAATGTAAAAAAACGGTTTATTTACATTTTGAACTTTCTATACTTTTTAAAATACAATGCATGTGATGTCTGAGTATCTACAATATTAAGCTTCCCTATGCTTCTAAATGAAGTTGAACCAGAACTTATTTCAGAAATTCAAAACATGCGATATTTGGACAATTATTCTTTACATCAAAGGGCCCTCCCATTGTTACAAAACCGGACTTTACTTGTACTTGAAAACGAAAGGATCAAACATGCGATATTAGTACACTTTCATACTGAAAATGTACAACTTCCCAGGCATCCGCATACAGGGACTACGTTTTTAGAAAAAAAATAATACGACTTTACACGATTTGAAAAATTTGAAAATAGCCGGACCAATATGGCAATAAAAGAATTTGACCCTAATGACATGCGTTGATCTAAACAGCATAAGTTTAGGAAGTCGATAATATTAATAAAGAAATGTTCGCTCAGTATCACCATGGTTTCTTTTCGTGGCTCTGACGTCTAAAATTTTTCTATTCGGGTCAATATTCTCTCGAAATGAAGCCGTCGCTCGGCTTCCCCAATCCAATTATTTCGCGCTACCGTTGGGGTAGTGCCTAAACACGCGCTTTCTTGATATATGAGCAACAGTTCTGCAGGGGAGATAAGCTGAGGTCTACTCCTATAATCCTTAACCTATAATAGATGTTCTACTACCATAGCCCGGAGAGATTATTGTTAATATTCTGGTTTGCTCAAATATTGAGAGCTATACCTAGGAAAGGAGAAAAAACACATACTTTTATTACAATTTGCGCCATAATATTGCCCGTTGCATCTCTCACACGCTAGTCCTGCAAAATGTCCGTTGCATTCACAATGGCCATTGCTAGTTTCGTTGCACACACCACGTCCAGAACAAGAAACACCGTTCTTACCAGGACAAGCTAAAATGCAAATACATGTATAAATTTGCGGTGATTTGTTTGTGAGGTGCAAAGAAACTTTGTAACCTGAACAGACATCATGCAATGCAATATTGCTCGTGAAAATGATTCCGATAATAAATTATTGTGGGAATATAACACATGAATACGGTTGATGATATGGATGTACGTTATATACTGATGATAAATATCGTCTAACAGTTCAGTTGGGTAATTAATATGACAAGTTGTCGCAAATGAAAAACTAACGCCTATTGGCAGTACCTCTACATTCTTTACCCCAAAATCCAGGGCAGCATTGGCGCACCTGTAATCAAAAAATTGAAAGCGATAGTGTGCAATAAACTAGTTAATGAAACCAGGAATAGCTGCTGCTTCAAATTATATCTTATTCTACAAAACAATATCACTTCATCGACGATTTATTAACTTGGGATCAACCCCTGTAAAATATCACGGTGTAACACAACTCGTACTGCACCTTTCCCGGTAAGACACACAGAGATCTACAGCCAATGAAATGCAAGCCAAAAGCTGTATAGAGACAGTCTTCCTTGCCCTATATCAGAATTGAATAAACTTGCAGATGTCACCTCTCGACAAACACATGTCTAACAAGTCCTATGGTTTGACGGTTTGTATATTTGAGCGTGCATGGGCCGTAAGCTTTTTGAGCGAAGTTTGCCAATGCTGACGAATTTAGACCAAAAACTTTTAGTAGTCGAGTCCCTACAGTCAGTACAATATCGTAACATTTAACTAATTAACAATCTATCATGTAACTTAGATGTACAATACAGAATGCTATTATACTTATGTTAAAATGAAAATAGTTAATCGGCTTACAGCGTGTCTGAAACCTGGACGACAACGCGTTATACTAAAGTGGCATGGACGACACTTCGACTAAACAAGAAAGGAAAACGTTTATTAATGAGCAGTGTGTGAATTAATTGGTCTGTTACAGCTCTATAAACAATTACTTTGACAACTGTATCGTTGTTCCGATAACACGTATTTAAAACCGGTCGCAAATCTTCTTCTATTGTGTAGATAATCCATGTAGAACTTGAATTATAATAAGTTGCTTCAAGACCATTAACTTTTATCTATAAAAGTAAAAAATGTAAAAAGTTGATACTTTGTAACACTCGGACGCCATCACATGCATCATTTCTCCACTTCAAAGTGTACGTTTGATTTGAATCACGCATTAATATTTAACAATTAGTCGCCTCAATCGCAGTGATTACAAGCCTATATTCACTTCGCCTGAGGCGACTAATTATTACTCCGCCTGCGTATGCGCAGCGGAGTCTTAAAATGCCATGGTCTTTTTTCCTTTTCGTCGTTTTGGGCGACAGAAGTTGGCATTTCTACAGGTAACCCAAAACATTTTGACCGAGAAGCCCTGGGTTTCACGGTCCACGGATGAATTAGGTACATAAGTTGGCATGCAGGCGGAGTGAACGCCTTGAGCAGGCGTCTTGTTTTTGTATAAATTTCGAGGTGTATACAAATAATAATCAACATAATTTCATAAAAAATTATAATTACTTCAAATATCTTAGTTGAAAAACGACAACAAAAAGCCATAGTCACCGACCAGTGACTATCACTTGCAGAGAGAGTAAATCTTGACCAATCAGAATGTAGGAAAATCAATAGTCGCCTCGAAATTAATACTAAGCGCTATATAAACATGCACAAGCGCTTTTCAACCAACCTTTTTTTTCTTGCCAGATTTTTCCAAAGAGAGTACGTAGAATTCTCCTGCCAGTGACTGGAACAGCTGCCCATCCATAACGTGGCTTGGCCATAGGTAATGGTTTGTCATATGGAACAATACGCTCTGTATGTATGATACAATATATTAAATAGGGGTATGGGCTAAAATATACACAATGATAGGTTTCATGCAGCAGGCTTTACAGGCCTGAGCCATAGTAGTGATCCCCAAAACCTTTTGCCCAACAAAAAACAAAATAAACATTCATAATTTGGGCTACTATACATGAAGCGATATTATAACTTAATCTTTAGTTCACATTTTGCTGAAACACATGCAGGAGTTACTTTTATCTTCTCTTGAAAAAACTTGAAATTGGAACCGCATTTAAACTACCCAAAGATTTAGGTTCAGTTTGCTGCGGATAAAATTAGTACACATGAAAAATTCAATTTAACCTCAAATTGTTATGGTTGTACTAGAGAATAACCTGCTCATGCAATTCTGTTGATGTTCAAATTGTATGACATACAAATATCACTGGTGGGACATGACATACTGATATCTTAATATACAAATCTCATGCAGTTGAGAAGTTTCTTACGGTGTTCTTTGAATGAGGAAAGGATGATTTCTTTTTAACGAAAATTGTGCAAATATCGCATCTTTTGTTTATCCACTCCACAAGCTTGAATTGCTGTAAGAAAAAAACATTTGAAACCATTTAGATGTACATTCAGTCTTTGTTTGACAGTCGTTATTGACAAAAAGGTTATCCATGCATGTATGTCAAAATATATACAAATATATAAATATCAATGACGTGACTATTAAACATGGCTTATTTTGTTCACTTTCCTCTTCTTTCTTTATTAATATCAATATTGTTCGCCTTACTATGATATTTAAAAAAATTACGACAGATTTACAACGATTTCCCATATAGGGTTCGTTGTACAGAATCGTGAAACATTAACATTGTTAAATCAATTATATGTTGTTCGACGATTTAAACCCCATTTTAGAAAAAATCCACTATATACAAAGCATCATTTAAGTCTGCAACAAAGCAGATGTTTAATTCAAAAAACCACATAGTTATAATATATAATATACGATATGAATCCTAACTACCCGCATACCTGGATATAATGACAGAAGTTTGAGAACTCAGTATTTTTATCGCACAGTCCCTTGTAGACATTTGGTTTTGCCTGAGGCTTTTTCAGAATCGTTGGCAAGTTAACCTAAAAAATAATTGCCAGTCGAAAATGTATGAACAATAAAAAATTTTCAACCCTCTTATATATACAGACATTAAAAAGACCACAAAATGCCCTCTTCATTTAAATTCTCTTTTATATATACTGTATGTGAAAGGTCAGTCCAGCGAAAAGTAGAGCTTTTTCATGTAGAAAGAGAATTTACGAGCGAGAAGGGGAGCTGGGTAATATGGCCCTGTATTTTAGTTCATATTTTGATGAGAGTGAGAATGTCTGCAGAAAAATATTAATATACTTTGTCAACAATGTGAAGAATGCCATTCGACGCTGTTATGTTTGCTTTGGTTATTCTTGCGATTCCACCAATGAGTGGCTGAAAAAGAATAGTTTAGACCAACACGTGCATGCAACGATAATTAGAGGGGAGGGGGGGAGGGTGGCGCGGGTTGTAGGGGGGGTGGATATCCATATGTTCCGTTCTGCCCGACGGATTTGTTTGCTATTACACTTGCAAAAGAAATCCGTCGGGTCTATTGCACTTCCTAAAGAAATCCGTCGGGCATGCAGAACTGGATATATCAATATTCACCCCCCAATTATCGTTATTTCCAGTTACGCCACTGCATGCAACCATAGTATACAAGTTAACCATTAAAGTCTAATGCACGACGGAAAGCAAGAGAACTAGAGAAGGAAGTTTTTGCTATATAATTAATATTTAGGAACGTTCAATATTTACTGTACCTCCCCATATTTGGTATGATTTATAGTTATGTTAACATTAGGAAGCCAGGATCGTATCATCGAAATATTTTTATCTTTTAGGTCCGTAGACATGTATAGCGAAGGAGAGATGTTCGAGCTAAATAAAAGAAATGTTGTAACGGGATATCAAAAGTTTTCGTTGTTCACCAAAAGAATGAGATATCAAAACGTTTAGTACCTATATGAACAAGCTTTGCTATTGGTTGATGATAACAATAAAACACAATGAGCTATAGAAATTGATTTCTCAAAGAACGAATCATAAATGCTCTTCACCATAAGTGACAAAAAGCCAATCACAAAACTTGTTCATATTAGGTAGATATACTTACTGTACTCTGCAGTGTCAAATTAACATGAATTTAGAATTCCCTATTCGCGTGCAAGCAAAGAAAATATCTCCTTTAATAAATGTTGCATGTCTTACCCTCCAAAATAGCGTAGATTCGCGGGAATATCCAACAGCTTTCTTTTATCAGCGTCCATGTTTGAAAATGCGGCGTTAGAGGGAAGGAACACGGTTAGATTAACACCAATAGCCAGATAGCGAACAAAATTGTATTTCTAGAAAAATGCATGAGGATGTCAGAGGGAAGATGATTAAAGCACATGCAGAGCTAGTTTGATCACCAGTATTATGTGCGGCGTTTTAGGTAAAATTAAGATCCGTGGGAAGTGGGTAAAAATGTAGGGCTTCAGATAATTCGCCAGTGATCCGCTGACAAACTGAGCACGCAGTATGGTCGGAGAAAATTTGACCAGCGTGATTATTAATATAAGCATCTCAAAATAATGCTTATCTTGAATTCTTAGCTTTTAATAGGAAAACTATATATTCATTTAAAAAGGGATATATGCCATGCAGTATAAAGATGTTACAACACAGGACTTACTACAATTAATGAGGATACGATTGTTAGTTCTTTTTGCCTTTTTACAACCTATAAAGACATACAATGTTAAATGGTAAATAAAGTACAGTATGCGAAAACATTGTACAGTATGAGATGTGAATTGTTCATCGAAAAAGCTTAATAGACTTGGTTTGGAATATCACTAGTAAGATGACAATATAGTATTTAATACCTCAGAAAGAGAAGCCAGACAAGTATAACCATCTCCAGCATAACCTACATTGCACTTGCATTTGTTTTGTCCTGCACCTGTCTTTATACATCGCGCCTTAAAATAAACAATGTTGTCATTATCATTCGCCTAACCCCCGATGTTGCCATGCACTGACCAAATTTGTATATAAAAATGGCTAATATGAAAAGAATTCAGATACTGTATTTGTTGAGTTCAGGAGCATTTAATCTTTCACATGTTTGAGAACGTCACATAAAGTTAATTTCATGCAGGTCAAAAACATTGTACAAGAAACAGTGCCGCTACTCGAATAAGCGCCGCTGTCAAACAAGCGCCGCACTTTTACTAAAAATAATTTAATAAGCGCCGCTGTTAAATAAGCGCCGCTTTGAATAAGCGCTTATTTAGGAATGTATAAATAAACGCCATGTATTCTTTTTTTGAGCGCGCTTACCGTTATGTTAACACCGGGACATTATATTAACAACCGTCATATAAAACACCCTGTTTATAGCGCCCTGATTAAGACGATGGAGAATTTGATTACAACTTTATTGTTGCATGTCTTTTATTTCATTGGACGTATATATAAACTGGACAACGTGCACATCAACACGTGGAGACTCTTACCAGAGGGGAACAGTTTCCATTGTTTTTCAAACAATTATTTATCTCCCGACAGGAAGTACCATCTCCTTCATAACCAATGTTACATTCGCAGCTGACCTAGATGAAAGAATTGTTTTGCTAATATTTGTGGGAAATATCGAAGCTCGGGCATAGTCAGAAGGCAGTATGCTAAAGTTTGATATACGCACGGCAATGTCTTTTATTAGAGTAGCTAATTGAACAGTATCTTCCTCTCTAGTCTATTATTTCAAAAGGTAGAAGCAAGGGGGTGCTAGTTTTTTTACCATGCTAACTCCTAAAGCAGAAAGCTGAATTTACGGGAAGGTGCATTTATATCTTTCTGGTATACTACCTTTGCTGGCCCCAAAGATGTACATTTCGCATTTCTATGGCAGTGAGATTGTAAAGTACAGTAATTGATAGGTATGCAGTAAATTCCATCCCCAGTCCACCCAGGCAAACAAGTGCATGTGCTTTGACCTGGTCCGATCATGTTACAATTTGCCTAAAAAAAGATCGCAGTTCGTATTGTTGAGACGTTGACTATATGATGATGAAAAACGCTTTTTTAGAAAAGGGTCTCCAACTTTTAACTGACACTTAACTATATACCATTGGATTACAACAAAGGACGTCAAAGGTTTTATATTACTTAAACCATGCAGCAGCAGGACAATCGTTTGCAAAAACCACGTTTGATATATTTAGCAAACGAAAAATTTTCCTAATGAATAGTGGTATTTCAGTCTTACATTTTTATGACAACCACCGCGGCCAGCCTTCAAACAAGGATCAATTTTAAGACAGCTCTCCCCCAATTTCTCGAAGCCAGCGTCACATTTACATCTACAATGTGCAGACATGTAAATAAAGTGGTAATGAAAGCAGTCAGGGTTGCGAAACGTCTTAAACGCTCCTTCAAGATGGACCCAAGCTGTGTGTTCAGCTTCTACAAAACTACATTACACCATGCTTTTGATATTTTTCGACATTTAAAGAATTGCTGCACGAGGGACTCAAAATTAATTTCTAATCATTTGTCTGGAGTTGCTACGATTTTGTGGCCCGATTATGTTTGCCGCTTATCAATATTTACTATTGAACGGATCCTCATTTTACATAAAGCTTTTCTTTAAATTTGCTACATTTTTTCTTGGTGGTACCTGATACCTGCAACTATTTCGCAATTCTGAGAAGGATCATCCTTTACTTTACTTACATTGCTCGAGAATTGTTCAAGTAACATTGTGCATGGACATGACAGCGTTTAGTGAGTGATCCGTGACCTTTACAGGGCTGAAGGCTCATGTCGCAATTGTCTCCAGTATAGTTTTGTTTGCATGTATTGGGGACACATAAACCGTTGCCAAGACGACCGTTATGGCAAGTACCATGGAAGCATTCACAGTCTGAAATAAAAAAGTTGGAAAATGGACGAAACTTTAGTAATTTAATACAACTAAATTAGTCTGGAAAAAATATTAAACTTACTTTTTTCACAATCCAAGCCAAACTTTTCAATATTGTTACAAAGTTCACAAGCCGTCCCTTTGAAATTTGCCTTACATTTACATAATCCATTTCCCTGCACACTGTCAGAACACTAAATTAAATTTTACATGTGATGATGGTCATAACAAAAGAAAAATCTTTGCGAAGAGTATTAATTACTATTGTCGGTGGCCATGCATGGGTAGGGATGCTAACCACACAATATTGCTAATTTCAAAAAGATCAGTCAATATAAGAATATACGGCTATCATTTCGGCGAAAACATGTGTTTTTAATACTGATTCATGATATGGCCTTGATGCAACAGATATTTAATGGTATTATACTTACACTATTATATAGAAGTTGTTACGAAAACCAGTGTTTTTAAACCTGTGTTTTTAAGAATGATTTACGATATAGCCTTAAACAGATATTTAATGGTATTATTTACACTATATATATAGGAGTTGTTACGAAAACATGTGTTTTTAATACTGATTCATGATATGGCCTTCATGCAACAGATATTTAATGGTATCATTTACACTATTATATAGAAGTTGTTACGAAAACCTGTGTTTTTAAGAATGATTTACGATATAGCCTTAAACAGATATTTAATGGTATTATTTACACTATATATAGGAGTTGTTACGAAAACCTGTGTTTTTAAGAATGATTCACGATATGGCCTTAAACAGATATCTAATTGTATCATTTACACTATATATAAATATATAGGAGTTGTTACGAAAAGGGAAATATATAATTCCTGTACTATATTTTTTTCTTACCTTCCCATTTCCAAAACATGGATGGCCAATTGGACCAGGACAAGGTAAACAATCGGTCCCGTAAAAACCGGAACAACAATGTTTAACCTACAAAAATTGAACATTCACTACAATCACAGCAAAAAAACATGCAACTGAACAGGAATTGAAAACTCACCTCCTTTTTACACTTGGACCTACAACCCACACTAGTTACTTTGCCTATAAGGATGTTTAATGTATAATGACATCGCTCCTTTTTACCCTAGAGTAAAATATAAGTCAATATGAATGTTACATATTTACATATCAGTTTAGAAATCTTTTTTAGCGATTTTAAACTATATGTATGCATAGTACAAAACACACCATTTTAACAGTTCCGTTAGGACAATTGCCATTGGCATAAATCAAGTTACACGGTCGGCACGGTGACTAAAAAAATTTATAACATTTTCTATCATAAATACATATTATAAACACGTACGATTGGTAGGATAAATATTAAAGCATAACATAGTGCTTTTAATTGAGCGATTCAAGTTAAGACGAAATGTCAATATCAAATATGTTTTTTTATTAAATTGTGGAACTTGTCTTATATGACTCTATTTATGTATGACTCACGCACATAAAAATACGTTTTCCACCCGACACATTTCTGGCAATGTTTACGTACAATTGACATCAATATTCAGGGCTTAGAGACTCTGTTCAGGACCTAAACAACCTAAACTATATAGATGCGGATGGTTTCGGATCGGCGGGGGGAGCATGCATATAGGTTTTCAAATGAGATATGAGTTTCACCCCCTCCCCCAATTATCGCGACAGTTTCGGCCCTGGCATTATTTTCAATTCACTATTAGAGGTTTCCTTGACAAAGAAGTGTAAAATTATGTACTCAGTAGGCGTTGGTAACATCACTAATCAGACATCACTCAGTCTATATGCGTAAAAATCAATCAACTTACATAAACAATCTTTGATGGATTCTGATTACAATATCGTTTGACAAGTGGCAAAACGAACGATGGAATAAGCACAGTGTCAGTGAGATGAAGAAATCCATTTGCTGAAGGAATGTCGTTATCTATCAGTTTTGATTTTCCCCCCAAGAGTACAGCACCCTATTTAATGAAAGTTCCACTTCTTTTAAGACATGCAACAAATGCAAATTTTTGTGTTCTTAAGGATAGTTGAAACTCTTGTGCGGCCGGTTGTATAAACGTACTCTTTAACTACATTTTGCATAGTCAAATCATAAGTTAAATCATAGTTAAATACATTACTCTGGTTGGCCAACTCTGTCCTTAACTACAGTTAAAAGTTAACTATAGCCCTTCTTTATACAACTGGCTTCTGGTAAACTGGACAATTTTTCATTACGTTACCTTGCTTCTGAACAACTGAGTTATACTAATGCCATTACAAAAGAAAAGCAAAGCTGCACTCTATCATTTCTAAATATATGTATTATAAATCATTTTGCTAAAGGTTTAATAGAATCGCTTTAAAAAAAAAGATCTCTAAATAGAAATATAAATTTGTGTTTTGAACTTTCTTATGAAAAATAAACGAAAAAACTTGCCTTGTCTGTGGTGTTCACGGTGATACGTTCCAGTGCTGATGACATAATTGAAAATTTGTCATTGGAGATCATATCGATGATACCAATCTATATAAAAATTTACTATATAAATGAACTGCACTTCGATTTGCCGAAGGCCTGTTTATATACGCGCTGTTTTTCTTGCATGCGATTTCAGGTGCGATTTTTTCTGCTGCACGCGGGTGAACTACTGTAGTCTGTAGCCATTAAGGATTCACATCTATTCTGCATGTATGCGGATATTTCTTACTTATCCATCGTGCAATAACATTATAACAAAGAGATAAGATGAAAAGTTGCCAGGCTCTCTATTCATAAATAATAAGCGGTCAAGGTTTGAGACTTAATCGACAGTTACACCGAATAGCGCGCCACCAATAATACTACACTGGAAGAAATATTAATTCGGACCGAATTCATGCAGTCAATTATTCATGCATATTTTGACAAACTTTCTAGTTCGTACCTTCGAATCAAAAATATGATGACGTATTATGGCTTGAAGCTTTGATTTACCCTGAGTTAAAAAAGCATATATATTTCGTTAAACATTCTTATAAATCTTGAAAGAAACATGGAAATAACGTGCAATGCGTATGTAAACACAGACTATATGAGCTTTGCGCTCAGGACGAGCCAAAGCCACCAACGAGACGGCTCCTGCAGTCCTACCTTGGATGATTTTAGGAATGCTATGTCCGTTTTATTTAACTTCAAGAACGACCCATTTACTGGAACAATAAGAGTTCGGCCATTTGTTGTTTTGAGTTCAGACTCCATATCTGCTGCCTGCAGTATAGATAGATTTCCATACGCTATTTTAATTTGCATGGTTTAGATTGCGACTTTACTTAAAGAGGCTAACGATTTGACATCAATATATACAAGAAAACCCGTCATTCCTCAGACTTATAGGGATAATTATATTAGCATGGTTGTAGTAGTTCTGCGGCTTCTGGCAAAAGCCTATGCCATATAAGCTCTTATGGCCGGAACTGAAAAATAAAACTAAAAATAGTTCTCGTGAAGGACACGAGAGTTTATCGTTTGAGAGAAAGTTTTGGGAGAAGGCCAACTCAAAACAGGACTGCCTTTGTAAGTGACAGAATATCCAACCTCAACGTTAAAGTCCTTGATGTCTTAAACGTGTCGAAACGTTACTGGTCTGGATTTTATAAGAAATTTTACATAAGTGGGTATTCGTGCTATTGAATAACGTGATCTTTAAACACGCTGGATGGTTGCACGACTAAAAAAAAGGCTCAATATTTTAAAGAACTCGGATAAGCTAAGGAATGAATTACCGTGTTTGAAAGTAATCCAAAAATTTTCAACCAATCAGCGCTCGCGAACAAAGGTTTTCATAATATATTATGAATAAATAATATATTATATCGTGTTAAATTATAGTGCATGGGTATCAAGACTGTACTAAAATGTATTAACGTTAGTTCTGACTAAATGTGAATACCTGTTTATAAGTTTTGATAAAATATAAAACATGGAAAAAGTTTTTATAAGATTTCATTTCTCATAAACCATACAAAAAAACATATAAAAAGATCCAAACCTGAACCAAAGATCGAAAAGTTTGCAGTTCAGGCCGTTCAGTGATAATTTGCCAGAACGTCTTCTAAATAAACAGAGAAAAATATAATTAACAATATACATACGGGGAAGAATGCCATGTTAGACTGCGTTGACGCAGATTTTACAATAACTTGGTTATGAAGTTAAAGTGGAGGTCAAGTCCGTTATTTTTGCGCATCGGCTCTGCTCTTAACAATGCGGGGTAAAGTAAAAAATTGCTCAAATTAAAAGTACCACCGAAGTGAAAATTGCTTAAAATAATTTGTAAAAATTTTGATTCATATTCATCTGTGCATAGTGTTTTCAGATAGTAATCGTATTTCAAACTGCATGATTAATTATTGATGTTTACATACGGACTTTATACTTCCACTTTGAAGTTTCCACGATTGTTGTTGATTTATTAATAGATGTTTCTCTTCCTGCATGATCAGGCCGGTAAAAATGTATTACACAGAAAGGTCGGTGCTAATCAAACATTAATTAATCAAGTAACCTCTGGCAAACAATTGGTCTTATAGCTGAAGCCCTCTGATTGAAGAAAAAAAAGCTGATAACCAGGTTTGCTCAGATTTTCTCTCAATACATACCAACTTTGACTTTGCCATATTCGTTAGGTCAGGGATCCAAGCTGTGCCGTTGATAACGTGAATAATTCCATTCCAAGCTGGCACATTCCGTTGTACAATCGGAGGCCTTTCTGGATGACCACTCAGTCCAAAAAAGTATTTCTCAGTATTCTGTAAGGCAAAAAACATTTACATTAAGGCCGGCGCACACTAGAGCTATGTGCTTAGCAAAAAGGCCATTGGCGTAAGCCAGTGCTCTCGTGTGCGGGTGACGTTTCAGGCGACTTTGGTCATTCGTGCCACTTACGGCAAATATCTAGCATGTTTGATAATTTCTGCCTCGCGTGCCGAAATCTTTCCGTGTGCGGCAAACTGAAAGCTATCTGCTAATGGATTGTCTTAACAGCGCATGCGTAATATACGAAAGTAAACATCCAAGATAGCAGTGCAAAGAAAGCAAAACGAATTGGTGGCTGAGGCCATATTGGAAGACAAAATGGTTGATCTTTGGTCAGAATACAGATGTTTATACGATGTGAATTCTACAGATTTTAGAAACAGAGAGAAACGGGAATGCGCTATTGCAGAAATAACTAGTAAGCTTTCTCAAACAGGTAATATAATTAATAGCACTTGGATAACGGTGTTTAGTCTAGTCTGACGCAACAGCAACAAAAATAACAACACCTCTTCGTCTTCACTTTCATCCATAATTTTGTTTTTGCAATCTGTACGCCATCTTAGATGTTTACTTTCTTATATTACGCATGCGCTGTTAAGACAATCCATAAGCAGATAGCTTTCAGTTTGACGCACACGGAAAGATTTCGGCACACGAGGCAGAAATTATTAAACATGCTAGATATTTGCCGTAAGTGGCACGAATGACCAAAGTCGCCGGAAAAGTCGCCCGCACGCGAGAGCAACTGGCTTATACGCCAATGGCCACGAATGACTTTTTGCTAAGCACATGGATAGCTCTAGTGTGCGCCGGCCTTTAGGGCCAGGCATGTATACAATACCAATGCCAGTTTTCATACTTTCAAACTCGTACAATACTATACGGCCTGAAAGAAGTGTTTGAATAAAGGCCGTCTGCTCGAAACCATCTAGATCGCATCTGACAGCATTATTTCCTTCATTTAATCCAGATTTATACTTCTTTAGTTTTCTGTTAGTATATAAAACTGCTAGAAATACTGACTTTACTACATATAGGTACATTCCACTACTTAAAGCTACAATATACCGGCTGGGAAACGAACTGGATTTAAATAATAATCGACAAAAAAAAGTCCGCTAGACGCTCTTGATCAACTTACATTGTCATTACTGGCATTAACATTACTGGCATTAACAATGGCATTCCATCCTTTCAATGTTGCAAAATCTCCAGTATCATTCACCGATGAAATAGGAAGAACCACGAAAGCAGAATGTGCCAATATTAAATGATTAACCACGTCTTTATCTTTTATTATATATGAAAGCTAGGACAAAAAACACGAATACTTATGTCATATACACATATCATGTGAATGAGAAAGGAAAAAAACTAGGCTTCACATAGGATAAAATATACATCGCCAGACTATACAGTACAGGGTGTATCAAAGCTAGCTTATTGTTGATACAATGTAGTGACACTAGAAAGAAGCAAGGTATGTAGTTCGAACTGCACCATTTTTTTTTATTTTACGTTGTGACTGTTGTGCGTGGACTTCTGTCATGGAATAGTGAGGTTTCATGTAGAAAATACAAAACATCTTTTTTCTACTTCTACAGTTACAGTTCTACTCCAAGTTATATACATAGTTGTTGCTTATAGTTCTGTTGAATTTACCTGGGAGCTATTTAACTTGCTTTCAATACCAGCATCAGTGGGAAGAAAGATTGTAAATGGTCCACGCTGAGCAAAGGCGAATGTCAAGTCACTGTGGTATTTTATGATATTCCTTACATGACGAAATGTAACTAATGTATCATTCTGTCCAGAACCATGTAAATCATCAATTCTCTGAAAATGGATTCAGGACAATAATAGTTATACAGTACATTTGTTGACAGAATAACGACCGGTTTACGTGAGACTGCATGCCTAGATGGTGTGTTTATGTAGAAAATTACAACTGCCAGGATGAAACTATTTCAATGCTCTTTAAAGAAAACGTAATATATGCATGCTCAAAAGGCTTATATATTACAAACTGATCTCCCTGGCTGGTATGGAGTGTTTCCATCGGGAATTTTGCAAAAACACAGCCCGTTTTCAAAATACAGTATGTCGCACACACCTGTAAAAGGTTTCCATAACACATCGATCCGTTACCAATGTATCCAGTCTTGCATCTACATCTTGAGGTGGAAGACAAATTCGTTAGAACAAAAGAAAGTTAACAATGTAATTTCAAAGTTGGTTTTCGAGAGTTCACAAGAAGAGTTGACATCATTTGGTGTTACGTTATAAAGAAACTTTAGAGATGAACATGTATTGCAAACTTAGAGTACCGCATGCAGTGAAGCAATAAAGAATGAATGTCTTAAATTGAATTATTTCATGCATGTTTGGTGCCTGACTGTTAAGAGCAACGTTTGCTGGGGCTCCACAGTAACATCACGCTTCAGCGTAAGTCTGTAGTTAACACATATTCTGTTATACTTCACAACACAATCAACTCTGGCTCCTCTCTATAGCCTTATTAGTATACACCCGACTATTGTCTATTACAAATCCCACATTCTGATTGGCTACTCAACCATTGTCTATTCGTGATGGTGCACGGTTGGGAAAATTTCGCTAGCGCGACCGTATAAAATTGAATTATTTTTCGGTGTAATTGCGGTGTATTGATTATTTTCTCGAAATTAATATATCTAGGTACAGGGCGTATACTAAAACAATTAGACAACTCGCCTTCGTTGTCTATGAGCGAATAGTCAACTCAGGCTTCGCCTTCGTTGACTATTCGCTCATAGACAACTCGGACTCGTTGTCTAATTGTTAATTAGAGCAGACTAATGAGGCTTAGCAAATGAGAAGAGCGAGGTTTGACCCAGGCCTTACTCTTTAACTTCAGGTGCAGTCATAACACACTCGGTGTTTAATGAAAGACAGTCTTTGTCTGGAATACAACGGTTGATGAGTGAGCAACCTCTGATGGCGCTATAGTTCCCATAACCAGGTAGACATGAACAATTATACTGTAAAAACAAAATTACAATCATTTCAGATATACATGGACGATATACATCCTATATATATATATATATATATATATATATATATATATATATATATATATATATATATATATATATATATATATATATATATATATATATATATATCCATAAACTATACCCAGTATAAAGTTACATCTATGGCGTGAAGCGCTGATAATTAAGATACATCACAATAAAAATACAGCACGCTATTGCAAAATGCCTGCACAAATCAGATTATAGAAGAGTGTTATCCATGCATAGAACCACTGACTGGGTGATTCTCTGGTTACACAGGTAACATTGCTGCTTCTTCATGCAGGCTTCATATTTTGCATGTAACAAAATAGAAAAGCATTGTCACGTGCGTGACCAGAGAATCACCCCACTGCAGATATCACGTTGATCAGATAATTTCTCTGTATGTGAACTTACCATTCCTGGTCCTACATAATTACATCGACTGTTACTCGGGCAAGTCTGATTATTCATTTGACAAGGATCAATTGCTAAACAATGAGAAATTGGATGCTGTAGTTATAATCACTGATATTTCTCATTAAAACATGGCCATGGGGTACCTTTAGGTTTAGTTACCAGGCCAGTTGTATAAAAGACTAGGATTTAAGGCAACCATCTGAAAATATCCTTGTTCAACAGTTAATTGTAATACAGTAGTACTCATTAGTATTCTAACCAATAGTTTCTAATCAAGTAAATCATTGTAAATGCCATATGGGGCATAAATATACTGTACCGTAGTGCAGGGTTAGATTTACGATTAAAAATTGACATGAACCACTACTGTTATAAGTGGGAGTTCGGTCATGTTTAAGGTTTAAACAATCATAATCATCCCACTTATGAGTTTATGTTGTTATTACCTGAACAAATTACTCCATCGCCTGTGTAACCTTGGCGACAAACACATTTATGAAATCCGGGCACAGTCTTCATGCAAACTGAGTTATTAACTTGACAGTGACCATTGCTCAAATCTTTGCATGGATCAATTTCTGAAAGATTCGGAATTAGTAGTATACAGTACAGTTAGCTTAATGTATGAATTTCCTTACGTTAAGCCTGTATTTCAAGTTGCAGGAAAAAGTTTGCACATTTGTTTTAAATAAATAAATTGTAACCAGTCGAGTTTAACTACAGTAAATTACTTGCGCAGTCAAATTATAAAAAAGTAAGAAAAGTGAGGAAATATTACCTTGACAAACAGTTCCATTGCCGGTGTATCCTGGGTTACACTTGCATATCTTATTATAACAATGAGAATGGTTGTGACAATTGTCACAGGCTGGTTCATCTACAGGTTTGAATAGATTTACATAATGAGTGATGCAATTTGTATCATGTACACATAATAATCTACACAAAGTCAAGGTACACCACAAAATTGAGGATAATGGGAATGAATCTTACATTGGTCACAGTTGTCTCCATAATAAGCAGTAGTGCAAGTGAATGGTATACATTTCCCATAGCCCAACGTTCCACTATCACATTTGCCATGTTTGCATGTACAATCTATCAAATTACAACCATGTAAAAGCAAATTTAATTTGTAGTCATATAGGGAGGGGAGGACTGCATCTCACGCTGCCTTTGCTTTCTGTTGTTATCAAGCCTCATACATACTGTCCGTGCAGGAAAAAAATTTAAAATATGAATACAAACATATAATGGGAGTATACAATACTGTGATTTGACCAAATTATATAAATATTATATTCCCTTGCACATGCTGTAGTCTGGACATTTTATTGCCTTTGTTGGCCTTAGTCTCAACACTGTCTTATCTGTACTTTACAGTCTTATCCATAGTAAGTTTAACTATAAACTTGTATTCAATACCTTGCTCACACTTGGTGCCAAACTTTGTTTTGTTAGAACACTGTTCACAAGCAAATCCCTCAAACCCAGTCTAAATTTACAAACAAATACAATATATTGTGACTTTAACTTGACTATATTATACCTACTATCCATATATTTTAAAAATTATAAATCTGAACTTTAATATTTAATTTTGTAATGAGTTGCCTATTAATGAGGCACTAACACTTACATTGCATTGACATGTCCCATTTCCAGCTTCTAAATCACTGCAATTCCCATTGCCAAAACAGCTTGCATACCCAGACCCTAGACCAGGACATGCTATTAAAAATGCAATGACATCGAACAATTAAGTGGAAGTACAGTATCAACATAAATATTGTTACAACTGAGAAAACTTTAACCTTAGATTTTTAACATTACTCTAAAGATGCCACAAAATTTGTTTATAGATACTCAAGATTATACTATAGATATATTCTAAAGATTGTTTACAGATAGATAGATAGGTAGGATATTAAAACTTGCAAGTACACAGTAATGGATGGTAAACCATTTTTGTTTTACAATTTTACCTATCAGCCCCTACCCCAAAAAGCAAAAGCAGCCTTTTTGCAGGTGACAAATACCCACATGATAGCAATTCACTAGATATGTAGTGGTAGCAATTCTAAAATGCACCTGCCTCCTCTCTAAACTGCATCTGCTAACACTTTAAAACGCACTATGGGCCTTCCAGGCTGAACAGGTTAATAACTGATTTGCCTATCTGATAATGTTAAGTGTTCAGCTCCCAGTTTAGCTAGTTCTACTGCAGCTAATGACAATGACACATGATAAAAAATTCAAAGAAAGTTTGCAATATAAATAAGGTTTGAACTTCGAAACGATATTTTAAAATCATATTTCATATATACCTAATTTACATTTGTGAGTTCAGTTGTTGACATATACAGTATTGTCAACAACTGAAATCACTGTATTCCTCAGTGTTGTGAAATAAAATATGATAAAAGAGTTTCAGTGAACATCAAAGCAGTTAAAACGCTTATCTTATAATGCTTACGTATCGAAGTGTAAAATTGTTATGCATATGCAGTGTGAATGCACTAACTTGTAAATAAAAAATTATTCATCCAAATATGCGTCTACTGTGTGACGATTGCAGTATTTGTGTGTATAGACTCGTAAATAATTTTGCCCAAGATGGCTTATACCCTCTCAAAACACACGATTATACAACTATTGGCATAGGGTACTGATAAATGAACACACAAAATTTACAGCACCTAAACTAAAGATCAAAATTGCAAACGGAAATTACTTACGGCGGCAATCAGGGCCCCAATAATTTTGACAAAACACACTTTTAACAATCGTCCTTCGGCATAAATGCACACAACCGTATAAGTTTCCTGCCAAAACGCATTTTCTTAGTCCCATACCAACGGTTATTTTCTGAGTTCCAAAAGGACACAGGCCCAAAAAAGCGTTCAAAGGACACAAAATACAACTTGGTGTCGCAAAAACTTGGAACGACGTTTTGCTACATTTATTCGTTAATTGATTCGAGTTCTGCCCGGCTGAATTGTTAGCCAGAACTTTAGCGGAGCAAAAGCAAAGGACGAGGAAATAATATGACAAATGAAATAGGTTCATTATCGATTTCTTTTTGCGTTCTTGGTCGACTATAAAAAGTATATAATGTTCATCGTATTCACGATCCAGTTAACCAGCATAATAAATCGGTTGGTAAGTCTATCCAGTGTATACTGGAGCGTTCCGCTCAGTGGTAAATTACACCACAGGCTACTTTAGGCTACTTTAGCCTACTTAGCGATAATACATAATTATTCCAAATTTTTGGTTCCAGAAATTGGGGCCGGTCTGTGTCGACCTTAAAGGCAGATTTTCATTCAGTGCAAATGTCGAGTGATCGACTTTTCGCGATCGCTTTGTTTTGAAATACAAACAGTCAAGCGGAACCAATCCATTAGATGAGCTTGAATGAACACATTTCAAAAGAAAGCAATCGCAAAAAATCGATCGTGCGACATTTTGCACTGAATGGCGGATTTCCACTTACAGCGAAATCGTTCGCTAGCAAAATATTTGCATATTTTCTTTTGAATTTTAACAGCATAAATAAATTAGTGCGATTCGACTGTTTTCAATTCAAAAGAAAATATGCAAATATTTCGCTAGCGAACGATTTCGCTGTAAGTGGAAATCCGCCTTCAAACTGTGCAGGGCAAGAGAGCGAGAAGTCGAGGACCACTGAGCTATATTACGAACTAAAGATCTTCCTCTGTGACGAAACCAACAGTATCATGAACGAGATCATGTGCTTTTTCATTTTTTGCAGAGTACCTCAACTTCAGATATCAAGATATAATTTTCTCAATTTACTCCGATTCACTGATCAAAATCATTTTCCGCTTCGTTTAATCTCGAGAGTCGGGTAACTGGGTTCATGTGAACAGTCTTTTTGTGATAATCCGGATAACAATTAAATGCATGACCGGTCATAATTGAATCCCCAAAATCTACTCGAAGTAGGCTTGTGGTAGTAGGCTTGTCGAAGTAGGCTTGAAAACAAGTTTCAGTTTAGTTCAGTGGTCTATCCTATGGTCTATCTTGTAAAAATATAGTCTGTCAGGCTGCACTGCATGCCAGCACACTGTCTTGACTGTTCTGAGTATCATGGCGCCACTCAACTTATGGCTAAGCTAGTCTACTCATATGTACTATATTCAAGTTGATTTATGGATTACGTAGTCCGGGCGGCCACAGCGCCTGAACCTCGCAAGCCAGGATCAAGGTTGATCTTCCATGTGTTGTTGCTGAATCAACACGCAGTACTACAAGAAAATCCGGCAGTCTTGATAGGTTCTTCCTGGAACTTCGAACGGCAGCACAGAGGTGAAAAAGTTCAGTACATCCTGTCATACCTGCCATAAAAATGTACTGAAGTGAGAAAGATTGGTCAGTCACCTCGCTCCACGGTGGAAGACTTACTAAAATACTAAGGACTAGGGTTATTCGCAAAAGAAGCCTGTGCGATAACGTACCTTATTGCCCAATAATGTGCTGATTCTAATTTGCATCTTTAGTCCACTACCAAACTCCTGCCGTTGTGGAAGAGAATTCGACAAAATAACTATCGTTGACTGCAAAATTAAATAATTCGACAACGCTGAACGCATCCCACAACCTCTCGCTAACTCCTTTGGTCCGCAAATACTGGCTAATCACATGTTAGCTAATCAGCATAACCGCAGATTAGATATGGAAACATTAAAATTAATGATGGTCGCACACGCATATCGTTCACAAGATTTGAAAGCAGATCAAAACTTCATGCGGATCAAATATATAGTCTAAGAAAAAAGTGAATTTCCAAAATAAAAGCAATTGTTTGATTTTGTTAAAACTACTTGGAATTGAGATCTTTGCGGCAGGATTATAGCTTATAATGCATGAGAGGGTGAATGAAAGACAACAACTCAGCGAGCAAATCAATGTAAACAAAGGCCAATACATAAGGCAGAAGTGCAGAACAGAATATGCAAACAGCAAGATATTCATCGACACGTCCGTTACGTCGCTCGCAGAGGCAAAGGAGAGGAAGTAACAAAGAACTTTCGTCTTCAAACTGTATTTTAACACTTCTGTATTACTTTCTACGCCTGCTTTTTAAAAGTTTTTCTAACAAGAATAGAAGATACTTGGAACCTGTTTCAATAATATTCTGCCTACCGGTTGTTTATTTATTACGAATAGTTAACACAGTTAAATGGAGACGCATCTTCAACCTAAGTAGATGGAAAAATAACCTACTACGAATGATCAACGCGTTAGCCTTTAGAACAATGAAAACAGTGAAAACGACTCAAATACATTTGGCAGAGAGTTGGACTGGTTATCGAAATTGGAAAATTGGGAGAACATTTTGGAAACAAGGTCAAGGATTTTATAGCCAAAGTTCATATAGATTAGAAATGAATATTGAGCATGTTTAATCAGCAGTGTTTGGTCTATTTTTCATTCGCCAAAACAAATTTACAATTCCTTCCCACCAATTATAATGTTGCGTACGGGCATATATCATGATCTCCGAAGGTGGACTGAACCATGCAACTATACGACATAGTGGAAATTACATTCATTTAAGCCAGAGAACTTCGAGTAAACCTCATTAAGTTGAGTTCGTCACTACTTCGCCACACCCTTTTGCAACAGAGAAATGTCATGGAATAAGGATAATTTTTAACAAAGACGTGATGTCGTTTAGCGTTAAATATCTAGTTTTGGTAGCATCAGAAAATATCTACCCTTACGAAAGTACAGTACATACTACAAATACAGTTGCTTTTCACAGAACCCGGATGTACTTACGAATTAGCCCGGCGGAGGACTGGATCGAAGGTGAAAAAACCTATTATTGCTATTGACTCCAGACAGTTATTCGTTGTTTAAAAATGCCGATATGGGCAATAAATTCATTATTTACGGGTTAGATTTTCAAAAAATTTCTGGACCAGTAAACTGATCTAGTAGACAATCGATGAGATGATTGAGGATTTCTGATAACGTGGGCGAACCGATCAATACAAAAATACTAAAACGCATGACTAAAACGCCTGTTTTTGGCACGCAAGGTACCCAGTCTCCGCTTTCTTTGCAACTCGAAATGGATTAGTGGTGTGAAAAATTGGATTCGACTTCTCTACTAATGAGAGGAAATGTGTGGGATGAAGTATAAATGAAAATATGTTTATAACAAACAAACATTAACGTGCGAATGACAGCAGAGTTGATGAAAATGAATGCATGTTGCTTCCCGATGCAATTAATCTTCACCTGCACGTTGTATGGACCTTTAAAGTCCACAAAGATATACACCGTTATGCGGACGTCTCTTAATCGTGGCGATTGTGATTATCGTCATAGCATAAACTTCAATCATAGCACTGTTATAGTATAATAGCATGGTATATAACTAGGATGCATCCACTAGGACGCGCATGCACCGTGTAACTTCCATCATTCATAAAGTGCGTGAAAATATAAGAATATTCTTAGCCTTAGGCCTAGAAAATTCCAAGCATGTTGAAACCTGCAGCTCGGTTTTCGTACAGAATGTGATTTTTTATTGTGCTATGTAGCCGAAAAAGGACTCATTGCAAGCGCTGAGTTTATATAGTATCAACGACATAATGAATGATATATAATGTTTTATGTAGCATCTTGTGTAGATTTTCCCCCCGGCCAAATGAACGTCATGCACACTCGTCATGCCCCTTCATCGTTCATCCGTCTCCAAAATATTAAATTTTTCAAATTAAAGTCAATTCATTACCCTATCATCCTACCCCAGAATAGTGAAATTGTAACGATTATACTTTATACTTCCGACAAAACTGATTAATATTAAAAACCAAAAACTTCATGTTTTAATATATCTGCATGATTTTTAAATCAACAAATATTAGAATGTTTCCAAAAAATTCATGTAGAAATAGTATTCTTCACCGCTTCGCCCTCGATATATATTCACAGATAAGATAGCAAAATTTCTTAACAGCTAACACATGGCATCACCTTTACTTTGAATTATTTTTATTTCGAAACACGGGCAGATGGCTCTCGTTGCAGCCGAGGCCATAAAAGATTCATGATATAATTTCGCGTTCAGCCCACACAAAAATTTTCTTCAACAGTATCCGCTTTAAAATGCTGTATATCTCGATCTAATGTGAAAATGGAGTCGACGGCTTTAACGTCGTCCAGGTTTCTTCCATAAGAGGAAGCGTCTAATTTGAAGTATTTCTATTTGGAAATGTCCCGGAAATAGACCATACAATTTCTGCATGTAAATCCCGTTTATGCAAAAACCGGCGAATAAAAAAATAGCTTCCCACGGATTGTAATATATACTGAAACACCAATGGAGGTAAAGTTTCAAATTTAAAGTGTTGATTGAAGAAGACAGACGTATCACGGTAGTGATAGTGCCTTTCTTTACCCGCACATTGTCGATGTTTCCCGTGATTGAACAGGTCAGGTAAAGTGAAAATTTTGTATAATATAACACACACAGGAATCTGGCGGTCGCGTATACAAAATTAATCCCGAGCTGACAGGCAATAAGAGATAATTACAAAGCCTATAAACGAAGGAATATAATAACTTACGGCAAATCGAAATCTGAAAGTTTCTATATATGATCAAAAACGTTTGGACCCTAACATACATATATATGGACGAGATCAGGTCTAAGCTGACAGCCATGAAGAGGAGATAATTGCAAAGCTTATAAATTAAAGAAGAAGTGTATCTAAGATTGTAAATGCAAGAGAGAAAGGAATAAATGAAAGAACATCTTAACCTATTCTGATGATCAGGTGAACGGAGATTTAACAATAAATAGCAAAGAATAGACATTTATACGTTGCATTTACGACACGAGTTTAAATAATGAAACATTAGATGGAAAATCACTTCTCTTGCAGTGCCATGTTTGCTTAAAGATTTTCACTGGCGATCAGAATTTGCAACACAAGTAACTTCATTGAAGATAGCTAGAGCCATCATTTCAAGAATACGATCTACGACGATTATACACTGACCGGGTAAAGATTGTCATGCAGAAAAACATAAATTAGGAAATCAAGATACACTTTCAGGAGCTTTGTTTACAATTGCAGAAAAAAAACAACAAACGTGAGGTAAAGATAAAGAGAAAACATATATACACATATCTACAAATTCAAACGATTTTGCTTTATATTAAAACATATTTTGAAAAGAAATTCTACACAAATAATTGTACGATTCATTTTATACATCAAACTAATAAAAGAACTTATAACCAAGATCACCTGACAACATTTCGAAAAGAAGCATATACGATTACGAACCCGTGCATAATGAGAAAATTTGATAAACGAAGCATCAGTGAATAACTCATATATTATAACATTGAAAAAATTTCAAGAAGAAATCAGCAGAAATAAATTGAACACTACATTGAAATAACACATTGAAGCATCAATTCTAAGAATGGTAACTTCAAGTGGAAAGATGTTACAAGAATTGTTTAAAGGCGAGGACAGGCCTAATATGTTTGTGAAAAGTCCAAAACGACAAAAGAGTCATTTTGACATGTTAAAACGATGTTTCTCCCAAGATTATAAAAGCGAGATGGAATTTCTAGGAGGGAAACTCGCAACACTATGCTACTGCGGAGCGTTCCTAAGTTTTGGAATATCAGAGGCGATAATTGGACCAACGTTATTGGAGCTAGGCTGTCTGACTGGACGCGGGGTGAATAGGATAGCATGGATCGTTTTCACTCAAGCATTTAGTGCATGGTTTGGATCGCTCACTGGAGGCTTGCTAGCTGAGAGGTGAGTGCGTTGGTTGATTAACTTATATACTGCACGTATAATTTAACTCCAAGTATACGATACACTAAAACTTGTAACACAAACTATACCTAGTAGCCCTACTGACATTGACTACATCATAATTGTTTCTTACTAAGCAATCCAATTACCTGGGGATTAATTAAATAATTTATCAGATCCCACGAGTGAGGATTAACAGCATCAATTAGGACTGCAGTCTAACAGTCTTCCCTTCTCAGCATTGTTTTCAGAAAGTTTTTTTCTTGACATATTTTCACAGATATAACTGCAATCGAGTGCTCGTCACGAATGTCTTGGCAATCAGTATATGTCTGGCCTTTATACCAGTGTGGTCAAACTATTATGGAATGTTAATCACGGTTGGCTTATTGGGAATTAATATGGGGATGATAGACACAGTTGCAAATGTAAATCTCATCAAAATACATGGAAGAGAGGTTGGAAATTAAGATAGATGTTTCCAATATATATCGTATCATGTCCATGCAAGTGGCAAAAGCATGCAATATATATACATATATATCAAGTATACGGTTATGGGGTGCTATTGTTTTCACCACGAAACATAAATCAATATCTTTTCGCGCTGAATACTTTAAATTTATAGTGACAGTGAAAAACGTTCAAAAAAGCATAACAATCAATAGCGTTTTAATCTTTATAACTGTAAGGTAATTGTGCGGAACGAAATGTTTAATGAATGCCCCAGTATATCTCTAACTCTTAATCTGCTGTGTTTTGCCCATCACAGTTTTTAATATCCTTGATATTTTAATATTAACACCAACAAAATTAAGTATGCAGAAGCCTTTTGAAAGTTGTAAACATAATTTTCCATCCATGCACGGGTGTTTTAGGTTTAAAAAAACACCACTATATTAATTATCATATATTAGAATAGGGTTACATATCATTATATTATTATATGCATGCATTCTCCTTATTCGAAGCTCCCGTGTTTCGAGCTGAATGAATCTGAATATTCTATACTTTTGTAGGTTGCGCCAAGATTACAGGTAAGCGGAGAAGCCGGTAATAACACTTTATATACTTGAAGACATGCTCAGTTGACAACACTTGACTGTTGAATACCACTTTCAGTCTAATCTAACTCTCCTCAAATACTTGTCGCTCGTACGTATATCTATGTTTTTTGTCATCGTATAACTTGAAAGTCGGACGTATACTACACAATCCTTAACAAAACAAACTTCCAAAAAACTTTCAATACAATCCTAGGCCCTTCACTTTTGCTACGGTATGGGCGCACTTCTAAGCCCTATGATTGTTCGTCCGTTTCTACGGGACAAATGCGATGGAACAGTGGTGATTCAGAACTCGACGAATTCTACGACAGAAAGAAATATAACAATGTTTAATCTAACAACGACGATTTCAAAAGAGCCAGTCACAGTGCAGTTTGGTTATTGGATTATCGCATCGATACAAGTAAGTAAATGAGGGTAAAACCTATATTTTAATAATTAATAAATGATATCTGAGCTAAGCAGAGACTTCGTCTATAGCTCGATGTTAAATCGTCGAGTTCATAAAAAGCATAAAAAGGTTTAAAAAAAATTTCTGTGAAGCCAAAATAACGTTTTTTTAAATAGAAAAAATCGCCCATCACAGGATTTGTTTAGGACGTTTTTATAGATAAAGGATCTATATATATATAGCGTAAAGGTTTGATGTAAAAAAATGGGAGTAACTGAACTCGTTTGCGATATAAACACGATTAAACCCAGTGAACTCAAACAAGACTGGAACGCTAGCTCTCTGACTTTCACTCTGATTAATGATTGAAGCCAAGATGGCGGAACATGAAGCCTTTCTTGTAGTTGTAGGTGTGATCCAGGCCCCTGGCACAGATATTTCACGTCTTGGCTTCAAATTTTTCGCAGAGCTAGCGTTCCAGTCTCATTTCAGTTCACTGATTAAACCCTCAACCCTGTTTGGCGGCCATTTTGAAACGTTTATGTTGCCATGGTAACGGGTGCCAGACCAACCTCGTACCCAGGGCACAAGGTTGGTGCCAGACTCAAGCACAAGTTCTGAACAGATTTCCGCTCAAGTTTTTTTTCTGTAAAGTACGTTAATTTTTAGCCTTCTAGCGAAACATTTAGATGCTTTAAAACATGCATAAAAAATTTTAGGAAACTGTAAGCCACCTTAGATAGCTCGAAAATACCTTCGATAACTCAAACGAAAACTCATCTTGTATGCGATGATCGAGTGCGACCTCGGTCCTCGACATGAGAAGTAATTGCATATCACATAACAGCACGAAGAACTGCATTACTTTGAGGTTTGCCAGAGAGCGATATCAATTCCTCCTTTTTGCTTTATTCTCATGCACTCCAGATTCCAATCATTCTTGGCCTGGCATTCCTTGTTTTCAAGCAGAAGCGACTCCGTGAGACATTTCCTGTTCAAAATGAAGGGGAGATCATTTCATTAGCAGGCAATAATTCAGAAAACACGAGCGGGGAAATGAAAGGTATTATCCGGCATATTTCATATATTTAATAAACGTGTGCAACAAAGGGGAACATGAGTTGCTGCTACATTTTTTTGGGGGGACCACGATATGAAAATAATATTTTTGAGATTTCATTTGCTCTCATAACTTTGCAACGATACTTTCATTTAAGAATTCTGTGACAAATTTACAATACGTTACACGTATTTTATCATGTATTATATATCAATTTACTTTAATCTCTCTTTCTAGATCTTAGTCAGATTTTTAAGCCGGTCAGTTTACTACCGGCTAAAAGACCCTGGATTACAATCTCCGTACGGGTTTTACTCATCACATTTCTATCTTCTAGTTTGCTCTTCTTATGCGAAGGTCTAAAGGTACAGTAGTATTACGCGCTAATGTGCTTGTGTTTATGACTAGTACGATTTCCGAGAAATTTTCTAAACACCCAGTTCTTTACTATGTTTATTTACGATGTTTTTAAATCCACTTGAAAATAACATGGCGCATGATCAAGTTTTGTCTGTGTTTGCAGGGTAGCTTTGCTGGTTATCTTTATACGTTTGCTTTGAAAAGTGAAGTCCATTTTACAAGTCGTCAAGGAGCTTTCCTAAGCGCTCTGTTTTGGGTACCTTCTTTGGCTTTAAACATTTCATTTACTTTTGAACTTATTATACAAACGTCTACTACAACACGATTACGTTAATTTTGATCGTCACCCATTTTCATTGACTGTATATATGCACTGCAGCTGGAAAATGACAAATCTCATTTTTTTGGATTTATAGGGCCATTTTGCAGTTGGTCGTTTTATATCTATTCCTGTAGCAATCTTTATTAAACCAGATAGAATGGTTTGCATAAATTTGGTAATTAATCTTAATTTTTTTGTTATTTCACTATTCACAATTCCTGTCATTCCAATCTATTGTATTCTTTCTTTTCCTTGCATTTCATGTCATCCTTCTTGACTCGTTACTCCATTCCATTCTTTAATATTCCAACTTTTTTCATTCTAATATTTGTTCCACGTACTCCATTCTATACTATTTTATCTCATTCTACTCTCTTTTGCTGCTTTTCATTTTATTGCATTATATTCCATCTATTCATTTCCTTTTACTAATACGGCGATTAAGCCTTTGATGTGATGCGCTTTTTACCTCGCCTAGGCGGGATAACTCGCTCCATGCGAGTACTCGCTCCATAATTAACGCGCTAAGATGAAATATTCTATGCTATTGTGTTAAGGTTGGATGCTTAATGTCAATGTCAGTTGTATTGTATTTTCACGACAAAGCACTTGCCATATACATTGGGACAAGTCTGTTTGGACTGTTTATAAGCAGCGTGTTTCCTTCAACCTTAGCTTTGGCAGAATTATATATCAATGTAACAGGTGAGTTTTACATGTTTACTAAGCTCCCTCCAAAATTGGGACAAAATTGTATATTTTTAAAAAGAAATATAAGCGTAACAAATTTCTTTACACTATAATTTCCTTACACACATATATAGGTCCTGTGACAAGCGTGATTGTCATTGGCTCTGCAACTGGAGAGATGGTGATTCCAATGATTGTTGGAAAGGTTTGCATTGCATTTAGCAGTATTAAAGAGGCTAGGCGATCTGACACTTTTAAGAACTTTATAGGATACTCAACCCAGTTAATTCGTATTATCGACCCAGGACCTCTTAGTGGGGGAGAAGGGGAAGGATAATATATATAATAAGGGAATATTTGCCCCGGAACACGTGCCTAAATGAGGGAGAGCAAGCTGATGATTTAACAGAACGAAGGGAACAAAAAACTGTCCATGACAAAAATCTCCATGTATAAGCATGGCGGAAGATAACAACTTCGCCATTTACGTTTTTTTTTCACAAATTTCCTTCGCTCCTGACGAATGTTCACAATTTTAAATTTTATATGTTTTAGCTTTTCATCAAAGATGGTCCAATTTATTTCCTGGTAGTTGGTTTGATTACGTGTATCCTAGCCCTGATGATGTACGTTGCTCTAAAGTGGTCATCAAATGTTGCACCAGACGTCTCAGGTATAATAACGGACCTTATAAAGCTTCACAAAACATCGGCAATGAATTATGAGTTGTGTGAACGAGGTTCTTATATCTTCTTATGTCTATTATACAGCTACATCACTTCTGCGAAACATTTACAACACGTTATGTCAGTGCAGGAATCTCGCACGCAGAACAAGCGATGCGAAATATGAATATATAAAACTACTCCCTACATTAGTAGAGATGTCCAGTGCTTCAACTTCCATGGATTCGACCGAACAGGGAACGGAGGATAGCACCAGCACTTTGGTAGCTAAATCAAACAGTCTGACATCTGTCGCATCGATTGAATAAAAACATAGGAGCAGCTGCATTTCAAAAGAGATTGTCCTAAATGAACTGTTTATCTGATCTTTTATCAATTCTTGGTAAAATATTAGTGGTACATGCTGATTATTATTTTAAAATTTGAGGCAATCTGTAGTACATTTGCATTGTACAAACTTATACGAATATGTTTTCATACCCAAAGGATTGTATATTTGGTGTTTGTTGGCACAGATATAAAATGTTCACAAATAAAATAGCCATTATTGTATGTTCACTTGATGTCAATCTATATTTTGTGGGGAAGACTGTAATACATTTAATGAGGTATGGCAATGAAATTATTCAGTCTTGTCGAAAAGAAACATTTCTTACAAAATTTTTTTATACTTTTCTTATAGCTTCAAAGATAAGGTTAGGATTATAGAAATATCTTTCCGAAAAGTACATCCTTTAGCAATATGCCTAATGTTAGGGCTCAAATACATTTGAAAAAGAAAACAGAGAACATTTACGTTAGTACAGTTCGTCCCTTAGTCATATTTTTTTATGGTCCGGTGATTTTCTACCCCAAAAAACAATAGTTTGCGTTTTCCTGTTTCGTCAATTTCGTGTCCCGAATATTAACTCGAAAATTAGCGAGTCTAGTTAAGTTGTTTTTGTAAATAGTCTGTAGAACTGTTATACTTAGTTTCAATGCATGATCGATTATTGTAAAATTTGAAAACAGGGGGATCGCGGGCTCAGTGAGTTATTGTAATTATTCATTTCTTAAGAAATTAATCGTTTACATAGTAAATAAACACCAAAAATTAGCATAGCGGGACAAAATCGTCAGGTTGGCTACGCTACTGCGCCGTCTTGGGGAACAAGATTGCTGTTTGTCCTCAGTGGTTTCGTGACATACATATCAGCAACCTCGTACCCAGGGTGTTTCAGCGGAGGTTGGCGTGTCAGTTGCATCGATAAGTTAAACCACAGCGCGTTCATTATGTTTCTAAAAATAGCGAATTTTAAAACATCCAGATCAGACAAATCTAGTTTGGTTACACTATATCGTATGGAAGAGTAATATTTGATCATGCAGAATAAATTGTTGGAATTTAGTCCTGGGGCTGTTCGAAAAAAACCAAACTTTCATCTGACTATATATAGTTAATGACAGAATTGGCCAATCAGAAACATCTATTTTTGAGTTAACGACAATTCAATCGCCAAATATATAATATTGGATTTATAGCGAGGCCAAAATAAAAAAAATTATATCAGTCGCTGCATTTTAGTACTCCACATTTCTTAGAAGTCTCTAATTTTTAAATAGTTAAACATTTGCCACCGTCTGGTACTGTTGGAGAGCTTTCCCCGTGTGACTAGTGGTATATACGAGAATAAATACGAGATTATTAAATCATGTCAAAGCTGAACTTACCTCTTATTATTCCTAATACAATTCCCAATATCAATCGGTTAGATTGCCACTTTAACTAATCATATACTGCCAGTCAGCGTTACGAAGCTATTACGATCATTAACTTATTCCTACGCTTTGACGTATGCTTCATCGCGTGGGTATTAATTACAATTGTACCGAAAAATCAAAACAGCCATCTGAGAAAAAACATTGTGTCTTCTTCATACATATATATGACTACAATATATGTCGGTTGATAATCTACTGGAAAAGACAATCTCACCCAAACGACTAGGGTCTACTCGACGATATTTAAAACTAAACTGCAGTGAAATTGATTTAGTGTCGCGAAATTTTTGCACTTTTGTAGCTCAGCCAATGGAACCCTGACTGCAACAGATAACAGATATCTTAATTTAACTTGAACTGCATGGCGGGCACTCCCTGTTCAAGCAGCGTTTAAATATGAAAAAAATGCTCCAAATATATAATATTGAAAAGAAGCGTTTAGACACCCCCAATTAAAGTGAAGAGGTAAAAAAGAATTTCCTTCTGCATTATTTAAAGGTTGAAACGCGTGATTTATAAGTATAATGGGTATAGAGACCGAGACGAAAATATTAAACAAGGTCTCCAGACGAGCATGGCAATTTTACGTCGAATAAAGTCCAGCTTTTCAAAGGTTAACAACAACCAAGCTGAATCTCTTATGAAATAATGAGTTGGAAAAGGAAGCCAACTGCGGGTTTTGTTCATGCAATATATCTATACATATATATATACATAAAATCGTGCGCCAGGACAGATTTTTAACGTACATGCATGCATGTGGGATGTTCTAAACTCTTTTTATTAATAATAAATGACTACGACAGAAAAAATTATGATCGTAATCGTTCAACGGCAGGCTAATGCTGTATTCATGGGGGCAGACATATTGCTACTCAGCATCGATAAGATTTTAAATCGATATTCATGAAGTGTGCATGCAAGTTTCTTGTGCGAAATCAGAAGAGTAGAGACTAGAGTGTAGAGCCGAGAATTGAAACCATGCATCATGCATGCATGCATGGAAAATTTTTGCTCAAGTGGAAGAGGATCGTGCTGTGTCATCAATGCAGAAACTTATATAGTCCATAAGTACCACGTCTGTGTGGCTATTAAAGAAAATGGAAAGAACGCTGTGAAACCACAGAGAAAGTTTTAATAACCAACTGCTTTTGAAACACTCTAACTAGCCACCAAGGGGCCAATGTTTTTCATAAAATATGATATTTAGACTGTCAGGGTGTTTAAATTAGTGGAAAATTAACCATTGAATCTGAACAAATTTCAAGAAATAAATTCTCAATTCACATCGATACACAAGTTATTTTCCAAATCATATTGCATATATGTCAGATATATAGCTCAAGAACCTCATCTGCATGTTCTTGGTTTTATTTTATGTATTTACATAATGACAGTTCGCTTAAAAAATTGAAAATCTATTATCCATATTTATGTATATTCAATTCTACTGCACGAGCACGCCAGCCAGTGCAACTTATTGAGTCGAGATGTCGAATTACGCGAGGAAGACTGGGACACAGACGATAGCTAGCTGTATTAAATAATCTCACATATATATGCATACTTGGCCCAAATTAACAACATGGAGTATCAACATTTAAAAAACAAGAGTCAATAGCCAACATTGAGAATATACTTCGTGTTTTTCTCTTGAATTGACGAATAAAGCTAAGGCACTCAACGCATAGAAAAAATAGAATTTCTTTGTAGATTGGAGTATATTTATAGTTCAACATGACCGCACGATATTATTCGTGCGAATCAAGCCATACGTCGCCTTATAAATTGGAAATAAATTCGATCATACTCTTCCGTCATTTCTAAACGGTTTTACTGGCAAACGGCAGGCCTAAAACTTTACATATACATATACCGTAAAAATTCAAAATACCGTCTTCACCGCTGTATCAAAGCCGACAGTTAAGTATGCTTTCGAATCGGATCTTTAAAAAAGTTAAAATATTTATTAACGTCTTTAAGAGTCATATCCCCATATAATTAATGCCGAATTGCTGCTGCAATAGAGAATTCTAAATCAGCTGCATCTTGTTTGAAGTACTTGAAAAAAAAAGCTCAGAGCTATACATAGGGCTCGGCATAATTATATACGGAGGAGCGCGAGAATTCATTCCAAGCTTTTGTAATATAGTCTATAAACACAAGCTATTATTTCTATTCATAGAATACATTCAATATACTGCACGCTGCATTCATGGCCGCGTAGATTTTAAAGATAAATGCTATAACTGGCTTTTGAGATATCACTTATTCCACCGCAACTTAGCTACGGACGTTGTACACTGTTTCGAATTCTAAAACTTCGGTATTTTCACAATTCAGCTTTCCCACTTATCTTTCATTATTTATGCAAAATTTCAATACGTTAGGACAAAATAAAAGAGTAATCCTGGCAGGTGTTCTGTGCAAAAAAAATAAATGACACAACTTTCCTGTATCTATTCTTAAAAAATTGCTTAACCAAAAATATACGTATATATATGAAAAGATAAGAAAACTATCAAATTTCTCACGATTTTTTTTTAAAGGACAAGTAAATGAAGCACAGAACATGCAGTATATCACAAGTAAATCAAATATAATATTTATAACACTTTAACCTCTAATGGACTAAGACGAATCTTAAAACAAAAGCGGAATATTAAAATTTTGATTAAATAAAATGATCGAGAGCTGCCATTTTGAGCGTTAATTGAATGAAATACGAAAGAACATCGAAGCTTGACCGTGATTGGTTCATCACAGCCAGTAATGTCGCTTTTCTCTAGTACCTCATCTATCATTGGTTGGTTTGCGTTTTTCCATTCTGCTTGCGTTAAATAGGGTCAGACAGTTTTGAAAATGCTCCAGAGTTGACGAGAGAAGAAATAACAAAAGTATGTCATGAAATACAGCGTAAAGCAAAATTAATAAAGCCATTCTGTGCAATTAAACGAATCACTCATAGCTTTCTTGTCTTGAATGAAAAGTTTTAAAATGAACAAGATGGGTTATGAACAAATTTGAGTTATGACAATCCAATTTCATGACGTGATTTGTTAGCTTAGCAAAACATCGCGTATGTAAAAAGCAAAGCATAAAAAAGATGAACAAGGGGCCGGACGAAGATATAGCTTATCACAAGGATACCGCCACTAACGGGGCGTTACGAAAGACAGACGCAAACAATACGAATTCCAGCGATAACCCAGCGTGTGCCCTGACAACAGCTTTTCAAAACGCGACAGCGAACGGGGATAAAATGGTGTCGGATGGGAGACAACAGGAGTTTCTTCTAGAAGAAGAAAATAACTATAATCTGACGTCTTTTCACGACGATAAAATCAAAGAACATCTTCTTAACGCCGTGCGGCGTGGGTCATATGAAGTCGTAGTCACGTTATTTGAAAGTCTTGATCTTGGGGCAGAGGCTGAACTGATTTCAGGAGAACATGGTGGATATGAGTGGACACAAAGCAATTTTCCACCTCTCATAGTAGCTGCACAGTTAGGCCAATACGATATCATAAAATATTTCCTCTCAAAAGGCTTCAGAATCGAGCCACCTCACGAGATACAATGCGGATGTGAAAATTGTCATGTAGATTATTTGCGCACTTCCCAAGAGAGATTAAGCCTGTATAAAGCTTTAGCTAATCCTATATGGATTACACTTACAACCGATGATCCGATACTGACAGCCTTCACGATGAGTACAAAAATGAAATCCTTAGCGAGTCAAGAGGATGAATTCGAGAACGAATACACCGAACTGTACAAAAGTTGTAAACAACTGGCAGTTGGATTATTAAGCGAATGCTACGACTCGAAAGAACAAGAAGCGATATTGAATTATTCGCATGAAGACAATAAGCAGGCAAATAGCGGGGACAAGCGATTAGATTTACTTAAAATGGCCATTTCTATGGAGCAAAAGGAGGTATGCCTTTTGAATATTTTATAAAATTGAATACACTAGAGTATAGTGGACTTATTAAGTAGTATATGGAACGCGAAACTTAGTGTCTGTCATTATTAAATTTTTTCATCTTAGTTTAAAGTAGGTCGTGTCTGTAAATAAATAACGCGCCGTAATTTGTCTCCGACGAATCTAAAATAAGGGCCAAGATGAAATAATCTCGCACGTCTGTTTTGGAGGTTAATCAGGCATGTGACAAAGTGTTTTCGCTTGAGACAGCCGGAAGTAACTTTTTACACATGCATGCATGTTTCAGGATTTTCGCGGAAGATAGCGTGTGCGATATGGAATATATACAAAACCTCAACTGCATTGATTACCACCGCGTTGCAAACGTTTATTAGTGGTTTTGTAGAGTGCAATCCACACTAGAGCACCGCGACGTTTGTGTTGCGAATATAATTTTCCGTTAATGCAATGCTAAAGATAAAAACGTCCTACGCCGTCGCCGGAGTGAAATGAGTTCCAAACTCATGTTTAGGACACAGCCGCTGGAGATACGTATAGAGTAAATGTTCAAAATGTTTATTCCAATGAATAAATTTATTCGGCCATATAGATAATAGGCGACAACCTTTGGGAGGAATAATTTTTCCGGCGGTATATGGGCATTAATTACTGTTGTCTCAAAAAATCAATAAGACCTTTGTACGCACTAACAACTGTTATCTAAAATCAAAAACCTTGGGTTTATTTTGGTAAAAGGTTCAGTAAGAGTAGTAGAATGTTCATGCATCTTTTAATAGAAAATATATAACCGCCGAAACCGCGAATACTTTAGCTTAATGAACGATCTAAGCCATTCGGCCGAGTCAAAAATTAGGAAGCAAATTAGCGACTATAATTATATATAGTCAGAGCCAGAGGGAACATTTTTTCCACACATATTTTTCTAGCCCTAAATGGTTTCGAGTTCAGCCATTTTCAGTTTCAGTTTTGGAATATTAGATTGTGTTTATTTTGTGGCTTTAGCTTGGCACTATATATTTAAAGGCACGTCGCTTACGATAGTAATATTAATATTACAAGTAATCATTAAGAGCGATGTGAAATGCAAACACAGTATACATATGCAAATCATGATAGTTTATTCGTGTTTCGTCCGTTCATAATGGTATAATTTTTGCATATCACTGATGTCAATATCAAATCTAAATGCCTATTTATATATACGTGATAAAAATTACTATTTCATGGGCATTCTGCATTTGTGTACAAAATTTTTAGCTCCCGTTTATATTAACACATAATATAACATTCATTGCATCGCGAAACAATGATAGCGTTTTGGAAATAACGGCCATTTTTAATTTGAAAAAAGAAACTTACCCAACCGAGTTGAAATTGTACTGTGCAACATCTCATGCATCTAATTCATTGAAGAAGCCGAAATTGACAAAGTAAAAAAACACACTAAAATGCAAAACAAATTATTATATACTGGATGATCTCGCAGGATTATACTTTGATTGCGTCATAAAATTCGATAAAACAAGCCTTTTATAATCTGTAAACATTTTTATTCTCCCCATCATCTCTTTTTCCAACTAACATATGCAGATGAACCCGTCCGATACATGAAATGCTGCATGTTTATCTACATCCTATTCCGCTCTATTGAAATTATTTATACTCCTGTGTTGTCTTTCAGCTCGAGGCGAAAGATTAATTAAGACACCCACTTTTACTCGCTTTGTCATCGGGAGCGCATGCATGTAGATTACGAATACTGCATGAAAAATACTGATGTGAAAACACCAAACCAAACTATAAGACGGGGCAATAGGGGGCATCTCCATCATGCATGCCCGCGCCGAATTGCGCTTTACCTACGGGATTCAGCAACAGGAAATTTCTCTTGTTCCCGCATGCATGAATAAATATAACATTATACTCAAAGCCTACATAAAGGCGGATTTCCACTTACAGCGAAATCGTTCGCTAGCGAAATATTTGCATTTTTTCTTTTCAATTGAGAACAGTCAAGTCGAACTAATTTACTTATGCTGTTAAAATTCAAAAGAAAATATGCAAATATTTCGCTAGCGAACGATTTCGCTGTAAGTGGAAATCCGCCTTAACGCTAATACGTATCACGCTGAAAAAGCACGACCCAGTGCTAATTGAATTGCAGAAACAAGCAGAATTGCAGAAACATGCAGGATTGCACTCAAAGGCATCTAACTTTGAAGTAAACTTTCGCATGCACTTTTATAGGATTTTAACGAATACAAAATATTTTTCAGGTTTTGTCATGCATGGGAAACGTTCGACGAGACGCTGGTGCATGCAGTAGCTTAGAAATAATCAAATTTCCGCTTTATTATATCTTCCTAGGGCCAGTCGTGTAAAAGTCCTAACTACATTTTAAGTATCGGTATAAATCGTGGTTAACTCGAAAATGCACGATTCTATAATTAGCCAATTCTGCCACAAACTACGACTAAAAAGTCATCAACAACGTGGACCCAGCGTGTCTCTCGCTTATCTACACACGAGCCATACACACATTAGGTTTAAGAGGATATCGACCACAGAATTCTTAGCCACAGCATAATGTAGCTATATATGGCTTTATATTTAAGCAAAAAGTGCATGAGTGGAGGAAAGCCAAAAAGTTTGGCTATTGTTTAGGCATAACAAATCCTCAAAGCGATGCTATCGTATATGAACATACATAGAGCCTATTATAGTAATAACATATGAATAATGTATACAAGGTTTTATATTGGTGGTTGATCTTGCTAGATTTGATTCTCAGAATAGACTAATTGCATGTCTAGGACTAAACGAAATTTATTTATACTATCAATAAATAATATTAAAACCACAAGAGGCGAGAAATTTGTTCGTTGTTTTATTAATGGTCAAAGTTCAAAATATCGCACAATTTACAAAAGCTGCACCTTTTATCTTTTTCCCACTCATGATATCAACGCTTATTAATTAATGTAATATTTACCTAATTTGCATGTTGTTTTTTCTCCCAGAGGTGATGTGTATTTAACATTAAAGCTTTAATACAATTAGAGCTTTGTTAATGAAACACGGTTTCCTTTGGAATTTTGGGTAATTGGAGCACATAAAGTTAATTAACTGGAAAATTTGTGATGTTTAATTTGAACGTTCGTTATGCCGCGGCTACACCGGCCATTTTCATCTACGATTTTGTCTTTCTAGCGTATGTTATTGTGTGAATTGTATACGCAGTTGTATATAAGCTGGGCGAAGTAAAGTAACCAACTCTGTTAAATTTACTTAATAGCATACACTAGGAAAAGAAAATCGACGTCAAAAATCGCCCGTGTAGCCCGGGCTTTAAACAAATCAATTTCTCGATCTAAACTCAATAATTGTTAAAAAAACCCTTTATACTTCTAGCTAGAAAATTCATTCGAACAATTTTATTCCACACTTTAGATATTTATAGATTAGACATTTTTAAATTAAACTATATGCATATAACAGGCTGGTTGAAGTTTCTGTAAAATTGGATAAGAAACCCTTTAACCGTGTTGACGACCTAATTTAAAGTTAAAAATCTATTCTAGTAGTTAGGTATTTCAGTTCTAAGCTGGGATTGTTTCTGAACTTGGTTTATTTCTCTTTAGTTTGTGGCTCATACGTTCAGCCAACACCTGTTAATGTCTCTTATATTCAAGTGTGCAAAAGGATGGCGCAATAACAACCTAGCGTATAAAATCCTTTTCGTTGCAAGTCGAGTTATCATATTTCCTCTGATGGCGACTGCCTACATCGTGTTTCCTTGTTGGAGCTTCTCCTGCACTATGAAAGAACCTTTAATAAAGTTTATCAACCATACAACTGCCTTTGTGATATTCTTGATGCTTCTGGCAATTTCCTCGACTCAACCTCTGAATATTCGTAAAGGCGAAACCCTCAGTGCCATAGAATTCTTAGTGATATTCTATGTCCTTGGTCTTATGTGGTCTGAGTGCAAGCAACTATGGACTGAAGGACTTTTTAGATATTTGTCAAGTGGTTGGAATTGGATGGATCTATCGATGCTCTTGATGTTATGTGGTGCTTTCCTTATATGGGCAACGACGGCAGTAATCGCCTCGTTCTCGTCGACGAACTATAGCGAGAGTTTACGGATGACGGTCAGCGTTGCCGACGGTCTGTTCGCGACTGGAATTGTAATGAGCTTTTTCCGGTTAATCTACTTGTGTCAAATTAGTCGGTACCTAGGCCTGCTTCAACTTTGTCTCAGTCGGATGGTCCGTGTTATAATGCAGTTTGCTTTCATAAGTTGTGTGGTGCTATGGTCGTTCTCAATTGGTATGCATATGTTGTATAACTCGTCTAAACACTTTCCTGGAAAGAACAGGACCGGCATTCCTCAAGGGCATGGACCAGAAAAGGCTGACGATGGTGGTTTCTTGGAGTTGTCTTGGCATGGTGATTTTAAATCGTAAGTAGCCTACTGTAGCTTGTGAAGAAGCTCGATCGGTTTAAAGATGCGACAATTATTGGAATATTAGTCTAATGATGAGGGGTTTGCGTACTTTCTATTTTCCTAGTGAAAATGAACAGACCATTTGAAGGATAAATTCTGCCTAAAATTAAAGACACCAGTCGTTACGAGGTCTCACGCTCACGATTTTGAAAAAAGGTGCCCCCAAAATGACGGCATATTCGTCATTGTGAAAAAGGCTAGAATTATTTATCCCCGGATAGTTGTTGAATAAAAGCAACTGTATATAGCAATAGGTTGATAAATTAATTTATAAAATTAGTTATTAGTTATTTTGCAGATTACTCGATTGGTTAAACGTTGAGGTTACAATATAGTGTTTGAGTTGAGGTCAATATAATGGTTCAATTAATGCAACTTGGATTTGACAAGCTTTGACACTTCTTTTCCATTTATATAATTGATATCTTAATCTGGACTCATAGACAGAGATAAATATTAGGTCGAACTGATTGATAAAAAAAAGGGGGACAATAACTTTTAAAAAGTATAAAGTGGATAAAACAAGCATCATCGACTACGTTTCTTCAAAAAATGAAAAATGTCCGGCCTAAATAATTGTACTAATAATTGTTCAAAAATCAATTTGATTAATTTATTGGCACTTTTAAACATGTATGATGTTATTATTAGTCTTCGAAAGAAAACCTTTATACGCAAACAAATTATGATACAAAGTGAAGTAATCCTTTTTCTTTATTTTAGTCTAATGAATAGCGTTGTTACGATGTCCTGGGCAAGTTTTAACATGATCGAACTGACAAGCCTCGCAGTGTTTGACAACACAAACATGATACAGTTTTGGAGTGCCGCGTTATTCACGGTTTACCATGCCTCAACAATGATCGTTTTACTTAATATGCTCATTGCTATGATGGCGAACTCGTATCAACAAATAGAGGTATAGTAAAGCAAAAACCGCTTTTGTCGCTTATTTTCTGAGGGGGGGGAGGTCTAGTGCGCGTTCATATATTCGCCCGAGAGATGAAGCTTATAAAAGCGTTGTTTTTACGGTAGCTATATGGATCAACGTGCATAGTTCTAGCACTTCTAGCGACGGTACAGTTTAGGCGAGTTAAGGATACTACAACTAGCAAAACAATGTATTCTCATTTCTGTCCAGTATTAGTTCTTCCAATAAAAATCTCAGTATATGACAATGTTTTCTCCAATGAACAAAGTCATCGAAAAAATTTGAAGGAAACGAAGCTGACTGACCTCTTGGCCCTCTTTTTATCTTATGCATTAACAGTGGTTTTAGACTTAATCAAATAAAACGCAGTAGCTAGGTACTAGAGAGATATTGTGATAAACGATGTGAATTTTTCCCTCTCGAAGCAGGGCTCCAAGTATATTTTACGGTGATTATCATCAATGAGATTATCATCAATGATACACAACTGCTGTGTGAAGGAACTAAGATTTAGACCTCGCTAAGAATTGTCCAGAGATTTCAAAATACCTAAACGTTTTATTAAATCTAGGACAACATTGAGATTGAATACAAATTCGCCCGTGCTCAAATGTGGGTGGAATTTTTTGATGATGTCGCAACGCTACCGGCTCCGTTTAACATCATCCCAACGCCAAAGACGATATCAAGAATATTTTCGCTGTGCGTGGAAAAGATTTGTGGGAAATCTTGTAGTATCTCGTATCATGGCAAGGTGAGCTTTTAACAATGAAAACAATTATATTGTCATTATTATGAGGAAAAGGTGGAATGTTCCGGAAAGGTAGAATCTTAGTTATAGTCAACCCGATAAGAGGATATTTCAAGAAAATCGATAGATCCCAAAAGAAGGCTTTTGGACAGCGTGTGTTCATAGGCGTAATTTTCCCCCCGGGAATTCTTTCCCGACCAGTGTTCCCGACTCCCGGGCATTCAACGAATCTCCCCTGGCATTCCCGGGTGTTCATTAGTAGGACCCGATTGTTTGTCGCCATTAGAAATGATCCGTTACGTAACTATACTTTAGGGACGTTTGAATATGCGTCTTCATTACTCTTTATTAAATTCGGATAGGTAAATTTTTAGTTGTAACAAAAGTTGACAAGAAATCGCAATTTTGTAATAATGAAAATGTTGATGAAAATTAATATATATATTAAAAATATTAAACACTATTTATAACGCGCTTTTTATAGAGAAGTTTCTCCTTACATCGTTCAGGAACTTTTAATAGCAGCAGACGGAAAAAAGAGTATTTGGTAAGAAAAACTGTGTACCTCACGAAGCTTAACACTTAAAACCTGTAGAACATTGCAAAGGGCCTTCCTTACCAGCAAACACCACCTGCCTATATATATATAAATATAAATATATATATATATATATATATATATATATATATATATATATATATATATCCTACTTGCTAGACTGCATCAATCACCGCTCTCTTAAAGCGCACCCTAGCCTCCCCCCCCAGGAATTTTTAGGCCAGTACTGTGTCTATACTAAGAAATATAAATTCTTCTCCTGACCTACCAAACATACAATTTTTTCCTCCAGGAACTCTGCGAGCAGCTGGTGAAACGGTACCTTGCAAAGAAAGAATTGAATGAGATGAAAAAGGATGCAGATACAAGCATGCTGCATGCAATTGAATCAAGTAGACTTGAAATAAAACAGACTTTGGAAGACATTAAACAATTTATGAGTCTTCAGGGAAAAGTTTAATTGTTTGTTAAAGGAAGGAAAATTCTATTAATGTATAAAATTTAACTAAGGGTGACAGATGTGCATGTGTGAAGCAGAGAGGAAGTTTGAAAAGAGAAGATAGGAAAAAAGAAAAGGTAGTGGTACATAGGGTCTGTTCCCCTGCAAGTAATAGACTAGGAAAGTGCATTTTTTGCATGCTGTCCACAAGGAGCGTAAGAATTAACAAAGTGACTTTCTGTGCCACCAGTGTCTCACTACTTACAGTTCAGTACAATGGAAAATGTCATCTAGCAACATCAAAGAACGAAAATATAGTTGGCATTATCTTCCAAAAATTATATTTTATTCTCCCATGTACATTTAACTTATATTTAACATTACTAATTTATATGAGTTACAGTACTGGTATGGAAGAAAAGTTACTATATAAAGACATGACTTATGACAGAACTCAGTCAGAACTCAGATGGTCTGCATGGTCAGACTGTCATGGTCATATCATGTCTAGAACTTCAAGATTGTGAACTACTTGTATATGTATCACGAAATTCGAATAAAAACTGAAAGAAATTCCCAGTAAAATCTTCATTTATCAAATTTCGTGAGATTTATATTCATTATTCTGATTCAGCTAGATCTGACAACATCAACTCAAGAATACAAGTATTTACTATTTAGTATTAAATAATATTTTTTTACGCTTATTACCAGCAGCACATCAGGAAAGCTAATTATTTGCTTTTCACCAATGATTTCAAATCGTTTAAGTCTCTGCCGCCTTTGTCATATGAGATATAAATATTGCCCTTCTCTGGCTTTGTCTCTATAAAAATGATCCGAATTCAAATATTCCGCCATTTTGTATTTTGATCGTTTCGTGCCGTACTTCAAGTTACAAAATTTTTATGTGTACGAGGTTGTAAAGGTTGCTAGTTGCGGTGTAGGAGCAATTAAAAATAGTTTCATTTTCGGATTACTGAGTTTCAATCAAGTTGCCACTCAATGAATAATGCAATATATGCATGTCGCAACTGCCAAAAATATTAAGGGTATATGACCCCCAAACAACAAGAACTCCTTAACGGGGTATGTTAATTACTTTTTATTTAATTCCGTGTAGACCATATTTAGACCACGAGATAAATGTCAAATGTTGTATAATAAAATTTATACTATATTAATTCGATTATGTACCTAAAATCCACGCGAAACTCTCCCTTTGCAAACGCTCATTAACAAATCAAACCCTAGTTATACATTTTTATTATAGCTCTAATATATTTCATTCTAGCTTTTTAAACACAATACCTATTTGATCAAGATGTTTAATTGAACATAAACTCATCAAGCAGTTTTTGTCATCCTGTTTGAAAACTCTTCCCATATTTTTCTCATGAAAGGAAGAGGCAATATTTTTATAGTCCAGACTGAAGTAGTTAAACAAAACATCTCAAGTATGCAAGGGCATCAACAACCCACTCAAACACTTTGTTTAATTATATATTTACATTCAACACATGACTATCGCGGCTGCAAAACATCATATGAATTATTGATACCCTGCATGAGTCTCCATTTACCTTAAATCCGCTTCCTGTTTTTGTAAATCAAGTTACATTTTTCTAGCAATTTTGGCGCTATGACCCGATTTGATGACTTTTGTTTCAAACAACAAATTTCAGATAGTCAAGCACCGGTTTCTGCCAAATCTACAGTGCTCGAGTCCAGACCTGACAAAATTTTGATATCCCAGATCTCGCGATCATACTTGGACTCGAATTCGGCGACTTTGGGCAAGTTCTGAGCAAGCCCATCAATTCACGATCGTGCTTTATATGCACGAGTTCCTCTCAAATTGCATAGGCTGACAAGCCTAGTACACTGGGAATACGCATGTCGGAAAAAAGAATATATATGTTGAAATAATATGCCTATAATTTTATAACTAATTTGGGACAATAAGTTTGTTTTAATTTACACTAAGATCTCTCTCGGACTCTCTCGAAGTTTAATACACTAGAAATTTAGATTAGATTCAACTACAACATATATTAGTTTATGCGCATTGTCTGCTCACGGAGATTGCTTGAAAATCCGGGGCTGATCGAGTGACTGGCCTTGTTGGGCCTTTCTTTTGATATCCTTCCGGACCGTTGTAGGGTCAATCAATCCATTTATGCTCAAAATACGTATTCGTACCACGAGCTGTGAGGCTGTCGCGCTATTTTGTAAAGTTATAAGTGAGCACTAGTGCATCAGGACCCTTCTTGCTAGCTCTTGGGACATTTTCTGATCAGGAAAAGACGCGATATTATATAACTGAGAGATTTTAAGATATCCCCGGTTGTTTTGGCATTTATATATCAGATATATTTAGGCCGTCTTATAAGTTTTGAATTCGAAAATTTATGTTCGCCCGCAATGTTAATTTATAGCCAACCAGAAAAGTAATGTTGAAGTTATAAATGAAAGCATTTACACGGTCACACAGACAATATGAAAGAAAATGCATCAAACAAAATAACTGTATCTTCATGTAAACCGGAACTCATGTATATCAAGAGGTCCGCTAAAGGTTTGCTTGGTCACGACATCTTCGGTTCGACGTCGCGAATATTTTTCGTTCGAGTCGCCGAATTTTAGGTCCTTAAAACTTTTTACTGCCAGTTGAAATTGGCCTACTCCGAGAGCATTCCGGTATGAACAGAGCCTTTCGCTTTTTTCGTGGTACACTTCACAAAAAATGAACGGAATTTATCTCTCAATGCACTCCTTATTTCAACATAGATTCGTCAGTATTCACAAATCACAAATGTAACTTTACTAATATTCCAAGCTTCCTGGGCCTGCTAGTATATGTATGAAAACATCTTTAACTAAAGTGCATGCATGGTAAAGCAATGATCTTTATATATGCACTGAATATTTTAAATATTACTCTCAACTCGCGGCATGTTGCAACAATATATATTTTACGCATGCATCTTCAAATCAAGTGGTGTTATTGCAGTTTTCGTGGAAGGGAACACGGTTAATAAAGAATGTGACGTAAACAAACATTGTAGTGCACTTCAGTCCAGGAAATGAAACTTTATAAGCTAATTTAATTACCCTTGCACGCTATATTGACCCATGTAGCCCACGAGGTCCGTGTTTGCATGCGAGCCAGGAATTTCAAAAAGTATTTTCTGTGAAATATGATTTCACACGTATGTATGTTAACGCCAAATACATTGACTCATGACTGCATGTGACTTGTTAAATACAGTATTGTAAAGCATTTCTCTTCTATTCTATACTCGTAGGCTGCACCCGATCGCGATCTTAAAGATACTTATCTAAAGGAAAAACTCAAGATTTTATTCATGCAATAGTATAGAGATATATACTGCGAGAGAGGAAGAAAACAACGTGAACGTGTCCGTACAAAAATGTCAGCAACAATTAAATCAAACTAATTGTTAGGGTATCAGATTTATTGGGCAGTGCCAGGAATTTAAAGAGGTCAAGAGTAGTTGACCTATGTTGCGATCAAAACAGGTTTAATGTCATTTATATCTGTCGTCTATTTAGTTGGCTTCACGAATGGGACGATCAAGCTCCGAAGTCCAGTGAATGGTGCTGATTTTGAAACATGTTATGACTTGTTTGAAGGCATTGTAATTTAGTCAACTTACTCGTGTCGTGAGAATAAATTTCAATTTCAGCTAAACCGGGCATATACCTGGCCCCACTCAGCCCCAGGTACGAATGAGTTTCCCTAAAGCAATTTTAATCATACGAAGAGAGAATATTTCGATTTTATGAAGTTGTTGTCAAATATTTGACAAAACTCAAAAGGCATAACCGCTTCATTTACCCTAAACGCATGCATTCGGCGGGCCTATTTTGCTGACTGACTGGCCGGATATCCAGACAATATATAATGGCTGTTGGCACATATACTAAACCTTTATGGATATTGGGATTTTTTGAAATCTCACGTTAAATTCATGTATCCATATGCAGTAGGAAATTCGTTTGGTATATTTGACTTAAAATTCTGATTTAGGCACACAGTGTATAATTATATTCACACCGTGAATTCGAATTTTCAAACTGAGTCCAAGACATGCATGCATTGTGCAACGCGGTGATTTTCAGACTTGATTGCAAGTGCAGGCAAGTATAGCTATGTGGAAGCTGAAAAAGGTTGTGCTTCATGAAATATAAGGATTCTCCTCCAATGCTCTGACTGAAGATCATGTTTATATAAGCGGAAGATAAAAACATCGAACATCTCTTTCTCTTTCTTACCGTATTTTTATCATAATGAAAACTCTTCTTCGGTTAAATGTTGATCAGTTTTTCACGAACAGCGTTTAGGGTCAGGCCAATTAAGGCGACTATTGCCTATTGGTGAAGAACAACATAAACCAATTCTTTAGTTTAGCGGCGTGGTGCTATTATTTAGCCCCTCCCGTGAATTGCGAAACCTGTTCTGGAAACTTTCCAACTGTCTTTCGTCGGTAAGCCCGATCGCCACGAGTTGTTGCGAAATTTTACGACCCTATGTTCTATAACGACTTGACGTCAAACGCCGTGGTCTTTGTTCAGTTTTCTCGCTAGTGAAGTGAATAATAGCCTACGCCGTAGACAAACGCCGCAAGGGAATTCCGGCTTTTACTGGCTTTATAAAGACGGGTAGGAAGCTTCTTTGTCTTGCTATAGTCTCGTGATTGTAATTTCACCCTTCTAGGCTGTTTTCAACTTGACAATTAAGCGATGGGCGAGGCAAGAGAATTCCTAATTCACCCTGTTTCGCAATGACTTTCGTCACAAAATTCAAACCTTTATGTTTTACTAGTAGCCTTCAACAGGAGAATAACGTTTATTGTTTATTGTGTTTTTTTTAAACTGAATGATTAAAGACCAAGTTGTGTAGCTATAAATCCTATAGTTGGAAATTTGGAGTGAAATATTAATCGGAAATCGGACAAGTCGTGAATACAAGTTTTTATACCGCGTATATATCCCTGCATGTCGGTTGTCATTTATGTAGTGTTATTGCAGGTATAAACCTGTCATAATAGTAGTTGGTTTAGGCTGTCAACTTTGGGTACTGAGAAGGACAATATTGACTGAATATCATGCAGTGATTTCGTTACAAATAGACGCCAAACTATGAAAATATCTAGTTATATAGTTAAACATATTTTTTCTAGCAATTTCATGATTTTCATCGGTTGTAAAACATGTCAGAGGTACCCGGAGAAAGCGTGGTTACAATCAAATACCAGCAATAGAAACCTTGTTGTACGTAATGACTAATGACCACATGGCCGATCCCCTCGGGGCGAAAGCACGTGTCCAAAGACCACACGCGTTATCCATATGCAATCAAAAGTGAAAATGTGCAAGTTTGGTATTGTTCCGATCGCAACGTAGTCTCGTTCTCATCAAGTTATACTGAAGGCCATATTACACGGTGCAATTTCTCTACTTTTAATTAAGAGATGTAAATTAGTTAAGAGTCTTTAAAATGTAAGTGTAAGAAACGTCATCGGGATTGTAATAAAGACAAAAGTTCGGTAGTTGCCAAATTTACATGCATCTCTCAAAAGAAGAATTGCATTGTAAGTTGCACCGTGTAACATGGCCTTGACTGTCAGCCGTAGGAAGCGATTCACGAAGGCTCGTGGCGTGGAGCGTAGGCTGTGCGCTGTAGGCCGTTGTCACTGCGACCCTAAATGGTTACTGTTGGAAAGTATGAGCACTTGTAGATGTCGGTTGTGTAAACAAACGAGGTCGGTGAAGAGGAAGCGAATACTTGAACTTCCATGTGACTATGCTATCATCTAATAGTCATGGTGATGTTCAATGTCGGTATAGCAACCTGTAAATTAGCACACTGTACCATGAATTGCAATGAATGTTTGTCAAAATTAATACACGCACACCAAGTTGTAGCACGACAAGGAAAACTATAAAGACCCTTGGTCAGTACTGCATCTAACAAGTAACGAGCAGTACACTACAGACTACTACAATGCACAGAATAAGAAATAGTACTAAAAGTAAAAGTCCGTCTTCAGGAAACCACTTTGTCTATGTCTTATAAAAACTACTAGTTATAGCCAAGGCTGCATGGCATAGTCGTCAGCAATCGATCGGTTTTTCGGATTGACATAAATTATGCATTCCGGTGCATTTTTATGTTCTGTGACAAAACTGGTGTAGCCGGTTTAAACAACTTGTTGATAACTTGCTTTTTTTAAAAGATTTTTGAGACTTCCTTCAACAATAACTTTCCTTGTATATTTTAGGCAGCTGATTACCACTACAGGCTACAACATAATTTAAATGTCAATTGCAATTCAATGAGACACGACAAAAATTTAGTATAGCCATAGGCATTTTTCATTTTTCATAGGCATGTTGCGAATACTTAACGCTGCATGTCGACACTGAGCCAGAGATGTGAGTAAATTTCACACTTTACCTTATATTATATTTTCAACTAACTATATGTTAAAGAGCAATCAAGAATAGAAATTAAATTTTCATTCCAAATGTGAAATACCAGACGTCGTCTTAGGCCAAATTCATTCAATATTTGAGGTAAAGGGGAAAATTTCTTGATCAAATGTATTTTCAAGCATCTTATTCTTAGTGTGTCTAACAAAACAAAATACAACACTCGCCGGTTATTACCATAAAATAAACGTCGTATATATATAGTACCGCTGATTGCAAATTGGTCTTACGGCAAATAAATAAACGTAATTGATTTATACATGAAGTATGCATGGCTATAAATTTGATTTGTTTCTTGATATAAAATATCAACATTTCAGCGATTCATCAGCAGACGCTTCCTAAAAAAACTCTTCCCAGTTCCCACACAAAAAATTCACAAAATAGGCGATATGACTTATTTCGAATTATATTCGTATACCGATACTTCCATGGTACAATACAAATGATAAACATTTCAGTAACTTCTCCAATCTTCAAAATTACTTCAACATTGCATGCACTGTATTTCTTCCCGTATGAATTGTCAATCTAATTGGATCAATATGTTGCAAATTAAACTTTTCAATTTGTTCTTCCTAAAAATTGAATGCGTTCATTCGCTTCCCATTCATTTTAAATACTAAAAGGCATGCACCATTTAAATGACAGGCCGTAATCGCGGCTTCACGTGACTCTGACTTCCATATTAAGAAAGTTACAAAACAATTTTATAATAATGACCAAATATACTAGCAAAAAGTTTTGGAATGCAATTTTTCTATGTTGATTCAATTCCTGTAGAGCGACGACATCGCGGTGTGGCGATATTGATAATTATAATTGTTGTAATTGTTGTGTACCTTTGAACGATTTATATTTGTCATTGGCTCCACAAATAACTCTGTAAAATGTATACAAATAAGATTTCCATATTTGTAACATTTATCTGCATCATTTGTGGCTGCCCATGTTAGACGCATAGTTATATCTCAGTGTATATGTCAGAGGACCCCGAAATAATTAAAAAATATCAATGAGAATAAACATGATCAGTTTTTACTCAGATACTTTGAAGTATGATGACTGGCAGTTTGTGAGAGGACCATCACGTCTAACTGCATGTTGCATGATAGGGTCATGACCCGGCAGAGAAATGAAGTCTATCTGGATTTGCGATATAAAGATAGCAAGATATAAAGATAAACAACAAATATATCACCAGTCTACTATATAGTATATAGGTTAAGCGACGATCGACAGGAAGCGGGAAAGCGTGGGCGATCATATACGTCATAGGCCTTTGTGACTTTCACTTATAATAATGGGCAAGCCTGCACCGAGGCATTGCACAACTATACACTCTAACAAGCACACCTTAGCCACGATGAACGGTCGTTTTTGGAAGAGTACGCGGACAACTCCTCTCCTTTGGGAGTTTTTGCTCAGTCTTTTGCAAGACGTTGAATGCAGAGAATTTATAAAGTGGATAGACGAATCTGCGAAGACTTTTAAAATTGTTAATTCCTATCAAGTTGCAACGTTATGGGGTGAAATTAAGGGAAGACCCAATATGGATCAGAATAAGTTGAGACGAGCGATAAGGCAATATTATAAATCTGGTGTCATGAAGAAGGTAATATCGTTGACAGTGAGCAATACATTGTAGATCAGTAGACATAAGCATCACTTGGAATGGAAATCCTGTTCCCTTTCCTGTGCAGTCATGCCTGTGTTCCAATTATATATCGTTGTTTAAGTTCATATAGTCATATAATCTCTTTGTACTGAAAAAATTAACTAAACAAAGTATTATAGGGTAAATTAAATATGCCAAGCACATAAAACGTATAGCTATATATACATGTATATACGGTAGCCTGAATCTCAATCTTTGCAGGACTTGCTATATATATCGAAATATTTCAGCTGATTTGGCATTATTTGTTTATTATTGTTAATAATCGTTAAAGTATATACCAGTTATATATAGTCAAGCCATATATACAATATATAGTAAAATGAAATGAAATTCTATTCATGGTCATATTATATGTGCGTGGCTAAATCAAATCGCATCCGATTGCCTTATGTGTCGAACTGCGAAGTCGACAAAATTGGTCTTAAAACATTTAGCATGTGGTCCGGAATAGGAAAAGTCTGAGAATGAAAGGCCTACACATCAGTCTAAGAAGTTCGGAAGTTATAACAATATTTTACATGATATCTTATTATTGACACCATAGACCTACAACTCAAGCTATATGACTATGTATATTAAAAGTTAAAACACGACGTACTGCATCTATATAACATTAAAATCAGATACGATACAAAGGACATGCAATCATAATGATCTACATTACATAAAATAGAAACATCACTGAAAGTCATCACTTTCCATGTAAGTCTCACAAAAACATTTAATGGATATCATATAGGCTATAGAGTTACTAATATAGGGAGGTATAGGTGAACAACTAAAAATTCATTAGATTCGAAGATATCTCTACTATCATTCTTGATCCATCATTTAAAGCTTGGTTTGTCTTTGTATTAATTGATACGGGCATTTTTAGAATATATTCCGGAAATTCTGCCAGCCTTTTCCCCTGCCTATCAGTCCTGTTTCTGTTTGGATATGAACCGGCACTATACAAATAGGAACCGCGCGACACGTTAGATTCCTAACACTTCGTCTTTAAATAAACTTTTCTATATACAGGATATATTTATCGATGTAATTCAGTCTTTTCATGTATCATGTATATACACTTCTTATCAGTAAACGATAGAAAAAGTATACATTAAAATAATTTATGATGTACTTAATGTGTTCTTTAATGCGGAATTTCTATTTGGTTTTGCTGACTGAATTATTTATTATCGTGCAAAAACAATTTCCAGTATCGTCAAATTGCAGACCGAAGAATTGGACTGAGTTCTTTCCTTGTAAATCGCTCTGCATGAGTTATCCCGTCTGGAAAACTTTAAGAATTAAGTATACATTAAAATAACAATGTTCGTGACAAGCCGTTAATTCTTGTACTTGTAAATATAAACTCGTTGTGTTTGAAGTACAAAGAGAACATCCTTTGATAAATTTTGAGATAAAACACCACATGGAACACTGCTTTAGTGCATCAGATGAAAGTCGTTATAAACTAGATATGCATGTGAATGAATATGGCAATATGCCACTGAAAAAGGACCAGTATACATTAGAAATATTTATATAAAGCTTCTCGTCTTTAATACATAATATATATACAGTATCATGATTTTATAGGTTGAATTACTCGAATAAAGACCATAAAACGTAAATCTTATTGTACAATGTATATACGTGTAAACTACATGTGATAAACTAATTGGCTATATTATTCATATGTTATACTACCTTAATGACAGAGCGTTTATATACCTGCTTGAATTTATATAATTTCATTTACCTGAGACTGAGAATCTTTTGTATTTTTTGCAGGTAAAAGGACAAAAAGGTGGATACAAGTTTGGGAATTTACCATACAATCCATTTAATAGTGAACATCAACAACAACAACACCCTAATAAACAACAGAAACAACAAGAACAAGAACAGTTAACAAGAACATCTCAACATAACAGTCAATATAGTGTGCAATGCACAACATCCATGGTAGGTGAAATTTAAACTTCATTTTTGTGTAAGACTAGTACTATGAATTAAGACAAAATAATGCAATAATGCACTAAAATATTAAGCAAAATTAATATATGGATAATAAAATATCTTCCCATTGTCAATTGGTAACACATCACGTACCAAATCTTTAAATAACATGAATTTATTGAACACATTTTTATTAATTTTTAGCAATCTCAAGCAAGAAATGATTTGTGCTTCGATAACTTCAATTATTTTCTTGGTGACTCAATTACAGGAGAAAACGTAGTCTCACCAGACTGCCCAATGGACATTTGTCATTCTGATCAATATCTGACAGATTCTGAATCCGAGGCTAGCTTCGAGAGTTGGACAGACAAGGAAAATATAGACGTTTCAGTTTGGGCCATTGAGACTACTAATGAAAAAGGCAACTTAGATATGCTAACTGATAAAATCAGGCTAGATTATTTTATTTAATTGTATGTTAATGCTATTTATTGAGTCTAAATATCGGTTATACTACGGGACTTGTAGATTGTTGTATTGACATTGTATCATAATTTATTGTATCAATAATATGAATTATAGTATATTGTTTCATCAGTAGTGATGAAAATGTATTTCTTGTGTCTATTTCAAACAGTTGCATGATGATCTCCTTCTGTTCCATATAAAATCGACCGGTTTACCCTGAGGGTGGATTAATATCTTCATTAACGGCATATACGCATATTTCAAATTAACTGTCCTCTATTCGTTTCATTCCAGTTGTAGTTCAGTACATTTAGTGGGTAAACATCTAAACAGTCAGGGGCTTATTTTAAAGATATTCAGAGGAGGGGCGAGACTATCAATTTATTCAACTAAGAAAGATTGACAAATAAGTAACGTGGGAGGGAGGGTAGGTTTCTCGCCAAAATAACTTCGACTGTATTTCCTGCAGAGAATGATATCACTTTCAAACGGACATAAGTTTCTCGCACCAATATAGTAGTTTAAATAAAATTATACAGCTAAAAGTAAAACTAAAGGACAGGTAAAATATCTTACTGGCGGGGGACATTATTGTACGTCAACATGATGTCTGGGAGGGGTGTGTCTCATTCTCATCAGTTACTACAAGCAAGCATTTCGGGCGATTTACTTTTTACACTTTTGGAGCTTTATTATCAACGATATAGCCTAATCATTTGACAAGGGTTACATAAGACGAATTAGTAACCAGGAAACTATCAACATGGATGAATATAATAAACTTTAGTGCGTCTTGATCATGACTTCCTTCGTTTAACGGAATTGAATATAAACGATGAGATTGGGTTAGGGTTGGGTAAACGTGATATCACGTGAGATGACTGAGCAACGTTTTCAGGGTCATAGATTTCCTATGCGAATGTCTTTTCTTCGGTCTTCTTGTTCATCATTCTCATCATTAACATTCAATGAATACAAAATAATGCGCTATATCACCAATACGGTAGCACAACGTTTGTAAGTATCAAATGAGATTTTGTGCGAGGGACAAGGAAATGCAATATTTGGGGAAGTATATTTGTTAATGCTGCCTAAACCTGGAGGAGGAATGGCCTTAAATGGACACAATACTGGATTAATTCTTACAAAAGATGAATCAAACTTCACTGTGACAGAAATCACGGGCGTAGGAAACACGTCGTAAGAAATAATGAATTAGAGTTATTTAAGGTAATTTTCCAACTTCAATTCAGAGCAGTCATTTTGATTATAATGACCTGTCATTACGCCTTCTGTCCGACCGATTAGCAGCCAATCAGTATTCGCCATTATTACATTTGCATATAATAAATGTATTATTGAGGTCTGTGTACAAACAAACGCCCTGACCATGAATGAATTTCTGGCAAAGTTGTTAGCCAGACGATTCAAAAGGCATACCCGTTCAAACGTTTATATGATATTTACGTTTATTGAATTATATACATTTTTTCCAAATTTTTCACCACTTGCTTTACTTTAAGTGTGAGAAATAAAGCTACAGCCAAAAAGCGTTGAGTAGGTGCCAACTTCTGGCAACTAACTAAAAGGCTAAACGATGTGTCATATCGTTACTCAGTCAAATTACTTCCACAAGTCCTGCTAGTAGAAGCAGGCAACATCTTCTTTTTTCAACCATGACATTGTTCAATTTGTGTAGTATGGATTGAATTAACTTAATCTATACTTTTCGTTTAGTTAAGCCCTAAGCCGGATATATACTTATCACTGTTGTTGCCGATCGCCACATAATCAGAGCTCTACTGTCTTTACTTGCATCGATCGCCACATAATCAGAGCTCTACTCGCAAATCAAGAGCTAGAACTGTCTCGACCGTCAACAGTCTCAACCGTTCTAGATATGCAATATAAAATAAATCGCACTTTCTCCTTATATTAAAGATTTGCTGATAATATTCGGCATGAACAGCTCGATACTTGCGACGTTATAGTAAGTCCTACAATCTATTTCGAACATGAATCCTCGCTTTACTGTACATGTGGCATCTTGTGACAATTAAGGTTACTCACGAGTGATTCCAAGGGGGAATTCAAGGGTGATTCCAACTAATGACTAATTATCCTCTAAATACAATCAGTACCCCCTTAGGATTGGCCATCAGTTTGGCTGGTTTCTTGCCCACTTTCATCCTTTTGTCTTAAATCTTCTAGGACGTGGTAGATTGGAGGAACTTTGACGGGTTCTTCTTCGTCATCTCCAGAAACGGAAATATAGATTGGTTCTTCATCTGGAGGCTGGAAGATGAACATGACGGTAAATTCTCTTTAGATAAATACAATGATCTTGTGCAGGAACGTGCAGTATTTTGCAGTACAATTGAATTGATGCATGCGGTGAAAAGGTTCCAAGGCCTACCTCATCAGCATTTAATCTTCTCAAAGGCTGATAGATTGATGGTGGATCCCGGTTTGGTGTTAAACTAGTGTACGAGCTCAGTGTTTCTTCAGACGTTTTTGGTTCAATATCGATTTCTAACAAAAATATAAATCACTTTCAATCAAAACACTTCTCATATGATAATTTTACTCCCCGCATAGATATATGGTTAGAAGGGTGGCCCACACGAATGCATTCACAATGTATACAGTTAATAATCTTATCACAAACTTCGAACGCAGGCTTAAGGTAAGATACTGAGTTCGAGTTTGTATCACCACCAATAAGGATTTCTTACCTTCAGCAAAGCTAGAACTTGGCTCTTCCCTGTTAGCCGAATGCGATCGAATTGCCATTGACCCATGCCTATAGTGAGATTTTGAACAAGTTGTGATTGTGTTGTCACATGACATATTCATGCGAAGTAACATCTGGGAGTCTTAGTGTTAAATAGTGGGAAACGACCATAGATGACCATGCACTTTCTGCCTGGCACGCATTGGTTTGCGCACAGTTATTAGAATATGCATGGTTTGGAGACTAGATAGAAGAACAATACAAATCATTATCTATGTTATTGTCCAGGTTTTTGCAAAAATGGTTCTCTATCCGTCACATGTCTACTGTATTTTTGCCCAACTAACCAATAGCAATGGCTTGGCTTAGCTCCTCAACTGTGACTTGAACAACATATTAATTCGACCTTACTATTGGTTTATTTGTTCAAAATACAATAGACACGAGACAAATAAGGCACAATTTTTTGCATAAATGTTCCCCAACATAGTTAATGAGTTCTATTGTACTTTGATGTACAGGGTGACTAAAAAAAACGCAACCACGTAAATATGCAGAACATTAATACAGCTCTAAAGCGCAATAGTCATTCAGTCTTAATCCTTCATTTAAAATGCTAAAATCATTTTAGCTGAACTATGGTGCAAACTCGAACAATATTAATATTCTTGCATATTTAAGTGGTTGCGTTTTTTTGAGACACCCTGTAGTCTCTAAACCATGTATATTCTATTAACTGTGGTCTGCGGAAATTAGACCTTTGACTGTGATCAGAACTATAGAAATCGAGTTGGACCACACCGATTATGCAGCGTCGTCGTCCCCTTTTTTACGCGTGCATGAGAGCCTTTTGGATTGCGAAATCAATATAAACCTTCGTATCTTTGCTTCAGTGCATTACAGATTAAGACAAAAATTTCAAAGCTGAGTTGTATTCAGCATATAAAGGTCTTAAATCATATCATATAATTGTATCTGATTTCTCAGACGAATAAAGGTTTTTGAAAACCTATAAGAACAATTTAACAAATGCATTCACTTCAATATTGTCCTGCTCGAGTGTATTAAACTGTTATACTCGTTCGCGCAACTGCTCTAAATGTTTCCCCACCATAGCTTGAGTCCATCCACGAGGCAACGGTTTCTGATTACTCACCTTCTTGACGTCCTGCGACAAAACATTGCAATTGGTACAATGATAAGAGCTGTTCCGAGAGCGCCTGCAATTGCTGCTAATATGACTGTAAAGTTATCATTTACTAAAACTATTTTTTCTTTCTTTGCGTCCTCTCGTCTGCGAATATCCTGAAATCGCGTTGGCTCGTTTGTTTGTACAACCTATAAGAATGGAAAGAGAAAAAAGAAATGAACAAATTCGTTAATGTTTAGGCTGGAAAGAAGGATGGACAACTCTGCTGTGAAAACTCACTGGAAATTGCCTTCATGTTGAAAGACAATAGCATTCAAATATATGGAGATAATTCAATGGTCACGTGATGATAGAATGATGAAATTCAATCCATTCTTCACCAATGGATGAATCCTTCATTATACAGGGTGTATAAAAAGCGCAATCTCGAAATTCCCAAAGTAATCCACTTTGTTCTCAAAGATTAATGAACCTCTAATTGTATGCCAGGAACAAACAGAGTGTCCCCAAAAAACGCAGACAATATTATAGCCGTCACCTATTTATTCGTAAACAAGTCATTCAGATTTTAACAATAGGTGATTTCAATAATTTTGGGTTTCTTTCGAACACCCTGTATTGTTATGGTGATTTCAATGGTTCTGGTTTTTTGGGGGCACCCTGTATTGTTGAAATTTGAATAGCTAAAACAAGTGCGATGCACTGGCGTCTCGAATTTTGACAGCTTACATGCGATTAAAGATAGGTTAAGAAATGCGTATTGAAAACGGCGATTTTCTAATTTATATCCTTTGAGAACGTAAGAAAATCTGCGCACAGTCAAAAAATTATGATGGAGAAAAAAATTCAGAATTGGCTCGTTCACGATAGAAAGAAGATGGCACAACCGACTGATGGTACAAAGGATTTTTTTGTTCTCAAACAGTGAACACTTAGTAAACATACGTATTGTAAATAAAATCTGTTTAAGTCTCTTTAACTTTTGATTCAAATTTCAATTCAAAAGACGTTTGGTCTCTGCGTGGAATCGAGGCTTATAATCGTATTCTAGCGGCTAAGCGGCATAATTGCCTAAATAAAGTCGGAAACAAAGGAGATTTAAGAGACCTCAGTCAAATCTACATTGACCAGGGGCCGGTTGTTCGAAAGGCGTTTAGCTTAAATGGGGGATAAGCCAAAGTTTAAGAATACTCTCATATATCTTGTGAATGCCTAAACCTGCATTTTATGCATTAAATATGTACTTTCATTGAAAATTAAGCTATTTACATCGAAATATTTCAGCTTATTTGGCCAATATTTTACCACTTGTTAATTAAGTATTTTCTGCAAGAGAGTGGAATAAACACCATCTATCTATCAATAAAAAGATAATTTGGTTTAAACGTCTTTCGAACAGCCGGCCTCAGTGACCTGAAATCTATTGTTCTTAAGAACTATATGAAGTTTGGAATATCAAGTTGCGCTTTTTAAGTTTCTTATATGCACCCTGTACGTCCGAACGTAAGTTTAGTAGTTGGAACAAGTGAAAAAGATGAACGTGGATAAAACCTTTTTTCTCAACTATGTTGTCATTAAGTCGTCAGCGAAGACAGGATTAGTTGGCAGAAATATTTTTGGAAAGGATTTTGTAATGTAACAGCAAATTATGGTCACCACCAAATGAATGCAAACATACCTTTCTAAAGTCAGATTTTGTGTGTGTCCTGCTAGTTTGTGGGTGTGTCGTTTTCTGACGTATTTCAGCTCCCGAGTACAATATAGGATTATTTTTACCTGAAAATATACGAGTCCCTAAATTTAGCTACAGGTTGGGTATAAATAAACGATTAAAGCTAATGGTTAATGCTTGAAAAGGAATTACCGCACCTCTGACACGGAACATCAAACAATACGTTTCTTTCATGTTGTCGCGATCCAGACATTCCAATGAAACTTGAAACAGTTGTTTCCGAATGTGCGATTGACTTGAGCCCTTCCACTGCAAGTAAAAGATGAATACATCAGCAAATTAGTAATCGAAGCAAAAGTTGACAATTCCTAATGAAAAAAATGCCAGCAGTAACATTTTATCCGAATGTATTGCGGTGATGCATTATATATGGCTGTATGAGAAGAAAACACCATCTGAGAAACGTTTTCACACACGGGGAAAATGCCTGCATGCCTCTTAAAACCTCCAAATCTCAATTCTAATGACTGTTCTAACGATTTCTGAACGCAAAGCATCATTGTTGGTGCCCAATCAACCTCAGGGAATAATTCACCAAATCATTACGCCTACCTCTAGGCTGTACATGTATCCATCATCTGAAAAATAGTCCGAACCTTGCAGGTGAAATGTATTTTGAAATTTTATGATGGATTTTTCATGCCACGTTCCATTCTCGAGATAATTTACCCAACTAAATTGACACGAAAGCTTCGTTTTGTCAAAAGGTGCGTTGATTGGCTTGGAACACTTGTTGTTTGGGCATTTCTTTGACAGATTTATAGTTGGAATAATGTCAGCTCGAGTATTGACAAATTGATAACGGCACCCTAAAAAGAAATGATATGTATATTTAAATACCACGTTTAAATACCTCGACTAGTTTCACAGAAAGTGGCACCATCATGCGATGCTCATCGTCAGAGTGAGAAAATACATAATATGACGTACATCATTTTTGGACTTTGGCAGTCAGAAGAGCAAAAGTGAAAGCGCACTTTTGCTTAGTAAAAAATTCGTTGACCACTCCACAGTCTCTATTTAGATATAGGTGAAAATTATTGGCGTTATTTTACGCATTTGACGCAAGGCACTAAAATAACTACAATTTCAGGCGCGCACAGTTAAATAAATCATTTTCCATTAGTTGCAGTTAGAACTTGCATCACATGCGGATATAAATGCCGGAGGGAATATTTCCAATTTTGTTTATTTTGTTATCCGTTTGGTAATAATTGCACCATCATTTGTCTTTGAATCTAGGGGGTCAATGGATTGCCTTTAGCAAGTTCTATTTATATCAATAACACTGAAGCCCTAACTAAATCAATATGTTCACTTGAGTCACTTGCGCGCCTTACATAACAGAGGCAACGCAGTTATCCAGCACCAAGTTTTTTGTGTCAACTCGCGACCTAAGAAATCTTATTTTGTGGTTTGTGGCAAAATATTGTTTGCTAAAACTGATACTTTTCACCACAAGTGTCGTCATCGTCAGGTGTCTTGACATGGCATTGCATGCTCCTCCAAATGCGTAGGCGAGTCACACCTTGCCCATAAAACAATGCGAGGTCAAGGATTAGGTATTGAAATGAAATCTACAGCAATAGCAATGCAGCCTTTCACTAAACAATTGAGCTCAGTGAAACATGCACGAAAAATTCGTTTGATTAAATACGGTCTGTTGCACGAAATGCTAAGCGAAAGCTAGTTTTATACTTATTCAACTCAGGAATATCGCGCGCACAGGATTGGCAGTGTGTTAAACAGATTAACAAGCAATTAGCTTCTTTGACATTTTGATAATAAATGATTTCTGCATTTCATTTGGCAACCGAATGTAGCATGACATTCATCTGTCAGTTTGCGACGTTCGGAAAAGAAAGTGCACAGACAGTTGCGGTATTATAACTAGCGTCGCCCATTCCATAAGACGATTACTTAAATTAGGTGTTAAGCTTTTGTCTCAGACTTATAATACCTGAATTGAAACTTGCTCTTCTTCCCGTCAAATGAATTAATGAAAGTATTATTTTAAGGCAGTAAGAACTTAGAAATACTAAGTATATAGCCTTGTAACTATGTATTTATAATCTTGTGCGTCAGGCTCCGTGACATTGTATTTTTCGTGATTATCACCTAAACATATTGCCATATTGTGTTCACGCAAACATCACTTACAGTATACCGAATAATCAAGTCTTCAGACAACTTTAAATTTGTAAAATTTCGGACCATATATAGTGCAATCGATCACTTTGCTTGTCTGTGATAACAAGATAGGTGATGAATAGAGGGAGGGATGAGTAAGCTACAAAAAGTTACCCACTCTCGCTTTGCACATGATCAGGATTTCTTCTATCAGTTAGAACATTGCAAAGAAGTTATCATGTTTCAAAACAGTCGTATTACAATATAGTTGATACCTACACCACTTGACGTTTGCCTTATGTGCATTAATAGGCTTTAAACATAAGGAAAAAATGAAAAAAATTATATTTTATGTCAAAAAGCAACAGTTTATTTTATAACAATAATAACTGTCCCAACTTTGTAACCCATTGCCATTCAAACGAAGTATATTCACCTGATATAATCAACATATAAACTTAAAATCGTTATGTCAAAGAATCTTTTATTCATAAGTGGAACACGTTGTGAAAATTTCGTATAAGATTTGTTTTTGAATGCTGCGTCGGGTCATTAAACCAAAATTTGCTCGACAAACAAGCGCTGTTGAAATGTCTGTTTAACAATAACGGCAACATGGGATATCTAGTTCCATAAACGTGGTATAAATAGAGATGCGCAAGTTTAACCCGCAGCACCATACGGTCACTAATTGCAAGCAAACGTTTACCAACTGTGCATGTATACATTTATACCATACTTACATGGATCCCGCGCTTCAATGTCGGACAAACACTTGCGTACATCGGAACGATAGATCCTCGTCTTTTTTCTACATTTGCATATTTGGCAACCAGAACTGACGCACTCCGCATTGAACTTCTTACATTCGCACGCATTTCTCGCTAATACCTCTCGTTGGCAAGTTGGGTTCTCGAACACATCCGAATCGCCGACTGGACCATCAAAATAAGACGAAATCCGTAGCACTTGAGACAATAAGCCAAGAAGCACAAACAGAACATGCTTTGAAGTCATTTTTCAATGGAATAATTGAATATTTAATCTGATAGTGAGTTATCCCCTTGCTGTTCGCTAAACGAATCTCTTGTAGGTTTTTTTGACAACTCTTTCCGAAGTCAAATACGATGCGACGGCCAGACAAGAAAACATTTACATAAACCGAAAAGCTAGCTTATACATTCCTTTCCGATATGTTTTGCGCCTTTGGCTTACAGTATGGAATTAGGCTCTTGAAATCGGAAGGGCTTGCGTGCTTAGGAAATGGTTATTAACAGCCGAACAATAACAAAGGCAAACGGCAATACAACCGCGTTTTACCGGAAGTGACATGAACACGAAGGAATTCAGAACGCAGTGGGTCAGCGGAGTTAAAAACTAAAAAAGACGTTCATTAACAAATTCATGCAGAGTCGCGTAGTAAGGGAGTATTAAAGTTGGTAAGATAAGTATTATCGGTCCTTCCAGATAGTAACTTTGCTACAAAAGAAATTTTTTCAGTCATTTACTTATTTCCTCCTGCTTTTTTCTTAACTATACATGCATGTTCCACCACGCTGGATCAAGAATTGCTTCTCATGCACCAGTTTAGCCAAAAACCTTTTAGGTAGTTGCGGAGTATTGAACGAGTTCTTTAATATTGAATATTTAGTGTTTGATTACTTGGTTCAAGGTGATATAATTTATCTGAATTTTGTTCAAATTTTGTATTTTCGTGCTATATATTAATTGCTTGCGCTGGAATTTTTTTCGCACAACAATGAGAGATTTCTCTCATTGTTGTGACATGGCGGAAAGACGGCTGGACGTATAAGGATTATATATATATATTTACACCCTAGCCTACAAGCATGGCTGTTTCCACTCATTTGTTCATTACAATTAGAAGATTTTTTATAACTGTATACGTAAAAAGCTTCCAGGAACGGCGGAGCGGAGGATCGAGGCCTTGGTCTCCCAATAACTTTTTTGTTTAATAATTTTCCTGAACTGACGAATGATATTGCATTTTTGGCCATTGCTCCGCTGTCCCTACATGGTTATGATTGCTTTAAACTAATTGAAGAATGAAAAGGAATTATGATTATCATAGTATAGGTAAATATAAAAAAATGATGAAATCGAGTGGTTTTTGTTCACTGATGTTCGACTATGATGCATGAGTTTTAAGAACATTCATGATTCATAATCACCTCTAAAAATTTAAGTATAGATACTATACACGCCTACTACACGCCTGCGTAAGTGTAACTGGTTATGGGAAGGAGAGGATGGGATTTGTACAAATGCTGAATTTCTCCTGTGCATTTCATTAATGCTTCTACTTTTTCTTTTTTTTCTTTTCCTTCACAACACCCACGATGTCCGCGTATTCAGTGGGTTGGCCAACCTGATCATCGCTTTCGGCGGGTTTTTCCTGACTCCCAGAAGCCAAATATGAAGGATCCATGTAACTTAACCCGTTGATCTAGTAATTGAAATACAAATACAAATAATCTCACTGGTTCAGCCTATTTGAATCTCTTCAAAAGTGGACCATTTTACCATGCAGATCATGAAAATGAAATGTCACGAATGAAGGGTATCATGCAGTATCCGATGTGACTGTCGCTTCATCGCTTGCAATGTAATCGCTGATCGCTGATGCAATTTATCGCCTGTCATATTTGTATTTGCATAAAGGAGAATGTTCAAATTAAATGAGGTACAGTGACGGATTACAAGTTAAGGCCAGAGCCTGAAGGCTGAAAAAAATTGCGTGCTTCAGTCTTAGGTGTCGCGATCGATATTCCCACGAGTACTATATCAGTAAATTTATTTTAGGTGGAAGCAAAATCGGCTAGTTTCTATGAAACTGAATGTGCTATAATGTACCAACCCCTTCTGTTATGATTTCAATCCCTAATTTAGAAAAAAAACAACACGAAAAACTATTAATCCCCAGGCAGCTAGGCCTCTCAAAGCCCGGGCCTGCAGGTTTTAGCGAACGTAGCCTTACTAGCCTAGGTGGCAATTCATCACTTTAATGAGGCATTCACTGGACCTTTGCATTGGATAACACATTTCCAAAGGAGTCAAAATTTTTCATGCACTCGGACCTGGTCAGTAGTTAAGTTAGTTTAGTTCAATAGGATAATTCTCTTCCTGATTATCCTCTCCTCTACATTTGTCCGAAGTAATGTCCCAAGGGATGACAATAATTAAATTCAGAAATATAGAACAAAGAACATGATTTTGAAACTTATAATATCAAAATTGAACATTAATATTGTACTACTTTGCAAGAAAAAATGTTAAATGTTATTGATAGTAAGCATGCACTGATCAGGGCCGTAGGTAGAATCTTAATTGGGGTGTGTATAAGAATATATGTACGAAAACGTTTTACTCCATATATATATATATATATATATATATATATATATATATATATATATATATATATATATATATATATATATATATATATACTTCCTAAGTTCGTAAAATTTCTACCTTTCTGGTCTTTTTATCCGGAAGAGCATACAAATCTCCGTTGACTTCAACCCTTTTAATATCAGCCGTCGATAAACCAGAATCAACATGCTCTTCTTTTCCCGTATCACGATCAGGCGTTGCATAAGCAGAGTCTTCAGTACCATCGTTGTTTGCTCGTCTTTCTATATCAGGAGTTTCATAACCAGACACTTCATGGGAATATGCGCGTTTTGTTTCCTTTCTTTCGAGATCGGGAGTTTCGTAACCAGGCACTTCATGAAAACTGGAATCTTTGGTTTGCTTCTTTTTTACTTCAACGGGTTCCTTATGCAGATTCTCGCCCTTGTTATCTCTTTTTCTGCACGTGTCGGGCGTTGCATAAACAGGTTTCTCTTGTGGAGTGACACGTTGGTCGTCTGAGATTCTGTAGCCTGGATTCGTTTCAGCACCAAATGTTTGTGCTGTGTCCATTTCTGGTAGGTTAACATAAGCGTCTGCTCCTCGCAAACAACTGTCTGTATGTCTGAACTGCTTTGGGCTCCAGGAATCTGAAATAATAATCAAGCCATAGAATGCAGCCTCGTTTGCTGGAATACGGTTAGTGAGCAAAATTTCCCTGAAATATACTATCCTCGCCCTTAGAAGGGCGTGGTGAGTGTAATTCAAGATTAAATTATGGGTGGAGATTTGCGATTCTTGACTCCAGAGACCAGAGTATCTATTGCATGTGTACTGCTATACACCCAGTCTGTAAAAAGGTCACATACCTCTATTTTCTGCTGAACCTTTTTTGCTAATATTTCTTTTCCTTAGCAAAAATAAAAATGATTGATTCCATAGTTAAAATTGAGCAATGTTTTCTTCAGTATGACCCCAACTGGAACATGGAAACGAATAAATATAATCCTGGGAAAACCTCAATTTTTTGCTTAAATGCTTTCATGTTTTTCCACTTTCTCAATAATATGCGCAGTTTCTTATTGAGGCTTACCTTGTTACTTTCTTATGCTTACACAAGAAACAAACAACCACAATCAAGATTACCAAAAATACGATGGGTACAACTGTGGCTATTAAAATAATTTTCAGATCAGGATCGCTATCACTGTCCACACTGTTCTGTTTGTTGCCTGTTTTCCCCAGCGATGGTGGGATGGTGGCACTTGATGTTGCAACTCTTTTCAGATCAGGATCGCTGTCACTGTCCACACTGCTCTGTTTGTTGCCTGTTTCCCCCTGGGATGGTGGGATGGTGGCACTTGATGTTGCAATTCTTTGGTTGTCAGTTGGTATCGTTGATGGGGAAGTCGAATTTATGTCTACACAAAAATAGTATATATAGTGTTCAATTGACATCGATATGAGCATGAGTCAAAGGCAAATCAAAAAGTTACTGTCACTAGGGGGGGGGGGCAGGAAAAAGGCAGAACGAAAATTACGAGTCGACAAGGTTTAGAGAACGCGCGAGTCAGAAGAAAGGTTTTCAAAAACTTTAATCTATTCACTTAATTAAGTGCATGTTGTTATGTTGAACTTTAAACAAGAATTTTAACTCTTGGTAGTTGTAGTCGTGCCATGCATTGCTTTTTATCTGCCCCCCCCCCAGGTTGTAATTTGAAAAACGGCGAGTTTTATGCCTGGACTGTACTATGCCACGCAATCACAAGCAGTACAACGACAAACTGGATTAGCTATCAATAAGCAACTGAATGTTATTATTTTTTAACTGAATATTGTTGGAATAAGGTTCAGCTATTACTGAAACAACAATTGCAATCTGAACCTGGTCAACATGCGGCCAACACATTAAGCTATGCGTACATATAGCAATATAACAAGATGCAGTTGTTTAAAGTTTTTGAGGTGCCAATGAATTACAAATTACAAATTCTACAAATTACTAAATTACTAATTTAGATTTAACAAACAACCTGCTGGCCATTTTCCAAGAACCTTTGCTCGTAGACACTCCCATTTATGATGTTTTACGAAAGGGAAACATTGAAGTATGAATGTGATTATTGTGCCTTGCAAAACTTGAACTGATCTTTTCCACTAGACAAGAAAGCAAATTGAGCTGAATCAATGTGCCTGATGAAAGAGGGTAAGCACTGACGAGACCATCCGAATTTACCTTGAGATGCAACTTTGTGTTTATGAGTGTCAAATTGACGTAAGATTCATTCAGCCATGGCAGCTCCATTTCAGTAGCGTCGTCTGGAAACTTTATCAGTGTTTTGATGAATGTACAATTCTCAAGTGAGGTTTTGCCTTCATTATATTTAAATTGTTCGGGTGGATCTTCGTGATTGTATGGTATAACTTTGAAAGGGCCAAAATAACAGTAGCGGACACGTCCTGCAACGGACGCAAAATGTTACAGTTATATACATCTAGATACAATTCGGTTTTAGCGGTGTTTTCGTATACCCAACTCCTGTTGAGGCAAAATTTAATAAATAAACTATACTATAGAAAGATATATGTGTAGATCACTTTATGGTCGTCGAGTTTGCGATCCTTTACGACAAGTGTATAATATTAATCGTACAAACGAGACAGATCATATAATTTTATATATAATGCTACCGACTCCGCTATGCCATTGGAAGGCTGCAGTATATACGACTCTCTCGTGTTTAAATTTCATCCGTACCAATTTACCGGCCATTTATGTTCAATTTTACATTTATTTACTCTATCTCCCTTGCACATGGTATATAGGGGCCGGTTTAACCTGTGCCCTTTTCTTTACTGCGCCCAACCTTTATAATTGGGACCGCGGGGTTATCAATTCTAGCCGTGCCGTGCCAAAATATTCACTCTAGTGTAAATGAGGCTTAAAAATTGTGGAAATTTGATTACCTAAATAGATGGTCCAAATTTTATCCGTATACCAAACCTAAAATCGTGCGTGGTGTATATGGAAATCATCTTGAAAATTATGTATCTTTTTGCGACCCAAACATTAAAGCTATGCCTATGGAATAATCCGGCTAACAATGAATTACTGATAACAAACGAATGACGGCAAATAATATTATGAATTATAGAGTTTGTGTTATAGCTAATAGAGAACGAATAAACAATCCCAACGCCTATAATTTATAATGTGACCATTTAGCCTTGTTGTAACTCGTTCGTTCTTGTCGGATTCGTTCTATATATATAGAGGGTAGGTACTTGTTAACTATTAAAATATTTACCTACCTGATTGAAATCGAACGAGATTTGAATCTAAACACTCATACGTGTCGTTAAATACAATAAGGCCACCTTGTTCGCGGAAAGAAGGGTTTCTAAAGTTGGGTTCACCGCTATGGCACGAACACGAACCATCACCTTGACACATTGCGTTATTACAAACACTTGCATTATTCTTACAACCAATTTCACCAACACGGAAGCTGTCTGTAATATTGCGATTGACCCAAACCACTTCACAATAGGTCATAACCACTTCGTATGACAAACAAATCGCTATATACAGGAGAACTTTGTATTTCGAAAGCATATTGACGAAATTTTAGCGACTATTTCGAAAAATGACGGAATTTCTTCGTGATGAACTCTATGTATATTAAAGCAACATTGTGTTAACAAAGAATTTTATTACCTTTGCCTTATAATCGTGGTAAAATATTTTTGTTGGGCAAAATTTGCATTTGTAAACACTTTCGAATTCCATCAGGCTTTAACTGCAGAAAAACAGCGTGATATTAGGATTTGTGATCACCAGACCGTACCTTAATCAAGTATGAGAATGTCCAAACAGACCAGTTTATGAACTGTCTATCAGAAGAAAACGGCTTGACTTGATGCCTATACACATAACTATAAAGACATGCATTTGAGCATTCCTACTAAATATTTGAAGAAGCATTCGCATTGCTACTTTGATTTTGTTGAAATATAACATCCTGTCTTGAAGTCTGATGTTCTCTGTATGTATATGGACTAAAATTGTGGTTAAGTTTGGTCCATTTCCAATTCGTTTTTACTATAACGTCGTTTTTATCGTCCATTACAAAGTAGGTTCATAGCACGCATATATGAACAACCAATATTTTCTATACATTCTTTAATAAATGGAAATATTATATATTTAACAGAGACCAGTGTTCTACAGAGGTGTAGCGTTCAGGGGCCGGTTGTTCGCAAGGTGTTTAGCTTAAACGGCGGATAAGCCAAAGTTTAAAAACACTCTCATACATCTTGTGAATGACTGAACCTGCATCTTATGCATTTAATATGTACTTTCATTGACAATTAAACTATTCACATCGAAATATTTCAGCTCAGTTGTTCAATAAATCGATAATTTTGTTTTCCATTTTGAACTTATCCACCGTTTAAGCTAAACGCCTTTCGAAGAACCAGCCCCAGAAGGGTTGTAGTGGTGCTGCACTCCAGTTTTAGCAAGGTGGTCGGTTTAACCCGACCTTTTCTTGTCGGAATTTATAGCACACGAGCGTCAGTAAATGTGAAAGTCGCGATCGGTGAGAGGGCCAAGCCCACTAAAACACATAGCTATGATTTTTATACAACAGTACCACTCTTTGAATAGATCATTGAATATAAACTTCAGTAGTAATTTATTTACATTGAGTTTGTTCTCTGAGAATCAAACTGGGAGTATATAGTCTAGATTATATCGACTATACATATTTATTTCTGGTTTGCGTGCGTAGTTAAAAAATTTTTAATCACTTTTAAGCCTCTTATTCAGACGAGTAAGTTTTCCATGATAAGTTTTTTCAAGACAAGTTTTAATTGGCAATTGCACGTGTGACAAGTTTTATTTGCTCGTGTGAAAGTGCCAACAAGTTTACTTTGACAATTTAGTTTGCAGCCAGCGATGTAATCGTACAGCGGACAACGTGAGCGCACCATTGCAAAATACTATAGTCCGCTGGCCAACCGCATACAAGTGCTCACATTATGTGACAAGTTTTCTTTGTTGACTCATACAGACGAGCAAAATTTGTTCTTTGACAATTTTTCTATGACAAGTATACTTGATTTTGAACAAGCCTACTTGTCATAGAAAAAATTGTCAACGTTGGGCGTACAGACGAACAATTAAAACTTGTCACATAAAAACATAGAAAACTTGGCATAGAAAACTTGCTCGTCTGCATGTAAGAGGCTTAAGAGACTTTATGGCCGGTAAGACAAACCGGATCATTTCTCAACAAGAATTACATTATTGCAGCCTTTTTGAATTTAGATTTCCCCCAAGGGTCATGCACATTCATTCCGGTCCCACTTTCTAAACGCGCGATACTGTTTTGTCTTATACTATTCGTCCACATTCGTCTCTAGAGTCTATTATAAAAATTGATGTTTCAACAAGGTTTATTTAATACCGGCAATTGTTCATAATATACTGTTCATAGGGCGCAGCACCAACATTTTTCACTCCTGATGCGACAACCTGATTACCTGATCATTTTTTGTTGCCGTGTATGTTGTGAACAATTGTCGATTTCAACGTTGATATGTCCTTTGGATGTTTGTTGCAACTTCATCAGGCGGCCATGTTCATTTTCCTTTCTGTAAAGTTGTAAGACTTTGATATGTGTGTTCTTCGCTTAGGTCTTTTAAGTGATTCCTTTGAAGAGACTGATAGTTTGACAACTCTTCACAGTTATCTTGATCTATAAAATATTTATTTGCTCGTGTGTACGCGAAAAATTTGACAAATTTTTCTTGACAAGTTTTACGATAATATGCATGAGTATATTTTACGATAATATATCAGCCATGATAGAGTGAGTATACGACCGAATCTCATAATAAACGGAAATTGAAAACGTCAAACACCCGCTCGGTTGGCTCGAAGATTCGCGCTGTTCCCCACTGCGCAATTCCTTGTCAGGTTTTCCTTGAAGGCCGTACATGCACGCGAGCATTTTTCCTTGTTGAAAAGCTGGCATGACTAGCTTTTGAACAAGCGTCCTTGTCAAGGAAAACTTGTCAATTTTTTCGCGTACACACGAGCAAATAAAAGTTAAAACTTGGCAAATAAAACTTGTCAAGGAAAACTTGCCCGTCTGCACGGGGCTTAAGATTGTGATGCAAATTGGAGGTAATTGTGGTTTTTATGTAAGATGAGTGATTTAGAAAAATAACTGCACAGTTTGTTGAAGGAGACCAGATTCTGGACCATCCAGTTTCTTTGACGTATACAATTTAAATCACTTGCTACGAATATGAAGTTTTCCAAAGTAATCAGCTAAACCCGTCCTGATATAGCGAAGAATGCATGCGTGCCATTGCGTTCTTAAATCGTTCACGAAACATGCAACTGAAGAATTTGTGGTCTATATACGCAGCTTGTTGGAGAATGAAGATATTACAGATATGTATACTCTAACTTTGTTTCAAACTAAGATACGTTTATGGTTATATATAGCCAACGAAAAATTGCTGCTAAGAAGCTGATAAAAATAGTATATATTACAGTTTTCAGTAATTATTACTTTTTCAAAGAACTTATTATATAAGACTTTCTAGTCTGATTTAACTAATAATTTTTCATACCGTTTTTTTTCTCTGAACTTTCATGATTTGAATCTCTTTGCCTTTGGTAAAATTGAAAAAGGAAAACGTGATGATACTGGTGCACGTGCATCATATTGTACCTAATTAAGAGGCTCACAACTTAGTAAACCATAAAAGGCACATGCAGAATCTTGATACATTTCGAAATAAATTGCTTCAATTTTATTTTCACTGTCTTAAAAAGCTTACCCAGTTCTTCCAATGCGCCTACACAACAACCAAACAACCACAACGAAGACTATTAACTGTACAATAGGCACCACTATAGCTATTACGACGATTTTCAGATTGGGATCGCCACTACTGCCCGAAGGGCACGCGTACTCTCTTGAAGGACTGGAATTAGTCACAGATTTTGTAATGCTTGTTAGTTGGTTGGTATTTGGTTTTGGCACTGCTTGAATGCTTGATCCAGTTGTTGAAGAAGGTCGGGTTGTCGACGTTTGGTCTAGATCTAAACAGGAATAATATATGCCATGCTTTTTCGACGCGCGTATGCATCTGCTGTGGATTATGCCCATACTAATGTATATTTGGTATTTGAAAATGATTTGAGGTGCGATTTTAGCTATTAAATTAAACGCTGCAAGTTAGTGAAGAAATTGCACCATTCGCGTGGTACGGAAGTCCTAAATTTAACAAACAACCTGCTTGCCATGTTCCAAGAACCTTTGTTCGAAGACGCTCCATTTCACTATATTTCGGGAAAACATTGAGCCTGGTCAACATGCATATGCAGCTCAACAACAGCTGTGCGTATATAGCAATATGACAAGATGCAGTTGTTTAAAGTGTTTGAGTTGCCAATGCAATTGTCAAATTCATTGGCAAATTACAAATTTTGATTTACCAAATCACCTGCTTGCCATTTTCCAAGAACCTTCGCTCGTAGACACTCCCATTTAAGATTGGGTTGTACGAGAGGAAAACATTGAAGTATGAATGTGATTATTGTGCCTTGCAAAACTTGAACTGATCTTTTCCACTAGACAAGAAAGCAAATTGAGCTGAATCAATGTGCCTGATGAAAGAGGGCAAGCACTGACGAGACCATCCGAATTTACCTTGAGATGCAACTTTGTGTTTATGAGTGTCAAATTGACGTAAGATTCATTCAGCCATGGCAGTTCCATTTCAGTAGCGTTGTCTGGAAACTTTATCAGTGTTTTGATGAATGTACAATTCTCCAGTGAGGTTTTGCCTTCATTATATTTAAATTGTTCGGCTGGATCTTCGTGATTGTATGGTATAACTTTGAAAGGGCCAAAATTACAGTAGAGGACAGGTCCTGCAACGGACGCTAAATGTTACATCTAGATACAATTCGGCTTTAGCGGTGTTTTCGTATATCCAACTGCTGTTGTCGTCTTGTTGAGGCAAAATTCAATAAAATTAATAAACAATACTATAGAGAGATATATGTGTACATCACTTTATGGTTGGCGAGTTCACGATCCTTCACAACGGGTGCATAATATTAATCGTATACAAACGAACCGGATCATATGCTACCGACTTCTCTATATGCAATTGGAGGGGTGCGGTATATGACCCTCTTGTGTTAAAATTTCATCCGTATCGACATAATGTTCAATTTTACGTTTGATACAGGTAAAACCAAAGCCCTGTTTACTCTGACTTGTACATGGTTTTGCTCCTGCTCAGTGCCTATTTCTACCGTGTCGGCCTATCAAATAGGCACGGGTACGGGGTACCAATTTTAGCCGCATGTGCTGTGCCGTGCTATGCCATCTATTCACTGTAAACGGGGCTTAAGATTGTGAAAATTTGACTACCTAAATAGATGGTATACAAATTCTATCCGTGGCTTGTGCCAAAGCCAAACCTAAAATCGAGCGTATGTGGTGTGATTGGCTAAGCGCTGGGGCTTTGAATTATTTGAAACAACAAACAACTCCGCCTCATGGGTGGTTCAGCACTAGTGCGGCACTAATTTGCATTACAAAACAAAGTGGTTATTTTTAGCAGTCAGTTTCTTATGTTATTCAAATTAGTACACTAGTGCTGGATCCACCCCTGAAACAACTAATACCTTACTGGAATGTTCATCTTTAAAATCATTTAACTTTATTCGACCTAAACAAGGCTATGCCTATAGGCTGTTTTTCATGCACTGTCGCGTTTTTTGCACGTACGACAAGCACATAAAAGCTTAAAACCATGCAGCTTCTAAGTTGTTGCCGGTATATAATTAATTTTGTGCCAGAAAAAAACACGCTGAATTATCAACAGAATCCAACTCTATGCATTTTTTCAATCCTTAATTTAATAAATATGATTTAAATTATTTTGTGCAAAAACGCGACAGTGGAGAATGACAGCCCCTTGTAATAATGCGGCTATTAACTAATGTGTTTCTGATAACAAACGAATGAGGCATATATAATGTTATAAATTAAATAGTTTGTGTTATAGCTAATAGAGAACGAATGAACTAAAATTTCAACGCCTATAAAGTATACCATTTAGCCTTGTTGTAACTCGTTCGTTCTTGTCGGATTCGTTCTATATATAGGGTACTTGTTAACTATTAAACTATTTTCTTACCATATTGAAATCGAAGGAGATTTGAATCTAAACACCCATACGTGTCGTTAAATACAATAAAGTTACTTTGTATGCGGAAAGAAGGGTTTCTAAAGTTGGGTTCACCGCCGTTGCACAAACACGAACCATCGTCTTGACACATCGCGTTATTACAAACACTTGCATTATTCTTACAACCAATTTCACCAACACGGAAGCTGTCTGTAATATTGCGATTGACCCAAACCACTTCACAACAGGTCATAACCACTTCGTATGACAAACAAATCGCTATACACAGGAGAACTTTGTATTTCGAAAGCATATTGACGAACTTTTAGCGACTATTTTGAAAAATGACGGAATTTCTTCGTGATGAACTGTATACGGCGTGCATTAAAGCGAACATTATGTTATAACAAAGCATTTTATTACCTTTGCCTTTAATGGTGGTGAAATATTTTTTTGTTCGGCAAAATTTGCATTTGTAAATACTTTCGAATTCCTTTAGGCTTCTTAACTCTCGCAATATTCCCGCGTGTCCACCGCCTAATGCTTAATTCAAACTAAGAAAAAATTAATTGCCAAATTCAGAAGAATTTTATATTATGTGAATTGATAGTAAAATAATGTTGCTGAAGCCATCTGGACGCGAAAAATCTATCAAAATAACACGCGCACTTGACCTGATTACGAGTTTTTATCCAGTGTTTTATTATTTTTGCTCGGTAACCGATCGACGTAATCATACTAAAGATCGAAGGGTCTCTAACATGTAGTTAAAAGATCGCGTCTTTTTTATAGAAGACCATATTTCTACTTTTGTTTAGTTGTTTTGTGGTGACAATATAATTATAGCGCTTCCTATATAGAGCTAACAACAATTATAACCAGTCCATGTTTAACTTAATATATAGCAACTGTACGTGTAAATTCTGTTGTTGTAAACCGGCACAATAAGATAAATGAACTCGTCAGAATGAATTATTAATGTCTTTCAATATTAATTTCCAAATTTACTTATATTTTTTATGAATTTTCTATATAATATATATGATGGCTTAATCGTCTGTCACTTTTCTCTGCAGTGAGCGAAAAAGTAGCATTATTAGTTTTTCCTCTTCCCAATTTACCATAGTTCTCCCTATGTTAAAACGGCCTTTTTGTTTAAGAGTTTATCAAATATTCGTAGACTACAGAAATTTTCAGTCATATCAACAGTTAATTCCATGTAGCTGCTACTGAAGGGTTCAATCAGCAGATTCGTGTTCTGTATTTTCAGAATTCGGATGAAAGTTAGCGTCATCGATTTCTTTATATTTCAGTTCAGAGGTCTTCCATTCTGGTTGAAGCTGATAAGAAGATAAACTATCGTCTTTCTTCTCCTCCACTGGTGCATTAACCTCAGGCGCCTCGTAAATAGGATTAGACATCACAACCACGCTTTGGTCATCTGGGTTGAAGTCACTAGATAATGTTTCAGTTGTGTCCAAAATATCTTCGTCGTCTGCCCAACTTTTGCCATCAGGGCTTTCGCAATCTGGGTCTGAATGAAAATTGTCGCCAGCGATTTCTTTTTTCTTAAAATCAGGGGTTTGATTGATCAGTTCGACATGAGAGGCATCATAAATAGGATTGGCTTCAACAATCACGCACTGATCGTCCTGGTTTGAGTGACGAACAAGAGTTTGAGTTGTATCCGCTATATCTTGGTCGACTGGACGGGAATGATCACCATTGATTTCTTTCATATTAACATTAACATCAGGTGTTTCAAATCTAGGGTCTAAATGAAATATGCATGGCGTTATTGATTTTTAATGACATCAAATATTTATTGAATAATGTTTCTACATGCATCTTAAATTAGAATGCTTGTACATACCCGTCTTTTTCCCGCGATTTTCATGACTCGATATTTTCAGTTTCCTATAGAACGTATAAAGGATTAATAAGCAATTAATGTTTTACCTCAATGCTTGGTTAATTAATGAATGCAGGTTTAATCTTTAGTTTTTACTTGTGTTTAGTAGAAGCAAGAACTAAACTCCAATATTCACATGGTTAAATTAAAATTACAGATCCAAATTATTATATGATGCAAAACTATACTGGCACAGTTGCTCTTAGTTTCTTTTCAGCACTTTCAGACCACCTAGCTAACAACTTCGTACCAAGGGCCAAGCAGTAACAGCCATAGAAGTGAATTAAGTTTTGGAAATAACCTAGTATAGTCAATATTTTAGAGATCTCACCTATGATTTCTTTTCCGCCGTCTACAGAACAACCCAACAAGCAAAATAAAAAGTAAACCAAGTATTATTGGAAGCACTATACATAAAGCAATAGTTGTTTCATTTGAATCACTATCAATGCTCGGCATCTGTACTGTAGGACTGGAACGAAGTAATGTTTTCTGTGATGTTTTCCTGTTATTTTTTGACCTGACATCAGATGTTGTTGAGCGAGTTGATTTAGTTGCTAAAGAAAATGTAGTTGTTTTCATGGAATCATGATCACTCCCTGGCAACTGTCCAGTGGAACCTGGACGAACTGTTTTCTGTGGCATTTTCTTGTTAGTTTTCGGCAAGGAATGAAGCGTTGTTGGATGACTTGGTTTAGTTGAAGCCAGTTGAACTGTTGAAGACTCGTGTCGTAAACTGGTCGGTGATGTTTTGATGGCTGTTTTCGACATGATGTGCAATGTGGTTGATTTAGTTGAGGGTTCGTTGACAGAACTCATATCATACACAGTAGTGACTTTCCTGGAATCATGATCACTCCCTGGCAACTGTCCAGTGGGACTTGGACGAAATGTTTTCTGCGACGTTTTCTTGTTAGTGTTCGGCCGGGAATTAAGCGTTGTTGGACGATTCGGTTTAGTTGAAGAGTCTTTGATGGAACTCGTATCGTAACTGTTCTGTGATATTTTGGTGGTTGTTTTTGACATGACATCAATTCTGGTTGATTTAGTTGAGGGTTCGTTGACAGAACTCATATCATATACAGTGGCGATTTCCCTGGAATCGCTGTCAGTGCTTAGCGACAGAGCCGAAAAACTGGAACGAACTTGTGATTCGTGTGTTGTTTTAGTGGTAATTTTTGAATCAGCGTCTGGTGTGGTAGGTTTAATTGGTTCATTAATCAGAAACGTTGAATCTATATTAGATATCATAAAAATTTACAAAATCAAAATTGATAATTGGTTTCCTTTTCGAAAACAAATGTTTTGTCGACATTATATAAACCGTATACAAGGTATTGGATTCATGGGATGTTTCGGTTGTAATGCAGTTTGAATCAACGTGTGTGCATGGTTGCATGTTTAATAAGTTCATTAATCAAAATCGTTGAATCACCATACGTACTTTCTGACCAATTCCCGATAATCTTTGCACGCAAACATTCCGTTATGGGTATTGAATTGACAGTACAATTGAGCTTAAGCGTAATTATGGTGCCTTGAAATCTTTCCACAGATATTTTCCACTAAACATAAAAGAATAGTTAAAACTAAAGTGAAATAACGAAACAAAAATGTCTTCATATACTGTATAAGTACCTTAAAGTATATACGGTTGTTAGAAATTTTCAAATCAACATATGATTCATCCAACCATTTTACTTCCATATCTTCAGTCTTGTCTGGAAACTTTATCAACGTTTGTCTCAGAGAACAATTGTTTACTGTATCGCCACTTTCTCCGTTATAAGAGAATTTATTTCTCGGGTAATTTTGACTGTAGGGTACCGCTTGAAAAGGACTGAATTTGCAGGGATCGACTGTAACATATAAGCATCACCAGGCGTTACGAGCTGTATATATGTGGTCGTTTGAAGTGTATATGGTCTTACACTTAACTACGTACTGCTTGACTTGGCTGTATATCTATTTTGTCGTATGAAATTGAAACGTTTACAAGCTAAGATTGCAGACACGTTTAAGTTTCAAAAATTAACCGTACTATTGAAAGCCCTTTGGAAATTTTGAACATAAATTTTACCGACATTCTTCGTTATGTCAACGTATCACGAATGTAAGTATAATACAAGTAGGTTATTTAGTTTTCAACTAAAACTTCATTATCCATATAATACAACGCAACACAAAACAATACATCTCAAGGCTATAAGGCAAAAAGAAATTGACATAAAACATTATACTATACTTACTCATCAGTGTATTATGATTACAACCATACGTGTCTAAGTAAATTGTTTTGCTATCTCTTGCTGTTATAATAGGACTTCGAAAGGTATTTCTCGAGGGGTTTGATGCAGGGCACAAACACGAACCATCTGGTTGACATTTTGAACAAGTTGGACAGATACTTGCATTTCTCGTACATCCATGTTTCCCAATGCGGAAGCTATCTGTAATGTCTCGACTGACGGAAACCACAACACAATCGGTGTCAAACACTTTGGAAAACAAACAAATAACCAACGTTAACAACACTTGGTATTTCAAACTCATTCTGTCGAATAGCAGGAATCACTCGGAAATAGCTTATGAACCAGTCTAGCTTTTATATTGCGGCATATGATACTGATTCTTGCAGTGTTAATGCCATTCATGGTATAGGATATTTGCAATTTATTGTTTACAACTATTTGGTTTCTATTCCAATAACATATGATTGTCCAATGGTTGTCAGTGAGTTGTGACAAAGATGAAGAATTTCATCGAGCAGGCACTTGATTTATTCGTAAAATCAAACCCAATCATCGGATTAAGTCTCGCACAGTTTCCCTTGTTTGAATGTTAGGTTGATACCATTATGAAACCATGTGCCAATAAACTAAATAGAATCAGATTAGTTGAAGGTTCGATATTTCACTACGTTTGTGAATATTGAAAGCGTTTTGATTTTTTTTGGAACTGGTTCATAGTTTCAAGTAGTTTGGCATGTAAGCTATAATTTTCACTTTTCTTGGTGAAACGACCCCATTGTTTTTCAAGGCGAGATATGGCGGAACTTTAACCCTAATCCAATATACCAAAGTACCTGCAAGGAGTCATGATTTCAGCTATCTCGTAAGTCGTAACCAGAACCTGCCATACGAGACTGTAACTTTAGGGAGAATTAGGGAGAATAAAAAGCGATATAAAGAATAAAAAGCGATATTTTTGTTGACACAAGAAAAAGAGTTACTATAGTGTCTATCTATACGAAGCACGGAAATTCAGCGAAAGTTGTGAGATGAAATTTTGACTTTAAGTTTGCCGTCCCCGGAAATACGATGCCCATGCAGTCTGCCTACCTAATATTGAAGCGACAACAAACACAAGAGCCAGAGCTTTCGTGCCAGAATTTTCTCTTCAATTTTGTAAATCTTGATCATTCGTCATATTTCCGCATGCGCGGCGCAAAAATGAAATTGACATTTCAAGTTTTCAGTAAGATTTTGGCCATTTGTCAAACTCCAAAGTTTATGTATTATAATTATCATATATTTGACGCCTGTTTACATACTTTTGTCCATCGATCCTAACAATCCCAGATGCGCCGTGCGTGATTGCTTTATGCAAAAGACCAACTACAAGGGTGACCGTTGCTTAACCGTTACAGAGAGTGATATGTAGGGAAGTGTATACTAATTTAGTTCAAATCCATAAACGTTCGTTATTTTTAACTATGAGGTATTTTTCAATTAGTAACGATATTCATGCTCATGCATTCTCCGTTTTAGAGTTATGTAAATACGATAGTTGGATTGCATGTATATGTCAGTTTAAATGAAATATATCGCGTTTCCAAAAAACTGCGGGACGCTTAGTTTTGTGTTGGATGGTATAGAAAATCTTTAAAAGAATAATATTTAAATCGAAATTGCCGGCTTTACTTTTGAAGTTGAAATGAATTACGAAACAGCGTGAACAACAAACAGTGCACAACCTATATATGCATGAATTACGATCCAGTCCATTTATTCTTAACCTACCTTGGACGTGGGTCCTTCGCCCGACTCATGTTATATTTAATTACACATTTTTACCCATTTAATTACATATAGCATTCCTAGCTGTAATGCTGTATTAAAATCTTGGCTTACTTACTAGAAAGGAGTTATATAGGCTTAAAAAACTATATTTCATTTACAACACGTATTGGTCTACCGCGTCGAATGATTTATCCAAAGAAAAAAACTGCGAATGTGCATGCTATCACGTGTTTTCTATCCAGTGTTTCATTATTTTTACATGTGTTCGGTAAAAAGCAAAAGACACAAATCTAATAAATTATTCATGTCAGAACAACTAATAATAATAATATCTGCTCTGATTTCTTTCAGTTTAATTGGATTGTTCCCATACAAACAACAACTAAAAATGACTTGCTCGCGAAATAAAATTAAGAAGGGTCTCAGACATGTATTTGAAAGGTTGTGTTTTTATTGTAGAAGATTAGCTCTACTTTTGTTTAGTTTTTTTGTCGTAAATATTTATAGTAAATATTTTTCAAAGACAATCTGACACCATATCGCTTCCCATAACACCAACCTGCCAATATCAACTTACGTATACCTGGAATTATAATACAACAAATACATACACAGTTTTGAACTATAACAGTATGATAGGATGTGTGTATGGAAATCGCTTGTATTCTAGCTGTGTCCTGGCGATGCTAGCTGGAATAGTTCTACGCGTTAAATCAGAGACAATGGTGGTAAATTTATCGACAGATAATGTTGTAAGAACGACAAGCGATAGGTTTTTGTCGATCACACTAGGAAGTACAATAGTCAGAAATGGTTGGCGCACATTAAAAGACAGTCGAAAGCTTCTAAGTCTTGCTAGAGGACTATCGCCTGCCTACTTTAGAATTGGAGGTACTGTACAAGATTACTTATACTGGGACAAAGACGGGGAGGATGATAATTGCTACAACGCAGCTCAGCTGGAACGTTTGTATCAATTTGCGCAAAATGCCCGGCTTGACCTTATCTTTGGCTTATCTCCACTGACGAGAAAACCGGATGGAACGTGGGATCCAACGAATGCCGAAGAGTTATTTCAGTTCATGTCAGAAAAAGGCTATTCGATGTCTTGGGAGCTAGGAAACGGTAAATGATATGTGATGTGCACTGCTTATTTTGTTATGTCTATGTTAGCTGGTTGTAGCCATCACTGAACTCAAAAAACACTGGAACAATGTATTTTCACAAAAACGGTTATGCTTGGGACTTGGATTAACTGAAGGCTGAAGCTAACCCGCAGCAATTGCCTACAATCAATCTCTAAAAGTATTCTATGACAGCTTAAATTTATTATTTCCCAGGTTATTCCCGTTGTTTTTGTCAGAGGAGTATCCGATTAAACAACTGAACTATAGGACGATAACTAAAGCCAAATTGCTGCGCGTTTTGCAAGAAATTTGTTGACATTTTGTACGCAAAAAATTACATAATCATTTAACTCTCGGAAGTAACTGAAATTATTAGTTCCGAGAGTTAAATGATTATGTAATTTTTTGCGTACAAAATGTCAACAAATTTCTTGCAAAACGCGCAGCAAAAAACAGTGGAAACAGGAGAGCGCGTGGTACTTCACTTCAATTTTGCTTCAGTTACCGTCCTATAGTTTCCTCGGAATTCGTAGACTTCCCTAGACGCTATGCAAATGCAGTTCCACAGTAGTTTAGGACTTTAGGTGCAAAACCTGGCAGATGTTGTATTTCATTGTTTCAAAAGAAAATATTGTAGAATTTTATTATTTAGCTTTTATAGCATCAGGACTTGGAGAGGGCAAGCTATTAACTAAGCTATAGAATGTGTCAACAGCAATTGCTCAGGTGTTCCACAGGTGTATGTGGATAGACCGACTGCATCCTGAGAACCAAAGCAATCTGTTTTAATCATTCAACCGTCTGTCGCATGAACTTATATAGTATTTTACGACAAAAATATATCACATTATTTAAATGTTCCCTGACAGAACCCGATCTTTGGCCTGTTCACAATATAACAGACATTCCACCGCAGAAACTTGCGAGAGACTTTCAACGTCTAAAGGATGTTTTAAAGAGGCGTGGAAAGGAAAACACGAAGATCTATGGACCAGATGTTGCTACCCTCTCCGATGACCAGGACTTTCTGAAAACGTAAGTTTAAATAGGATATTATAATATTCCACTTAGCCTTCTTTCATACGTTAAACTATTCTTGCTCTAAAAAGACAAAACGTGGCATGCCGTACAATTGATGCTTATACAAAGTTCGTCATCGTTCGCATCATGTTCACAAACACGACCTATAGCACAGAATATAGACATTATAATAATGACTATTCTGTGCTATAGTTGTTTATGCAATATAGCGCGTTGAAGTTGGGTTACTTTTCTTTTGATAAACCCTTTCCCAGTTCTGTTTATCGTCTGCTGCAATTTATTTGTTAACTCGTGTATAAAACGTTTGTTAAAATCCTCGAATGTGATTGGTGATAAAAATTAATATGATCCCACCTTAAATTTCGTATTGATTGCTGAAGATAACTTAACTTCTCCTGTCCACAGGTTTCTCAAAGAGATTGGAGGTGGAATACTTGATGCAGTCACATATCATCAGTGAGTTTAAGATATTTATGGACTGACATGCAGTCTTGCAGATAAATCACTTAGCTAGATTAGTAAATATTACAGTTCAGTGGTCACTTAGCTAGATAGACACTCCACATGCAGACATTGGAACTATATCAGGGACGGCGGAGCCGGGGGGGGGGGCTGGAAGGCCGCCCCCACTTTGTATTTACAGTAAAACCAAAAGATGCTTACACTTCTTATTTACTGAGCAGTGCTTAGTATTTGGGATCGTTTTTATAACATCATAATTATAAGTAAAGATGTAGCCCCCGCACTTGATATAGGGCTCCGCCGTTCCTGTATATATAATATTACAAGCAATGATCAACATTTTAATACAGATATTACAGAAACAGCGATGGTGCTAAGTTGGAAGACTTCAAAAATGTGTCGATATTAGACAGATTTTTGAACTATTCTCAGAAAGCAGTCAAGCTGGTTCACAGTACGCTTGACAAGAACACACCAATATGGCTTGGGGAAACATCTTCAACATACAACAGTGGAGCAAAAGGCCTTTCGGATTCCTATCTGGCTGGATTCATGTAAGAAATATAATATATTACTAAACTATATAAAAGGTAGCTAGGGGGTCCGCAGTGGAGAAGCAGTGGATGTATTAAAGTAGTTACATTCCCGAGTACTTGATATGTTTCTATTAAAGGTGGCTGGATAAACTTGGCATTGCTGCGCTGGTCAATCACGATGTTGTATGTAGACAGTCGATTTATGGAGGACATTACAGTCTTATAGATGTCCAAACTATGGACCCCTTACCTGTATGTGAATGAATAGACATGCATATTGTGATCGTCGCTAATTATTTTATGTCATTATTATAACAATGGCATTTTTTATTTCGAAGTTTTCCCGTTTTTGTTTTGTTTGTTGTTAGGACTATTGGACATCAGTGTTACACAAACGACTAGTTGGGAGTAAAGTTTTGATGGTGGAGAATTCACTGAAGCCAGGGCGAAACGCGAGAGTGTATGCTCATTGTACAAGAATCACAAAGTAGTAGGTCGCAGCGGTTTTATATCACTATTGTAAAGCTCATTGACTGTATTTTTAGGGTTGTCTAAACAATCATGTTAAGATCTTAAGATTTATGACGAATTTTAATGCAATCCTTTGGGCTCTTGCAATGATGACCCATAACAACTATGACGTCTCATGCAAGAGCACTCAGTTAATCTCCATCCACTCAGTAATTAAAATCAAGAGAGACAGCAGCCCTGCTGCCCCAGCTCCCGATTACCCCGTTTTTACCAAATCTTGCTCTATTCAGGACAAAAAAAGAGCCTGATGGATGGAAAGTTACGACAAGGGACGAGTTGATTTTGTAGTTCACAAATAATAAATGAAACGCATAACAAGTGCAATATTGCATTAAAAATTCCTTTTTATGTTTTAGTTATGATTACGAAGCTGGCGCTGTCACATTGATTGTACTAAATCTTCATCAAGATGAAACTCTCGTCATTGAGCTGCAGAAAGATTTGAAGAAGTTTGACGTTGATCAATTTTTACTTCAACCAGGAACGAAGAATATAACCTCAAAGTAAGCCCCAAGAGGAGTTACATGTTACATCATTGCTTTGATTAACTGATAAAATTGAACTTAAAGATGGAACAGTGCAGTATGTGGAAATGAACCCCAAATTCTCGTGATGTGTTAAATCAATAATGCTTCTCTGATTTGCAGGAGTGCGAAACTGAACGGAAAGCTGTTAAAACTTCTTGAAGACTATCGGTTGCCTGATTTAAATGCAGTCAAAGTGAACCAGCCATTTTCTGTTCCCCCATTAACCTATGGATTCTTTGTTATTCCCAATGCAAACGCTAAAGGTTGCTTGACGAATATTTTTATTTAAATGTTATTTAGATTATTTACGTAAATTTATAGGTCTTAATTCGGTATTAGGGTATTGCAACTCAGCGGACAATATATTAAAGTGACTTAAATAGACTGCTTTTCTTTGTATTCCAAACAATCGTTTTTACATTTATAAGTTTCATTGTATTATTTAGTAAAAATATTATCACCTGACAATATTATATAAATTAATTCTGATTCATAGCAATGAAGTCTGAAAATAATTAGTTAGGAAAAATAATGGTTCTTACTACGTACAATTGTCTATATATGTTTCCATGATGTGTTATTTACAGTGTCGGTGATTGTACGTGGGCAAGACTCTTTAAGGAGTTTACGCATGAACTTACTGTTACTGAAGAACAAATTTGAGATTTTTCCGTGTCAAATAATTCGGATTAAAACATGGATCATAGCATGCATACAGTACAAATAACCAAACAGGAGCTACTACAACTCACTTGTTATGATATGTAGCTTTGTTATACTATGTTACAAACTGAATGGCATAAATATGGGTATAATTAAACTTCTGCCCAGTGGCGAATATATCGTGCCTCAATTATCGATGTTGCCTGCTATATATACAGTACGCCACTCTTTTTGCCTTTAGACGATAAACATGCAATTAAAGCCGGATTTTGTGAACAATTCAGTGTATATCAATAATCATACAGTTGATATGGCTTTTTTCGAGGATGCAAATGATGGCGGGATGCAGGGGGAGGAAGTGTCAACTCGGGTGTTGAATTGTTAAAACCGGTCCAATTAGAGTTATCACATAAATATATGCATGGATACTATCCAGTTAAATAAAAAATTGCGCGCTCAATCGTATTATACTCATATATGAGTAATAACGTACGCCAGTGGCGTAGCCTGCTCCACGATTTGCAGAGACGGGGTGCTGAGTTATTCATATGCTCGTGTTTTTTACCGACCAAGATAGTAGGGTTGGCTGTCTCGATGTTCAATGATGGGCCATCAAAAACGAACTCCCTAAAAAAAATCTCATTTGGTCCTTGTTTATAGCTGCTTCACTGCAGTGCAGATGGTAGCTGATGTGGTTGATTTCCGTTGTGGAGAGTTGTAAGTCCTTGATACGTGTTTTCTTCGATCTGATCTAAATGATTTCTCTGAAGAGGCTGATAATATGACTCTCGGTGGGTTTCATCTGTGAAGATAAACGAATTAGTCACAAATAGCAATGGAATATCGTATAAATTATAGATTAACTGGCGCATCTTTAATGCTAAAATTTGAAGCCAGCTTAGCTTGGACTCTTCTAAATAAACCGTTGGTGGACGCAATGAATATAAATGTATAATTCGATTTATTAAAAAGAAAAGCGAAGAGTATTTGTAGAAGATTTTAAATCAAATAGTCACTTCGACTGATTTGGAAACAGGATCCGAGTTTGCAGGATAACCATGTCACATCAGATAATACGTGTTTCTATATATTCTATAGAGGTTCGCGTGGCGAGTTTATAGAAGGACCAAATTGAAGCATGCCGCGAGTCATGGTATCAATCCCAAAATTACCGTAAGAATTCCCATTGTTTTGCTGTCCTGACCACGTGTAAGACTTGGATATCTTCACTGGGTCGTATAAATTCCTCTCAGTTCCACGCGAAAGTGCATTTCCTTGGCTAGCTCGAGCTCGTTGTCCTAATGATAAAACTGAATCTTGATTACTTGCACCATATATAAAGTTGGATACAGTCTGAAAAATCATTTATTGTGGTATAGTCGATATTGCAAACAAATTAAGAATGAAGGAAAATATAAACAAAGATTGACACGCGTTTCTTCTTATACCCACTGGTCAGGCGTAATGCCGTTAAAGGTGTTTGGAGCTGCCACTATTTTTGTGCAGGTTTTTTAAAATATGTGCAGGAATAATTTTTCATTGTTGCCGTATTTGTTGCGATAAACATCGTTATAGCAGTCACAAAAAAGAGAGGAAATCAACTTAGGTTATGTACTAATTAATTAATGCAAAATAAGGTAATTGAAACTTGCCTGATAAATTTCCATTAATTTGCTGTCCTGATAAGGCTGATATCGTGAAAGGCTTGTCAATCATTACGGGATCGTATGGATTCCTTTCTTCAATTCTTGAGCTTGATTCGCCACGGCTAGCACGTTCGTCTAATGAAAAAACAAATAACACTTTTACACAGTTGGAGAAAATCGAACTACGGCAGATTGTCTGACTTCTCTCCTTTTAATTTGTATGTGTTAATGGAATGAGTTTACGATCCGCCTCATGAAATGATATTTTATAAAATACTACCTTCCGCTTTCGTTTTCTTTCTTTGATTCCTACAAATGATAATTATATGCATGTGTAGATACCCTAAAGCTAGTCAGATATAGTACAGAAAGTATGAGAGGAGTATGGACATGCGTGGCAGAAATGGTGATACAGGTACGTAATGAATGCGTTGGGAAACTGAGGAGCAATGGTGACTCGATGAGATACATAGCGGGATGAAATGTCTGACGATAATTTGAAGGAAGGAAATTAAAATGCGTTTAAAGGTAGAAGTAGTGCTTTTAAAAAGAATATGTTAACCTATGATGCAGAACTAAATAATTGTGGACAGCGAAGTATAGATGTGAAGAAGCATTCAGATTGCTACTAAAAGTATGACCTACTGCTCACCGACAATATTTCCTGCATAAGAATCCTGTGACAATTCCGAGAACCACATTGAGAGCAACGGAAGCAGCCAGAACCGCAATAAGTGTTATGTTTGACTCTGAATCAGTATTGAGGATAAACAATCAGATAAATATTGTTGTGAGAGAAAACTCTAGATGACAAAGTTTCTTCTCGTAAAGTTTCATTCGTTAAAACCAGCAAAAGTTTGTCCTTGTCGCTTAAACCTTAATTACCATGCAAATTATGTGGTATATCAAGGACAATTATTTAGTTACTCACCAGCTGATTTAGACATGTACAGTTGTTTTGTTGTTTTGGATTTTCCGTTTGACAGGACAGTGTATGTCATTTGCGATGACTGTTGTTTTGTTGAAGGTACGGTCGGATCGATGTCAGTTACTACAAGGGAAATTCTAAATGAAATGGTCATATACCTAATAATACACCCGTGTTGTATTGTTGGTCCATCCATAGCCATTGGATGAAATATTTCACCAAGATGTGCATTGTGAATACCGGGCATAAATAATATGCTGACATTCGCAACAATTGTTGTTGTTTACATTACCTCCCCTTTGCCATATCCCATGAATCTTTGCTCGCAGGCAAGTCTTTAGATAAGCTCCGGAATCCAGGAGGCACAAGAACTTCAGCGTTATTATTGTACCCTTCAAACCAAAAACTGATCTCTTCCACTACACAATAGAAAACAAATCTGTACTATACAATAATAATTGTGTAAAAATTAACCAATTTGTCACATTATTGGTATATATTGGATTCGAATTTTTTTTATGCACACTGTACAAAGATTTTCCTTAATTGCGCGAAACATTTATAAAAAACATTAAGCATTTAAAAACTATAGTCTCATCGTTTACCTTAAAATGCAATATATTGCTCACGACAGTCAAGTCGACGAAAGATTCATTCAACCATTGCAGACTCATTTCTTTAGAGTTGTCTGGAGATTTTGCCAGGGCTTTCGTCAACGTACAACTCTTTAATGTTACTCGGGTGTCGTGAGTAAATTGCGTGGCTGAATTGGTTGGGCCATGTGGAATAACTTGGAACGGACCAAATGGACAATGAGTGACTATACAACACACAATAAAAATTTATAAGATTATGTATTAAGAGCCGAGACTTTTTTCATGTAATATGAGCTCAAAACCTTATAGTTTGCCAAGAAGAAAATGACACAAGAATCGAAGCTACTTTTGTACTCATATTATAGTTAATGGCGTTAACATTTATATTTAGAAAATAATACACGGATGCTTGGAAATATGGAATTTATTTCTCGTGTTGAGAAAGATACTTCACTCGTTCGCGTAATTCTGTTTATTATATAATAAAAAACTGGGTTTTTTGAAAAGTTTTTTTATCCTCCTTCCTGATTCCAGATCGGTGGATCAAACACGATAATCGCACATGTGTTATTATCATGAATAATCGCACATGCATGCATGTGTTGTTATCGCTTTTCGTCAATAAAACACTGCATATTATATAATAAATAACAATAATGCATGTTGTGCTGTGTAGGTGCTGTGTATTTCAAATGTGATTGGTTCATTCGTAGTCACATGACTTTAAATAAATGCAAAGTTTCCCGCCAGGGAAAAAGTGAAAAATTGTTGCCCGCTTCTTGTCATAACAAAGTAAAATGAGGTTTTTTTTAAATGAAATTGTTGTGTAATATGTGTGTTTTTGTTCCTATATAACAAAAAACTTAATGTACACTAACTCGGGAAATAGTGAGTTTTGTTTTCCCTCGAGTCTCAATGTTTTCCTCCACTTCGTCTCGGGAAACATCCAGACTCTTGGGAAAACAAAATTCACTATTTCCCTCGGGAGCATACCTTAAGTGTATAATATTCCCGTGATATTTTGAAAAACGCATGTCGCTATTAGGGTTTTGCCAGCACAAAAAATACTGTTCAAGGTTAAATTACGTAATTATATCATGTAAGGAATAAAGCTAGAATTAATGAAATTTGCATGAGTGACATACGCCGAAAAGATTTGATGTTTTGTACGTTTTCCTGCCGAAATCCGCGAGGTATAAAAAATCTGCTCTTAATTGTCCTCTTTAGTTCAGGTTCAAGTTAGCCTTTTGCTGTGAATCACAGACAAAATCAATAAATTAATTTAAAGTCCTGAACACAATTCTGTGCCTAATTTTATAATTGCATGCAGTATACTTGTCACATAACTCCTAACGCACTCCTAACACTTGAAGCGATAAAAATTATCATAAAAAATACTGTCCTACTGGGTCATTTTCTCTGTAGTGAAAGAGGCATTTTCATGGAACTCACCACCTCGACGGACAATTTCATTATCGACACAGCCATACCCGTCGCCATATACTGTTCTACTGTTACTGAATTTGATCACAGGATTTCGGAAGGTTGGTTTATCACCATCACACCGACACAAGCCATTCTCTCTGTTACATGTTGCCGAACTGGTACAAACACTTTCATTATTTCTGCAGCCACTCTTTCCAACACGGAAGTAGTCAGTAGCATTTCTACTGACCAAATACACTTGATCATTGGACAAACTCACCGCTGATAAAACGCTGAAAAGAAAAAATTTGACCAAAACAACGACTCTTAGAGTCATATTTGATGAAGAACAAGTATATATAGTCACAGCATTGATGAAAGACTTTTATATGTTGCTATATGAATAAAAACCGCTATTCCTCCAGAAAGGATGTTAAAACAATTATGCCATAGTTATAAAGAATTTGCTACGATTGACCAAGCAATCGCAATAAACTTAGCATGTGTCAAAATGAACTTAGCGTGTGTCGAGATAATTGTAAAATATGTTATAACATAATACTTTAATATCCAGTAGTCTGCATAAAGAATATAACGCGCAGCTTTATGCGAAATTTCATATTATGTATAGCTATATATACACATATGTTTTCAAACAGTAGGCACTAAAAATACAATTGCTAGCTTGAAGGATTTCATTTGAATAAAAAATTTAAAGAATGCTTCAATTACACCTGCAATCAAGGATTGTTTCTGCCGCCCTCTCTGAAAAATTGAATACATGAATCTCTCACTCTAAATACCGGAAACATAAGACTATAGCTTCCGCAAAGTAGAGACAATGGTAATTAGGGCCTTTTAAGCATAAGCCTGGTTTCTATGTCGTCGCTATTGTCGCGAGCATGCCAACGTTGATGTATTGGGATATTATTTAATATAAGTATTATTTAACAAAGCTGAAATTAAGAATTAAAATGCGTTGAAAAAGTTAAAATTAAGCATTAAAATTTTGAACGCTTTTGGAATGAGATCAATATGAGGTCAAAACAGATTTTTATACTTATACGTGCCAAGACTTCTTTGTCTAATGTGCCGTGACCATGTCAAGGACAAGGTGTTTGATGAAATGTGCTGGGTGCATACACATGCACTTGCGTATATTAGTTTAAAAATCTACTTTTGACTGCTTACCACAACGTTTCGTGCGATATTTAGACTCGTGTGTATTGTGAACAAAAGAATGAGCGTCGATTCGAAAGTGAGTGGACAAATAGATTTGAAATGATAAGCTATGCAAGTTATTAAGTCATTATGAGATTTATGACGTAGAGAAAGTGGAAAATAGACAACAGCAACATAATTATAGTGACGACCATGCTGAGACCTATATTGCTGTAAATTGGTTTCAAGTTCCGCTAAATGTCCTTTAGCCCGTTAAAAATTATACCTTTATTACACCAATGACACAGCCACAAATGTCAGCTACGATCATCCAAAGGGATGCAGTGAAGAAAAGCAGCTGAAACGAAATAGCAACCCCAAAAGGCGTCCAGCTTCGCCTCTGTTTACTGAATATTTTATGGGCGGTATTTTTCAGTGAGAGGAGGCGGCTTATGAATGTCTTCAGAGCGCCTAGTTTAGTGCCACTACGTTCAGCTCCACGGATTTTTTTGTACGTACATTTTCAAAAGAAATCTTTCCGGACATGGAGAAAGGAATATATGAGCATGCCCCCCCCCCGTGCAAATTATCTTGCTAGTTTGGCCCTGGTTCCCCCTGTAAATCCATCCCTGTTACTTTGTAATCCTGTAATTATATTTATATAGTTGAAGTGTAGACTAAAATCTATATAGCTACACAACTCCTCAGTTCTCATAACATTTTTGTCTTTTCTTGATTGTTGATCAAGGTGACATGAAATTCCGCCTTTCTGAAAAACCCATTTTGATCCCAGATCTGAGAACTCTACAGTATCACAGAAACGAGAACTCTATAGCTCATTTAACAAACTATAGCAATATGTCTTGCGTTGCAAACTAGCAATTCAAATACATTGCAGATATGAATTTTCCGTGCAATTCCTCGTCTCAAAGTATATACACGATTGGGACAGTTAACGGCTACATTTCCCCCCTTAAGCCCGCCGCACACGAAAGTTATCAGCTGAGCTAACGACCTCAGTTAGCTCAGCCCATTGAACTCAAATAAGACTGGGACGCTCACTACAATTCAAAGTGCGAAGTCAAACGTTTAGGCCTATTAGCCTCATTGCAAGTCATGGTATTTCGCTGTACCCTTATACGCTAAGTAAACAAAAATATAAAATAAATCAAATCATATATCAGTGAAGCAAACACTTGTATGAAACCTTTGACATACACCATGCAAAGAACGGTACCAGTAAAAATGTATACTAGTGTCAGCTATCACTATAGTGCGAGAAATACTGCTGGGTTATAGATCACCAAAAATAGATAAAAAGATAAACAAACAACGTATACGTTTAATTCGGTCATATTTTTGCCATGTGAAATCAGTGTGTTTTCTTTAAAAGATATATCCCATATTTATATACTTGTAATATCGACGAAGTGAACACATGCATGGAACACAATATACAAAGCGAACCAAACGTGAACAGGTCGATGGGGAGGGGGAGTTATTAGAGTGGAGTCGACTGAAATAGGAGCCACCGTGCATGATTGGGCAAAATTTTATTAATTGGACCTTTTCGAATGGCTATAAAAAGGCACGTCCTGAACCTAAAATATACCAAATATTACAGGGATCAGGGTGGATAATGTATATTATACATGCATCTAAGAAACACTCTTGTTTTTTGAGAAAATGTCTCTAAGAAAACACTCTTGTTTTTTGAGAAAATCAAACACTATTTTAATGGTCAAAACACATGCGATGGAAAACGTCTTATCTTGATATCTTTTATGTGGAAAAATTAGACTAAAATTATTAAACGTTTTAATTTATCAATATTTGTGTCTTACTACGCCCTTTTTCTGACTTAAAAGATGGTCAAAAAAAATCTTGGTAATGTCCCTCTAGCGCCTTCCCCCGGTGGCCCCGTGCCATATACACCATCAACAAATTTGGAAGAAACAATATAAGCTTTCCTGTAGCTAGAAAATTCCCACAGGTGTCATTAAAAATATGGAGATAATAGAACACTTAAGTTCGAACTTTTCAAGTTGTGCTTAACGCAACAATATATATGCAATATATACGCATGTTGTTGCTATTATTTTGGCAAGGAATTTCATGCTCATCAATTTTGTGGCCAAATAAACACGTTAAACTAGTCTGTCTCGCCAGTCCGGATGCACAAAAAGTCAAGGATGAGCTAAAAGGTTGAGTGGCCCCACTTTATTCTCTTTATTTGGTTGTGTCACATGTATGACCCATACAGTGGTGGCCTATTCTACTTCCTGATCGTCAGTACAGACTGGCGATGCATTTGAAAAGTGTAACTTCAGTTGTGTTCTTTTTATTTTTCTTCTTAGGCAAAGCGACTCTGTCAGAATGCCAAGTGCCTGTTGTTAATCGAAATGATATCGATAGTTTTTTGGTTAAAGGCGGTTGTTCAGATGACCCAAATGTGTGCCCAAGATCAGCAACATGTCATTCGAAGACTGGTCTATGCTTGTGCGATAGTCGTAAACCAACATATCAAAATCCGGAGATCATAACTGACGGTGCAATTGGTCTCAAGCATGGTGCCTCGTATGGTTGCGTTAATAACCGGTTTATCGATAGTTATGGTATGGGTTTTCGATTTGATTTGATTTATTAAAAATGGGAGTCGGCAACCAATCGGTTGAAATTAATACATCCAGATTTTACATATAAGCCAGATAAAAAACAAATATAAATATATACAAATATACCATTATTTATTATTTAAATTCAGTTATATGTTTCGTATCCCTGCAAGTGTTTTCGTGTTATATACAGCATAATCATCTAACCAATACTAAACTTGTGATTGTCGCCTAAATCTAAACAAATAACAAAATAGTTCGGGAAAATATAGGTCTACGCGAGGATACATGGACCTTTCCTGGGTCTGCAAGCTACTCATATATAAATGAACCAAACATATATTTAAAACAGTAGCTATGCATAACAGTATAAGGATTTATCGATTTTAGGAACACATGCAGAGATTATGTAATAATATAGCATTGAGGAACTTTAAGCAAAAGTGGTCACGTGGAATTAGCAGGACAGCCAGTCTAGATTCTAGCCGTTATAATGTTTATGCTAAGATAATGTTCCATTCAGGTTCTACGTTCTGTCCGTTCAGCCCGTTCCAAAGTATACCTTACACTCACAACGACAAAGCTACGGAATTCAGCTACTTGAACGATGACCCAGACGTTGTATTGAAGAGTTGTTCATTCAAAAAAGCTTGGGCAAAGTTTCCAGGCAGCTCTGACGAAAAAGAGCAGCTGTGGTTGAACGAATCATTCGTTGACATCAAAGTGTCAAGGAAAAGCTTGTGTTTCAAGGTTTGTATAATGGCGGTGGATGAGCATCGATATTTTCAATCACTATCATGCATGCAGTAATATATAAATGATGATCTCATGTGCATGTCAATCAGATAGCAGTAGTATTTGATTGGATTAAATTGGATTGGATTGGATTGGAAGTGAACGTGCATATGACTGAAATTAAAGATTATTATAGTAATTAAAGATTACAAAATTAAGATTTCGCACAAACTTTAACACCCTGCATGGGCAACATAATCTACACTTTGTTTAATAAAATTTTAGAGGCAATTTTTTGCACGTTTGCAAAATATGATTGCTTTTTATGCCTTGCATGATTACGCGATATATTAAAACGCTTATATATAGTCAAGGCTAATGGGCCCTGATTAGGTGCAGATTAGTTGTGTTATTCAACTTATATTTGAAGTGATTCCTTTGAGGTAATTTTGTTTAGTGGAGAAAATCAGTCAAAGCTTTACAAGGCACGATAATCACATTCAATCTCAGATGTGATGTTGGTTCAAGTATTTTGGAACTGAATTGTTTGCGGGCAAAGGTCGTAGGGACATGGATCTCAGGTAGGGAGGGTAAAAAGACTGCATGAAAGAGAAGTTACATTCAATCGTATACAATAACGTGTCTTAATAGAAAAATAAGCGACTACCCTGGTCTACCCCTGGTCTACCCCTGGTCTATACCCCTGGTCTATACCCCTGGTCTATACGCCTGGTCTACCCCTCTATCTCTTCTATAAAAGCACGGACAGGAATGTGGTGTCAACCCCCTTTGCTCGTGCTTTTTTGAGGTGATTAAAGTATACGGCTTTACTAAACTCGTGTAAAGGTAAAGCCCCGTTTAAACTACACTCGATTTATCGGCATGGCACGACTAAATCGCGCGGCCTTTGTATTGTTAGCCTGAGCACTAATAAAATTGAGCATGCCTAGCCGTGCCGTGCCAACAAACTGACTGTATGTAAACGGGACTTATGTTACCAAGTAAACAAAGTTAAAACAATTGCTATAGCTATATACTTTTTAGATAATGGTGCAGATGGATGGGATAAACGTAACGAATATATCAATCAATCAATAGACAATACTTATCGTTGACTTTTATAGTGGAACCATCATGTACAAACGTCCCCTGGGATAGTTCTTTCAACGTGGCTGGTTGGTCAAAATGTAGTTCAGACAAGTCTTTCATCAAAGAACTTTATCGAAGTGCGTCGAGTGGAAGCGATAAAAAATCTAATCTTAAAAGTGCACGTTGCTGTACTTCAATACCAGTTCTGGACCTGAAGCGAAAAGCGTGTAAATTTGTGGACTGGTCGACTTCTCTGAACAGGTACAAAGCCGTGACTATCCGCGCAGTCATATCATGTCTTTTTTATGATCATGATTGTCCCTTTTTTGTTATCTAAAGTTTTATAACGCTATGCAGTAAAGACATAAATCGTAAATTGAAAAGCCAAAGGGCCAACGCGACCCCCGAAAAAGGGCTGTTTTGAAAAAAGTTCGACCCTAATTTGATCCGAAAACGGTATTTTTACAGCGTTCTAGGCCTTCTGAATTTACTGTTAGAAACATTGATTATAAGTCCCAAGTTTATTGTCGCCAGTTTTCAATTGCATGTATATAGGTTATAAATATGAAGGTCAGGCCTCGATGATATTTGTTTACGTTTTCATGTAGAAATAACCAGTGGAGTCTTAATTGCCCATCCGGTTACTTTTTGAACGGATTACATCGCACCAGTGGCCAAAATTTAAGTAACATCGAGAAAGCGTCTTGCTGTAGACCCGAAGGTCATCCTGACGAGTGTGGATTGTGTTATGATGAAGATGTTACAACATCATTCAATCAAGCAGGCTGGTCAGGGTGTTCGAAGGCTGAAGGATATTATATCACTGGAGTGTACCATGATGGTGGTGAAGACCATCTTAACAACATCGACAAATTTCGATGCTGCCAAATGGCAAGAGGTACACAGTATAATAGGGAGATTTAGCATGAGGACGTGAACGTCAAAGACGACGTGAAAATGGCGAATAAATGGCGTGATGCGCCCAAATATGGACATGCCACGCCATTTACTCGCCATTTTCACATAAGATATATATATATATGTATTTATATTATATATTATTATATATATTATATATATATACACCCATTTGCAAAAACGTTGGCCGCAGATAGATAGATAGATAGATAGATACTCGAAATCTAATTAGAATTGCATATGTTGTGGAATATGATTGAAATCCCATGCAAATCTAGTCATATGCATTTCTAATTAGTCTTCGACTATCTATCTATCTATCTATCTGCGGCCAACGTTTTTGCAAATGGGTGTATATATATATATATATATATATATATATATATTTATATATATATATATATATATATATATATATATATATATTACCATTTACCTCTCCCGCGTTCACAGTATACCTTAATATTCGTTACGTTTATCCCATCCATCTGCACCATTATCTAAAAAGTATATATAGCTATAGCAATTGTTTTAACTTTGTTTACTTGGTAACATAAGTTCCGTTTACATACAGTCAATTTGTTGGCACGGCGTGACGTGTAGGTAAATTACAAAAAAGACGCAAACTACTCGCATGCAGAGACGCAGACTGTGATGGAGACTAGCTAACTATCTTGTAACTCCTTGTTAACTTCTTGCCCTAGCGAAGCATGTATATTATATAGGACAAGTTAGTGCGTATATAGTGGCATACTTATATAACTGTCAAATGTCCCCATGAGGATAAGGTACGTATGTGCATGCATGGGTATAAATGAATAACTCATGAATTCATCGTCTAGACCGCATTTCTGTACCGACATTTACACCAACCGCCGAGCAAAAAGAAAGAAACGAAAACTTATGTTCAAACGATGAGTGTTCGGGTTTAAAGGCAAAATTTGTCGCTGTACTGGCCGTCGCACTCTTTGTCATTGTTGTTCTAGGGATTCTTGTCGGATTTCTGTGGAGGAAATTCAAACTACAGAGGTAAAATAGTATAACTGTCATGTCAAATGTCTTTCTGCATTAATATCTTCGTGTCAAATATCTAGTAGTTAACTGCAGTCTTTTCTTGCTTCTGCAATTTTAACATTTTTGTTTGTTTTTTTCCTATAATCTCTGTCTAATCCTCTAACGAACTTCTTACATATGTTATGCACATAATTTCACTGCATATAATCTCATCTGGAAATAGTAGCTTTCTCCACGACTTTTTTTAAGTTGATAAATAACGTTTTCAGTTGCCATATTTTTATACACTTTATATAGAAAAGAGAACACTACAATGAAAGGTAGGTAACGTCATGAGTAAAATAGATATTATTATAGATACACCTACAATCTTCCCCCTTTGTTTTCAGGAAATCTGAAATGTCACGTTTATTTTATGTGTGTTTATATATACGTTCACATACGCCAGGACAAGAATTGTGTACAACAAATCGCACAGTGTAAATTGGGCTTGATGGTACATACAGTACTGTCCAGAAATATTGTCCAGAAATCTAACACTGCGGTTGTGGTTCGGCTGCAGTCGGTCGCGGTTCGGTCGCGGTTCGGTCGCGGTTCGGTTGTGGTCGACCGATATAAACCGCAGACGACCGCAAGGGAAAAAGTACGATTGCGGTTGCCGTTCGCTTCCGAACGGAATGTTATGAACAGCTGAGAACGACAACACAATAATCATATCGAAAAAATCCTAAGAAATGTCTGTCAGACTCAGACGGAGATTTAACCTCGGCCTGCCCTCGGTTCAAGTGTTCAACGCGATCACACCGAGGTTTGACCTAGGTTAACCGCGGTTTTTGTTAGGTTATTTCTGGACAGTACTGTATATTTAACGATATATAGCATTTACCGTATATTTTGATTATCCCGGACTAACGTTGCATCGGGAGATCAGTCTTGGTTAACATCTAAAATGTAACATATAGAAATGCAAAGTGCTCCAGAACAGGCAGAAGCAAACGTCCAAGTATTGCAGGTAGAGTTAAACCCTGAGATACAAAACAGTGGGGTTCAACAGTTGGTCATCTCACCGTCATCTGAACAGGGCTACTACAACCGAGGGCTGACAGGTAAATTTGCCAACCATTACCTTTTATAGGGTTTCTGGACGTGATATAATTTACCAAAGCCAGAACACAATATTTTAAGGGAACAGTATATATTGCCGACCAAAGTTTCACCTCAGCGGCATGTATATATACGTACAGGTATAAAGATTATTTAGCAATATCGATTTTCCCTATGAGATGCTCTAAGGACTAAGTGCAATATTCACTAAAACTGCATCCCCATAAAAGGGTTTTTCGCAGGATGAAACCATTAAAAAAAATTACAGAACACTATATTGATTAAACTCCCTGTATGCAATAGCATCTAGCTTCAAAGAAAATGCTATGTTTATACGAGTTAAAGCACTGCGTGGTTTTCCTCCTAAAATGTGTATATATTTAACAGTTCTTCTGCGAACTCGAGTCGTATATGAGCTGATAGCCGACGAGGCGCCGAGTTGGCTATCGGCCATATACGACGAGAGTGAGCAGAATAACTGTTTTATTATATACACAAACTTTGTTGCCCTTTCGGCCGGTGCATTTTGGTGTGCTATTATCAACTAGGCTTGGATTTCTATTTCACTCAACTCCTCAAATCTTTCCGCCATTTTGTTTACTTTCTCTACTAGACAGATATGAGCTAATATCTGTCTAGTACCAACCAATGAAATTGCAGCATACCTCATATCTGGCGCTTGTATATATAATAAATATATATATTGTATATATGTTTTCAGATCAAGATGATTATGAAGTTCCGACATTTTATCAGCCGCTAAAAATAGATCCGAGTAAGTAAAATTGATCTTTAAAGAACGTTTATGTAAAATTTTATCGTTATAACGATATAGTTGTTGTTTTAATATCTCTTCTATATATATACAAGCACAGACTTCTATATATTCTTTTCTTTTCAATCATATAGTTCGGGTTGCGCCTCACTACCAATCTCTGCAAAAGAATTAGACTCAATTGGAATAAAGAACTTCATATGTATAACCTTTCTTTACATTTGTTGTTATCACATCTCTTTTTCTTCATCAGACAATAAATGAAACGAAGGCCGGGTTAACGGACCGGAAGTTTTGCAGTATTAAATACTTAGGTGCATGGTGTACCTACATATACAAGCTAAATTACTTATTGATGTCACCATGCAAACATACAAGAATATTATTAAAATAACCAGAATAAGCAAAAGCAGCGTTTTCAAATAACTTCTCATCATTCACTGAGTGGTAGTATAACAAGGTCACGATTGACTAATGATGTGCACTAAGCTCTTCGCTAGTCCTTTAACATAAAAATGTCTGCATGAGGCAATAAATTATCGCCATATAAAGTATATATAGACAGAAAATTCAAATATCGCATTTTTGTTTCGTGTCTTATTGATTCGACGCATTTTAAAACAATCAGATGAATGTTGATGAATGTATTATGACCAATTATTTTAATTTCAAACATGCACCAGTGGTTTTTTGGCACCCCTGTAAAGAACCACTGAAATTGGAATCCAGTCAGTTTTGATAGCATAAAGAATCGTGGACGTGCGTATATTGCAAAGCTGAGTTCCTCTACAATTCCTAGTTGTTTATTTGATGCTTATTTCCCATGACTATATATATAATTATACAGGATGAATCGGCACAATATATTTGCTGCAGTAATTTGCGGTAAGTTGGCTAAAGTGAATCATGAATTTTCTCTTTGTGAGTTATTATATAAATGTTCTTTTTGGAAGATAATATAAAACTGCAGTTAACTGGGTCCTTTTTCGACACTGGAATTGTCTCACAATTAAGTCTGTTATGAGTTCGCGGCAAATTTGCATATGAATATAGGAATCGGACTCACTCGGTATATGTTGTGGCACACCTAGTGAGCTGGTATGGGAGGGGGCGTATTGTTTTTCTGTGAACATGAATTTAGCCTACGTATACCGCACTGATCAATCCTGGCAATGATTAGTACTTAATCGTCAGCGAAAACCAGCGATGTCTTTAAAAGGACTAATTACTGTTGCGTTTCTAATTTGCGTTTTTGGCCGAGCTACTACTTCAGCTAATAAAGTAGTTGCGGTTAATCGAAATGATATCGATAGTTTTTTGGTTAAAGGCGGTTGTTCAGATGACCCAAATGTGTGCCCAAGATCAGCAACATGTCATTCGAAGACTGGTCTATGCTTGTGCGATAGTCGTAAACCAACATATCAAAATCCGGAGATCATAACTGACGGCGAAATTGGTCTCCGGTATGGTACCACGTATGGTTGCGTTAATAATCAGTTTATCGATAGTATTGGTATGGGTTTTCAGTTTTTTGTTTTACATTCCATGCATTTCACATTTGCCTACAAAATAATTCAATTGTCAGAAGAGTTTGCTTTCACTTACCCGAAGGCTTCGTACGTTTTTGGTGCTAGTTCAATAGTTAAGGTCCCAATTATATACGGTCAGGACTTGTGCTCGTTTTGTCTCACAAAGAGCGAGTCGAATTTTGTACATAGGAATTGAAAGAAAAATGCATGTTATTTCAGAGAACTAATAAACATGCAATAAGCTTTTATTCACTATTAATTTTAATGACCACTGCCTAACGGCAAACGAAAATGTAGTGAAAACGCTATCTGAAATAGTGTAATCGAGCGACTGTTCACATAAGTATAAACTTGATTACCTGAGATTTAATGAAGCGTGAGAGGATTATGAGGTAATAAAATAAGCCGAGTCTGGGAGACAAAACAAGCACATGCGACTATAACCATGCAGGATCATGTGATTCACTCTCTGGACTCTATTCTCTTTACAGACATTTCTTTAGGTAGCTAGAAGTTATAGGTGGACATGCATTTACCATTGATTTATGGCAAATAGCTATGTAGCTAGGGTCTTTATGTAGCTATGTAGGGTCTTTTGATTAAATATATTGTGTATTGTAATTTTGACCATGAGAAATTATATTTAAAAATGTAAAAATTTGGTAATTGAGATCGACTAAATCAGTCCAGGTATAGCCGTTTCCGACTATCGCATTCGTGCTTAAGCCAGGCGCGCAGGACGCGATTTTTGTCGTATTTTAGTCGGTTGACTAAATCCTTGCGTTTGCAATGTCATTTCCAAGCGATTTTAGTCGGCTGACTGAAATCGGAATGTATCCAAACTCTTTGATATTAGGCGCAACTATATAATCGTACAAAAAATCGCGTCATGTGCGCCTGGTTCAAGACCTCATTATTATACAGAATCAATTGTGTTTTAGGTTCTAATTTTTGCCCTTTCAACCCATTTAAAAAAATACCTTACATCGACAACGGTCCAGCCGTGAAATTCAACTACGAGGATTCAAAAGTTGTGGTGAAGAGTTGCTCATTTAAAAAGGCCTGGATAACATTTCCAGGCCAAAATAGAAAAGATGAGCTGCCGTGGTTAAATGAATCTTTTGTTGACTTGAAAGTCTCAAGTAAAAGTTTGTATTTCAAAGTATGTAATATGGTGGCTGTTGGGCGTACTAGATATTTTAGTCATTTTTTTTAGTGTGATATTTTATTCATCACCAATTAAGTAATAATTATTGTGTAGTCCATCTCTGTAGTACACTTTTCCAGCTTTAAATTCACGACAAGAATATGTAATTTGTCGTAGTTAAGATCACTATACAGCGTAAGATGTACTTTGGGGAATATTAAAATAAAAGTTGAAGCATATTGTACACAGAGTTTTAACCATACAGTCGGAAGCAGTTGTTTGTCATGCCGTCTATAACAATTCCTTTATTCCGATAATTTCCTCTGAAGATTTCTACTACAGCATTTTAGAAAATCTATAATTCATGATTCTATCCATTGCAGATTTCTTTTCCTCTTATAATTTACCGATAACTAATTTAATCACTTCATTAACATGCATTTGCTTTTATCACATTGATCAAGAAGATGCATGCAGTGGTGAAAAGGTATCCTATAGCTATTAAATGAATGAATGTCCAAAATACGGTACTAACGTAGTTTTAGGCTAAAGATTGAATAATTAGGCTGGAATATACACACATATTTCTTTAATGTATATATATATATATCAAATTTATTGAACAATGTTCAAACGGAGAAAATGCAACGGGACACGAGATCCCATGCGAGGCATTCTTCCGATCACATATTTACATATACAAAAACAAATAACACACAGAAGAAACATAAGTTATATAGCTACACGCATCGAAGAATAAACATATGCTATGCACAAGCTCGAAAATCCAAAGTTGTAATTAATGTAATGTAAATGTAATGTAATGTAATGTAATGTAATGTAATGTAATGTAATGTAATGTATTTTTTAAAGCTCGAAAATCCAAAGTTGTAATTAATTTAATGTAATTTTGTTTAGTGGAAAAAGCCAGTTCAGGATTTACAAGGGACGATAATCACATTCAATCTCAGATGCGATGTAGGTTCAAGTATTTTGGAACTGAATTGCCTCAAAGCAAAGGTTTTTGGGAGATGGTTGTTAGGTAAGAATACATTGCCATCATTAACTGGAAGGCTATTCCAACGTACAATATAATTGATTATTGATGCAATGTTTGTAACGACTAGAATTAATAAACAATTCTTAACATCGATTTCTATAGAGGAATGTTCAACGGGCTACTGGAGTAGCTCTTTCAACGTCGCTGGTTGGTCAAAATGTAGTTCGGACAAGCTTTTCATCAACAAAATTTATCGACGTACGTCAAATGGAGTCGATGGAATATCTAATCTTGATCAGGTATCATGCTGTAGTTTAATAAAAGTGTCGGACGAGGAACGAGGAGTATGTAAGACTGAAGACTGGTCAACTTCTCTGAATAGGTAGGGAGTGAATATCGAAGTTTTCGTATATTGTCCAGACTATACAAACAAATATTTTTCAGTTATACTCCTTAATTAAGCCAGTTGTTCAAAGCTATAGGTTAGGGTAAAATCTTAACCCTGGGTAAAATCTTAATCCTGCATGTGTTTTAGTTTAAAACTTTAGAAAATATTACTTCTGCATGAATGTATCGGTCCAGAAAATATTTGTGAACAAGATATTAAATTTAGTTAACAAGAGATTAAAAAAATAATGTAAAGATCCGGCTTTCATACAACCGGCCTCTGGTTTAAAGCAACCGTAATATTATAAGAGTTGTTGCTAAACTACTAAAATTGGCCATGAGCAAGCGCAGCTATAGACTATATTTATCATGTAATATTTTCCCGAGTTTTTACTTCAGTATATACGTTTGCAGTGTGCAGGCTGTTTCAATCAGATTTGTTTTAAATTCTCTAAAGAAATAATCAGTGGAGCCTTTGTCCCTTGGGTTACTTTCTAAACGGATTGAATCGCACCGCTGGCGATAAATTAAGTAACATCAAAGAAGCCTTCTGCTGCAAACCCGAAGGTCGTCCTGACGAGTATGAATTGTGTTATGATGAAGATGTTGCAACATCGTTCAATCAAGCAGGTTGGTCAGGGTGTTTGAAGGCTGAGGGATATTATATCACTGGAGTGTACCGTGGACCTGGTGAAGACTATCTTAACAACATTGATAAGTTTCGATGCTGTCAGATGGTAAAAGGTAGGAAATAAACCTGCAGAACAACAAGATAACTCTATATGCAGGATCGTGGTATTGAAGGTTAGCCAGAACTCCTTAATTTATCTTTTCTATAGACGGTGTAGTTTCGACAGTAACCCCGACGACAGGGCCAACAGTCAACGACAATCCAGATTCAGATGGCAAGAGTTCGAATACACAGACAACACTTATTGCTGTTCTCGTCGTCGCTCTTGTGATTGTTGTTATTCTAGCAGTTGTTGTGGGCTTTCTCTGGAAAAAAATAATGCAGAGGTATTAAGTAATAATGCTTACGTCATCGTCTGCCTTTTTTAAAGTTGTACGTGGCAATAGGCGAATGTAAGATGCGAGCGCCAAAAGAATGATGGGTATGATCGTACAATAAATTTGGCATATCAGATTATCAGTAGCCATGGAAAATATTTTTGTGACTTTTAAAAGCATTTCGCGATGCAGATTGTTTGCATAAGGTCATTATGCGGAACTCTTTAAAATATTGTGTTCTTCCAATTTACCTGCTGTAGTCCCATAGCGTTCCTCTTTGAGCTGCATGTTAAACCATTTCATTTCCACAAGTATGCTTTTGAAAGTTTCTCATTGATTCGTGCTAAGTGTTGCTCTCTTACTTCTCAACTTTTTTTCATTTTACTTTTTTATTTCTTGCATCCAGTTTTACTCTTGACAAACGTCTGATATCAGTGGCGTAGAGGCGCTTTTCCCGGCGAAATGCGAAATAATTCAAAAGAACCAGGCGAAATATTTCGCATTTCGCTTGAAAATTTAGCCCGTGGAATTAGGGCTTTATATAGAAATTTATTGTTTTCACAGTCAATGAACACCAAAATATTAGCATAGCGGGACAAAACGTCTGGCTGGCTACGCCACTATCTGATGTACATATATTGTATTAATTTTGCAATATTCTTCATGGCTCAACATAAGATTCAACATAATTATGGACTTGCAGCCTTTCTCCGATATCTTCCCACAGGCAGGGAAATCAAATACATGTATATGCACAGAATAACTGCCATATTTTTCTTCTTTTTTTTAGAAATGAAAGCAACAGAGGTAATGATCTACACAGACAACATTTTATATTTTTTGTAAAATATAACACAAAAAGGAAGTGAAGTTTAGCTTAAATTAGCTTTAAATTCAAAGAACGACGGAAGACTCCCGCGTATTTATTGAGTAATATCATCACCAGTAGATTTTACCTAATCTACTTCCAGAATTTTCAAATGCTACATATACTATATCATTAGGGCAAATATTATTTGTATATTTCACACATGTATGTTACGTGTATTTTTTTACGAAATTTTAATGACACAGACAGAAATGCTTCATTGCACTTCAGCTGATACCAATGGTGGGATTATATCTGACGAACCCATGTACTAACAAAAGGGCCCCAATGGAAAAATTGCATATAGCACTATTTGGGAGGTTTTGAAATATTTTCCCCGCAAAACATTCAGTTGAAGGGTACAGCAGATTCGTACAACATTAGGGGTGAAATTTTTTGCAATATTAGACAGAATCTATTGCATTACTTAGACTATAAGAACCCTAAAACGTTTTTGGAAGGGAACCTGAAATCTAGGGCAGATTACCCCATTTCCCCAAATTCAGATTGCCTCTCATTTTAGAGATCCTGGCTAATTTTCCGCAAAAACCACTTTTAGGGATGCAGGGCGCTCAAGTACAGGCAGGTGGAGGGAGAGCAAACGAAGTAGAGACGGCATACGTTGACGTACAAGACAGTGGAGGAAATCCAGTGATCCCACCGCCAACTGTTGGTAACTATTATGGCTGATTATATTAGTGGAAGGAATTACAAGCTAAACTCAATAAGCCCTGGAAGTATACCTTCACAGTCTCACAGAACATTATTTTGACAGTTTCCATTATAATTGATTCGAATAAGACATAAACATTCCATTGATCTCAAGCATGGACAATCAAAAATGGACCATCACAAAAAATTCTCATGCTGGAATCCCTTTTCTTTCAATTTTAGATAATGAAGATTATCAAGTGCCGACAATTTATAAAGCTCTTCCATAGTCGTACGAGGCAGAAGGGCTGGGACGCAGGGCTAAGATTAAAACAATAATTTGGGGGGGGGGGTGTTTTTTCATATATTCGATTCGACAGATTTCCTTTGAAAGCTATTGCACTCGTGCATAAAAGCTATTGCACTTACAAAAGAAATCCGTCGGACAGAACTGAATATATGAATAAACAACCCCCAATTATCGTTCTAGTTTCGGAGAGACGGGGAGCCTACCTCTCGGTTCAGCAATTTTTTATCGAATTCCTGCATCCCCTTCCCCTTGTATTATTTGGTCCGTGCGTCTATGAGCTTTTCAAAATGTGGATATAACCGATAAATAAATCTTCACGCACGCTTAACTGTATATATTTCAACTTTCTGTATAGCTTTCCGTGTATACTGTTACTACAATCCTGGACAAAATATGTATAGAGACTATTTGTTAATTTCACAAAATTCTATTACAGGGTACTAAATTCGTGCAGTTTCTATTAAGAATTCAATAATAATTCTAAAAATTCCCACTCCCCCCTCTCCCAGGAACAATTTTGAGTGAAATGAAGTCATTTGCTGAGATATATCGCTTAAATATCAACATTGTATTACGGGGGAAAGGGAGAAACGAGACGCAATAGAAAGTTTTTTCCAGGATTGTATATATATAGTTTAACTATATGCACTCGATACATATACCTTAGCCTTAATTATTATGCCTCTATATTTACCTGTTCTCATACCTCAGTATCTGTACTTCTATTCGGAGGAAGGGTTACATGCAACTGTGACTATATATAGTAGCTATATAGCTATATATTGCAATAAAATCGCACCAATTGCACCAAAATATGAAGCTTTGTTGGTAGATTCAAAAATGAAACTGCATGCTTCATGATAAAAGGTTACGTTGACGAAATTTCATTAAACACTATCACAATAATTTAATGAAGTGTTATAGATTTTTTCACAGCAACAATTTGCAATGCCTCTATCCTACCAATCAAATCAACCGATCAAACTGAGGACCAATCAAATATCGCGAAACCTTATTTGCATTGCGAATCATCACGATAAAATTAATGTTTAGCGCCGTTTGTATATTTCTATTTCTAGCCTGTGACTTTGTGGAGAGCAGACAGCGACCAACATAATTAGCCTTTCTCACGATGACGAATATTGCGGGGTGACTATTGCGGAGTATTTTTTGCGAAGTAGGCCAGTTTTTTTAAGTCTGTGAGCGTATTAATTCTGTGAGCGTATTATTAGTTAATATCAGAGTGTAATTTCTACGGCTTCCGATTTGGTGGAACATTGACAGGTATACTTGTTTACCACTTTTTTGTGATGTTGCATATATTAAGCAAACTCGGTGGGGTTGGTCAGGAAAAAACCTGAAAGATTGTTGGGTGGGTCAGGGAAAATTTATTGATGTTGAATGGGTGGGTAAAAATGTTTTTTGGACTTTGGGAGTTTCTCTTCGGTCCCATCGCCGGCCATTAATAATTAACGGTCCCTAAGCTATAGGACCATGCATGCATGTAACAGCGACATTAGGATTTATCACTATCCTGGTAAATATATCCTGTAAATGTATAGCTGAGTCTGAAAATCTGTTTATCCATCGTTATTAACCAGATGAATAACTCTGAAAAAGCCAAGAATTCGTCATCGACATTGCGAGAGAGTGTAAAATCATGATGTAATTAGTATTCCATGACGTCAGAATTAGAGTTGGTCATTTGGATAATATTTGTATAGAATAGATGACAGACAGACTATATAACAGATCACGGAATGGCATTTTAGTAACTTTAATACAACATTTGCCATTTGAGGCAATTAAACGATACTAGATAATTTCCGCCGTTTTCAGTTTTAGTCTGAATACTGAACTATTATATTTGAAATAATTAGCACACAAAAACATTAATTAAAACAATTGTAAAGCAATACAACCGATATTATGCAGCTTCGAATGAACGCTATGTTTTGGACACGCTGAAAGCATTTAACTGTAGGCAAATGTAATTCAAACGATGTAACTGATAAGAAAATGTCCAAATTTCAAACATAACCAATTTTAAAAACTTATAAAACCACAAACACGAATTTTTACCACAAACTTTTACCCACGGCAAAGAATCTTCGCGTGGACCAAATACACTCTGTTGCGTGGCATGATAGTATATATTAGCATTCTGTCCGGAGTTTTATTATGAAATAACCATAACGACAATATTCAGTAAAAACAAGAGGAACTGACCGCTTGAACCGACGAACATATACGACAATTAGTTTTACATGACGTGCATATCACGATACCGATGTCGAATGATTAGTTGAACCGTCTTGAATATGAATAGAGCTGCTAATATTTTAAACGTTTTCTTATGGTTTTATTGCTATAATATACACGCCGAAACGCTTACGGTTTCCAGAGGAAAATCGGACGTATTTAGTAACCCAAATTTGACAACTTGCGAAAGAGACTACAAATATTGTAACGATCGAAGAGGGTCATGCTTTGGTCATGATTGTTGCAAGTGCCAGTGTGAAAAAGAGTACAGTACTTTCCATAGTCCAGGATTAATTTACCGACTGAAAGATGGGAAACCAATGTACAGTTTTGAAGGCAAAGATACTTGTGTTTGGAACCATTATGCTCACGAAGGTATGTCATCAATGTATTGTCTCAAATTAATATACTTCGTAAACGAATCATTCGTAAGATATCATCGTTAGGTTCCTTGGTTTAGGAAGTGTTTAGCTACCTGATATTTTTTGTTTCATACTCGATAAAAGTGTGGCATCTTAAATGTGTATCCCCATGTTTGTAAAAAACATATCACAACATTTGGGGCAGTAAATCAAGAGCAAACTACAAAATAGACCATTTTGATTCATCGTTTCATGCATGCCCTAACTTAATTGAACACATGTCTTATTGCACAACCAACCCTGCATGGTAAGTTTATGACAGTCCGCATTTTTACACCAGTTAAATTTCTCGAAAATACATATTTTTTGTGTATGTCGATCACAATATTATATTAGTAACATGCACGCAGTGTCACAAACATTGCGGTTTATCTCCAGATATTGCATGTAAAACTCTGCGAATGAACACTCGCACTCCGTTTGTTTTTTCGTGCTCAGGCTAGCAGTCCAAACTCCGAAGGCCGAGCACAAATGAAATTGCTACCGGTACTCCTCCCATATAAGAGGGATGGAATTATTCATCTCACCTAACCGTCTATAGGGATTCCATTTTCATTAAATCCTAACCAGTGACCTCTTGTGAAGGGGACTCACTTATTGATCGCCGGCACACCCCGGTTCAAATAAAGACTAAAGTGATTTGGAGATATTGTGTTTTCTTAAGAACATGCAGTACGTGATCGTATACAATATTTTCTTGCTTTAGGCTGTCGTTTCATCGAACGAAGTCCATCCAGATCAAGTAGACGCTTCATTCCCCTGATAAATTTGGATAAGAATGGCACACTTCATTTAAAAGTTTTAATAGACGGTGCATACGGTTGTAACCAGTATAGACTTTATACAAAAAGACCAAAGACACATTACTGGTTTGGTTTAGAAAGAACAGATCGATTATTCAGTACAGTCTGGACAGAATCGACAGATATTTTCTTGACATTAAAGGTAACTCAACTTCCATGCATTTACTAATAGGTCATGGTAAATTACTATAACCATGCCAATTGTTTATCGAATTTTAGGAGTAAGTTTTTATCGATGTGATGATTTTCCAGCTGCATGTGATACGATGCAGGCTCCTAGTTCCGTCAATTTACCAAACGTCACAGAGTACAGCATGTATGACCAATACTTGGCACTAAATGACTAGGTTTCTAGAACACATTATTCTTTTGGTGATCTTTATTAGGAATTTACAGATGTACCCATGCAGCATAAAGTCAGTGATTCGTGTATACATTTCGGTTAAAAATACCAACCTGTCGTATTTTTTAGTGGCGGAAACAAGGTCCAAAGTATGGCGGACTCATGTTGAAAATGAACTTCAGTTGTGACCTGGCTTTGGAAGAAACACGAGAGCCGTGTATTATTTTGAAAATCAGAGGAACTTACAATACACAAACGAACATATCTATTTCACGTAAGTTCATCTGGTTTTTTAAACGCAGTTTGGCGTTTATTTTTTCGAGTTATAATATAGAGTATAGTTTATAAAGTTCGGCCCAGCGAAACATTCAAGATGGTGCTAATCAACATAACAGCATATTGAAGCACTTTTCCATTTATGACTGACATGCGAGCCTCATTGTCGGAAGGGTGTGTTTCAGCATTGTTAAGTAGCTCTTAAAATCGTGTCATGGAATCTTTTAAATTGTGTCAACCACGCGTTCAATACAAGAGATTGTCAATAGACTTCAAGTTCCGATATCCATCCCCAGTATGTGTCGTAGCATGACAAATTATCCATGCTAGGCGTAGAAAGCCGCTTTTCTTTTGAGACACTTCGATTATAAGTGCACTTATAACTCATATAAGACTGTTATACACGACATCTTCTATTGTTCTAGCCGGAAAATGGAGTTTCCTGACCTTAATTTTACCATACTGGAATCCAATACTGTGACAGAAGGTTTCTGTGTCAAATGTACCACCATTGATTGTTATAGCGCGTTATTTGCTGCATGCAAGTTTATCTCTCTATCTGTCACTCGTGATTATCAAATAAGTTCACTGTTATATAAAATGCACGACGACAATAATAATTCTAAGAGCAATTTGTGCCACCCTTTTTCTATTTAGCAACTAGCAATACGCGGGGTGTGCACCGTGCATAGCTAACTTAAGCTTCGGCCTTCGAGTCAACTCTGCCATGTGCTATGATCATAATTGAGAAGGGTTCACAGTAGCTAATTCTATTTCGAAAACTGTAGTATGAACATTGAACAAATGGCCAGCAAATTTTTATTATCTTCGTTTGATGTGCTCGAAAAAAGTCTGTGGTCTGCACTAAGCTGATCGAAAGATGCTTATTAATCTGATAATCTAAACGTCAATGACTATGTGTGCATAGGGTACAAAAAAATTTGTGGCTACAAATTAAAAATATTTCATTGTCAATGTCACAATGTCCTCGACAATGTCAACTGACAAGTTTGTGTTAAAATTTATGCACTGCTCCTAGATATAGCAATATTATGACATATGCAATAGCGCCAGACCTGAGTGTGCCTAGCTATATCACTATAATTAATTATCACTGGAATAAATGGATCCTGTTACTCTAAAAAATTTTTACAAAAATTCAGCCTTACTCTGTGATATTAAAAGACAGAAATGTACCTTTACTTATCTGCGTATCTATACAGTTAGCATTAGGCTTTAGCAATTATTTGTCCGTGCCCGTTCCGTAAAAGTTGCTTATGTATTCATGCTTATGTAACCATGGTTCTCGTCATTAACGGAGAAAAAAATTCTTGTGCACTGTTTTCATCGTCTCAAATTAGAGGCACTGATCACTTCCGCATTCCCATTAAGAGCCTTTGGATGCTAAAAGCAATATATTGTTATACTGTTCACTGTATACCACAGCACGCAAGAAGTTTAAATCCGTCTTACAATAAAAACTACATAAGACCTCTGGAGGTAAGTGCGAATGTACCATATACTTCGTATTCCAAACGTAGGGAAGCAGGTAAAACGTACATATACTAGTGCTAATTGAACGACGTACAGTCGTGCATGGTTCGTCTACATGTTGTTGAACTAATACTCCCGAGGCTAAGAATATCTTGAATGTATTTGCATTCAAAGTTAGATAGCAATGTAAAATGTCGTGAGAGATGAATTAAACTACCTGGAAACGACATCTTTTAATCCCTTTAAGAGTTCAATGTTCACTGTTAGATTGTAATGTCTATACTACATGCATGTTAAAAAATCTTTAAAGCGATCATATATGTTATGTACTGCATGCCAAGTATTCGACATATAAACGAGAATTCTATTCAA